TTGTCAGCCAGCAAACTTTGTCAGCCAGCCAGCCAGCCAGCCAGCCAGGGCAGGCAGGGCAGGCAGGCAGGCAGGCAGGTAGGTAGGTAGGTAGGTAGGTAGGTACGTCCAAAGTCACTGAAGTTCGCCAAGAAATGCTTCGCATTTAAAAGGAACGAGTAGTGGGCCCCGAGAAAAAACAATGTACACTTTGTCTATTCCTCACGTTCAAGGTATATGAGAGACTGCACCATTTGTGCGTTTAGGAACCGTTTTAAATGAAAAGCATTTCCTAGTGAACTTCGGCGACATTGACCGTATTTGTCTATCTAGCCACCTACGACTTTCAGCTTTCTTGGCCGTTTCGAAAATGGAATCTGTACCAAAATTGGTATGGCATATCACGACTGTATTGCGAGCATAAGTGACTAATCATGACATGAAGATAATGAAATATATGTCATGAATGTCATGGTTTACATTTCATGGTCTTATTGCTCCTGCGGTAGTTTCGTATACATGACATGTTGCAAAACTGGTATTGCATGACACGACTGCATGGCGAACACAAGTGACAGACCCTAACATGAAAATCATGACATGCCCATGGCGCACTCGCGGTCATTTCGCTAGCTTCACATATACCAAGTTTGGTGTTACGTGAAAAGATGACGAAGGTATATGACTGGTGCAAACATGGTAATCATGACATGCGTGTCATGTAAGAATATGACGGCATGCCACGCTCATGATGCGCTCACGGCCGTTTCGCTAGCTTCACAAAAAAATGCCGCCATATCCACAAAGTGAATGATGATGAGTGGGCGAAGCTCCGGAGGTAAACCTGGTAAACCATGAATCCTCCGTACATTTTGCCCACTCGATTTTATTGCAACGCTCCCCCTAGCGTACGTCGCCGCACTATATCGAACGATGACACGCGCCATATGTGGCATCATTCCTATTTTATAACACCTCGCATCTTTCATAATCAACTACACGTACCGCCGTCTAGTTTATAACATCTTGCATCTTTTGGACGGACGAACGGACGGACGGACGGATGGATGGATGGACGGACGGACGGACGTATGGACGGACGGACGGACGGACGGACGGATGGACGGACGGATGGATGGACGGACGGATGGATGGATGGATGGATGGATGGATGGATGGATGGATGGATGGATGGACGGACGGACGGATGGACGGATGGACGGATGGATATGGCTGTACCCTTTAGATCGGGCGGTGGCTAACGTAATACTTAGAACTGAACGAGAGGTGGCTACATACAGGGGACGCACAGCCCACGCCTTAAGGAGCTTCGCTCCTAATAACAAATTTGGTATTACGCCCCACGAATGGACACCATAGGTAAATTACACGTCCAACATAATAATCATGGCATACGTGTTATGTAAAACATGACTACATGGTACGCTCATAGCGCGCTCGCGGCCATTTCGCTAGCTTCACATACACCAAATTTGGTATTACGTGACCTGAATGAATGACGAACACAAATAACAGATGCAAACATGATAATCATAAAATGGAAGTCATGTACGGCATAATTTACGTCCATCTTGTAACGTTGTACTTATTTTAATGTGACATTTCAACCTTCCTCATTCGGGCTTCCCATATCAACGATTCCCACTGTGTGTGGATCTGCCAATTTTCTTTTTTTAAGTTTCATTACACCTTGGGACACGTGTTCGATGAGTACAAAAACCGCACACTTGCGAACAATCAAAGCAGGGTCGTTCCCAAGTCACAATACCAGGAATGCGACGTTAACTACATCAACGATCAACGAGGCTCAAAGAACACAAAGATCTAAAGATCAACGAGGCTCAAAGAACACAAAAGGAAAGTGGCTAAAGCTACCCATGCAACGCGTTCCAAGACAGAATTTGTTGAACACTGCTGGACAACACGGCATACTTTTGACTTCGATAATGCAGCGACGTTGGCTTCACTGCACAGCAGTTGAACACAAATGGCGACTTACGCGCAAATCTGCTCCCGCATGGAGCATATACAGCAACTTGATCTACACTACCCTAGAGTTATTGCATGCAGATTTGGGTGCCCCTTAAAAAAACCCCAGGTGATCGAAATTTCCGGAGCCCTCCACTATGGCCTCTCGTAATCATATGGTGGTTTTGGGACGTTAAACCCCACAAAGCAATCAGTTATTGCATATGGCTCCTAAAGTTAGGCGGTAGGAGCCGTTGACATACTAAAGCACTTGTAGCGACGTGTAGGCTCCACCCAGCCTAAAGCTCGCCACCATCCTCTATGATCACGTCGCAACCCGCAACAGCAGCTTCTGTGCAGAGTGATCATATAGATGTCGGTGGCGAGCTTTAGGCTGGGCGGAGCCTACGCGTCGCGAGTATATCTACGGCACAAAATCTTTAAGTTTACAAACATGGAATAAGTATATAGGTGACAAGGTTTCAGCTCGCATCGGTATCACTTTCCTTTGCTACGTACGCTAGTTCTAAAAAGACAGGGCGTGCAAACACGGACACTACAGGAAGTCGGGACTTGGGACACCAGGAAAGCCTGACTTCTCAGTGTTTTCATGCTCTGTCACATGCAAGTACAAAGAACGGCAGGACACAAGTCCAAAAATATTTCCCTTGGGACACAAGTCTAAAAATAGTTCCCTTGCTTTGAACAAAAAAAAAATGCTTCCACCTTCCCAAAGGGAATCGTGAGGATATGCGAATGCATTTCTTGCGTTGAGAGAGGGTACCGTTGCCGTCAGACATTCACCTTCATCGACTTCTGCCATTGCCTCGGCGCCCAGCCAGTGAACGGTCGAGAGTGAGGCGCGAGCGGACGGGAAAGTGGGGCGCATGGAGGAAAGAGAGCGAACGGCGAGAGAGTGAGAGGCGAAGCACTGCACCTACCCTCTCCTACACTCTTGCACCACATACTCCGGTTGCTAGGGGGCGAGGATAAGCGCGCGCACCCACAGCTGTTGCTATGGGAGAAGTGAGAGCGGAGATACCACCAGCCGGCACGCGGACAACGCCGGATGCCTGACAAAGCCCGAATAAGAAATGTACTGGCATTTAAAGCAATTTCATAATGTCAGTCAATAGCTAGTGAAAGTTCCTAGCACATGCACAACACTCAAGCCTCATTATAACAAAGTTGCATCTTAGACAAAAATATGTTCGCTATATAAAAAATTTGTCATAATGGTATATTACTAACACTGTATTGCAAGACTTTTTATTTACTTTGTTTTAGCCAGGTTCATTGTATCATGGTTTCAGTGTACTTCGATAATTCTTACTAGGCCCACCTCAATGTTACATTTACAATCAAACATACGTAAAAATAAATTTTTGCCAACTTTTCGCCACTTGTGCATACTATTTCACACTATATGCGTTTCATTTTTTTTAACCTGCAATGAAAGTTTCCTACTGTCGGTACAAACTACCGCAGTTCAATAAATGTTATTTTTCCCCTAAAAAAAGCCCCAGTATGAACCATTTGTGTCTATATTCAAGGCAGCATAAAATGCTTCTGTAGCACTGAATTGCAAAACTTATTTTAAGTACAAAGCCTACGATCATTCTGTAAGAAAAATTTCATCCTTCACCAATTTAGAAAGAGTAATTTTTTTTATAAATTCCAAGGTTTCAAAATTTGAAGTGGGGCTAGTGGACTGAAAATTATTTTTCACAATAATCTGCAGCAAAATTTTCTGCTTTAGACAGATGGTCCTGATTTTTTTTTTTTTCAAGCAAATTAGAGGTTGTTGGGCACCAAGGTTGGAGACAGTTGGAGTGGAATGACTCGTAGAGGTTTTTGGTCCCATAGGCCAGTCAGACTGAGAGGACAAAAGAAGTTTGAAGCTGACGTTACGTCTAGCAAAGAGAAGCAATAACGTACATCTGGCACATTTATATGAGCAAAGGTGTACCAAGTCTTTTTCGTTCTGCAGGATGCGTATGAGTCGTCACAAAGGTTGCATAATTAATGATACCCCATCCTTACTTGGGGCAACATACATACACTCCATTTTTCTGCTTTACCCTCGTTGTATTCATTGATGGAATGCTCTGACAAACATTGTTTTCTAGTTGAAACCATTTTATGATCTCCTAATTGAACGTTTTGCTGTTTCAGCCATCACATTTAATGCCTTTTACTTTATGCTTTCTTTTTCTGCATCTTTCATCAACATTTTTCAGTCATTCTCATCTTTGCAATGCCCTTTTTTTGTACGAGTTAGGAAGGCTATGTTAGCACACTCATGTCTACGATGCGACATCATCCCACTCAGTCATCAATCGACATTTTCGCATTGTGGTAATGCATTGTGTTAAATGGGCGTTAAATTTAAGTGAAACAATGAAGTAGTTTTGGGTGGATGAATTATACTCTGAAAACTCTGCTGTCATTAGTTTTACCATCATAGCTTCACAAATCAAGGATAATGTCAAGGTCAAATTTTATTATCAAACTTTATGCTTATACTTTTGCTAGTGAGATCACAAATTCGAGTGCTTTTTTTTTCACGTTTTGACAGAATTGGCTCCACGAAATTTTCTGAAACTTGGTATGTGAAGTCCGTGGCATCCCTGAGGGAACCATTCCATTTCGCCGATTATTAACTGTGCAGGCACAAGTAGACATGTCAAAATTTCTGGTGCCCCATTTATTGGGGTAAGAACTTCAAAATGACGCCACCACTCTCTTTTTTTTTCCCATATCTTCTCGTTGCAAGCACAGTGATTTTGCCCTTGCAAAAGAACAATTTGCTAATATAAGAAAAATAGTTTTCCTCTTTAGTGTTTCTTTATTAACCCAGTTATTGTGCTGATGTATTTGCTGCTTTAAAATAATACTTCTTTCAGACTGTATAACTGTAACTCCCCTCTTACCCAATGCCTTCTCAAAGGCCTGTAAGGTACCTGCACGTGAGTAAACTATGATATAGCAGGTCTCAGATGATTGCTATATAAAGCAGGAGCCACACACAATTAGGAATTTTTCGTTTTTATTTTTATCTCAATCAACACTTGCTTTTAAAGCACTTTTTCAGATGCTTCTGTGAACTCTGTTACAAGCATAGAATTCGGTGTGTCAATAAAATCTATAATCCCCAAGTCTTTCGACAGGCACCATAGGCAACATGGCAACAATGTGAAAAGCACGCAGAACATGCTGTTTCTGACTTGAAGGTCTTTTTTAGGTAAGCTTAACCATAACCGAGAAGCCCAGGTGAATTCCTAACACCAGCATGAACATAACAGATCGTATATTTTGTTTTTCATATTGTCATAGAAACTCCCGGAAGCAAACTTGTACTGTGGTGGTCTATAAAGTAGCTTATTGGCATGCTGCTGGTGGCTTAGCAGATCCATCTGGAGATGCTCCAGCGCCCAAAATGCCCATATGTGTTCCGGCAGCTACAGCCTCGCTTTCATTTGCATGGTGGCATCAACCAAATACGAGCCCGTTTTGGAGACCACAGACATTGCCAGTGGAACTGCTGGTGCAATGGTGTTGGCGACTGCCTTGACACCACCTACTGTCTTGGAAGCCACGAACTGCACCGGAGCTGACGTGCCCACGTAAGCCGCACTGCCAGCGAGACTAGCTCCACCTGCTGCAGCTGTGGCTTTAAGCATGGCTGGCAGGCCCACGGCACCCCAGTGCTGGCAGAGCGAATACAGGCTCCCCTTGGCAATAGTTCCTCCGATTGATGAGTTAATAGCAGCAGCTGTTGAGCCCGCCGTTACACCAACTTTGCCGAATCCAATTGCAGAGAGTGCGACAGGTGCTGCGGCCACAGCAGCTGCCGCTCCGACTGCAGTACGTGGATGAAGAATGTGGGAGAGAAAAGGGGGAGAGAAAGAGAACATTTGTAAAGACACAATGTGGTTATTTGGTTTTCGTACATTTCGCCACACTTTCCCGGAGATTTGGGGGGGCAGAAGGTTGACTCGGAAACAAACAGTGCTAACGATGGCACTTCTTAGGCACATTTTCTAGCATGTTGCGTTTCTAATCCATGTGCGGACTCGTTCACCAAAACGGCAGCACTGGCACAACAAAGGCACAGAGAAAAAATATAACAGAAAGACATAAGCATGCACCCATAAGCATTTACTACCCATTTAAGAAGTGAGTCGCAAAACACGGTTCCTCTTACACATCTCAAGTGCTGCTTTACCACAGCGTTGTTTATGAATTACACCTGATGATCTTCATATATGCTGCTATACATGCTTCAGTACTAATTTCGCTCTAAAATATCGCACTGATACAACACTTGCTGACTGTTATTTTCATACGCTATTCTGTTGTGCACAGTAATCTATTTAGTTGCTCAAAGTGAAAGCCGTAAAAAATATACCAGAAAATTTAAATGTTCTGTTTAAGACTGTTATCTCATTATGCCTTCAGTGCCTTTTTTTTCTGGGGGGGGGGGGTGCTGAAGTAACCACCTGCAGATATATATTATAAGGTTATTGGAGTTCTAGTTCTCACTGAAAAATTCATACACATACAGTAAATATAAAACAGCATGCAATACGAGAATCACATATCACATGCATGCATGTCTACAGAATAAGTTCCAGTAGAGACCACGCACAGTGGAAATTCACGTTATTCTCAGTAGCCGGCAAGTACCTAGCTATGTATGACATATTGTCTGACTGAGCCAAGTGTTGGAGGACAGAGCAACGTCTCCCTGTAATTAGAGTATAATTGTGAGTATGACGAGGGCTTACCATGCACACAAATTAAAGTGCAACAACCTTGCGTACTTTGCAGTCCAAACAAACATAGGCACATGCATCACGCATTCAGAAGCGAGTCCCCTTAGGGGTGAGATGCACGTTTTGGCGTGCTGACATGCAATCATGAGCAGTGTTCGTTAGTTTACTGCTGCGGAATCAAGCAATGCTAGCCTATGAGTGTGAAAGTTGTGCTAGTAGTTAGTGTGTAGGATAAAAAAGAAAGAGCAGAAAGAAAGATACCTGAGAGGGGTAAAGCATGCAGTGTTCTAACAGAGATTTCTTTGATGAGGCACTCGTGGTGCCAAGCCTGACACCAAGCTTATAAAGAGGGGTGTTCCCGTTCCACTAACATCGTAAAAGTGCCTCGAAATACAGCTTACCACAATGTGCTTTTCTTCTTCCCTACATGCCTAGTTTCGGCTCCCCTAGGCATGTAAGGAAGCTTTTTTCTGCTCCACCAACTTCATTCGCTATTTGATGTGCCAATGTTGCCTCCTTCAATTTTGTCGGACCATTCGAGCCGCAAGGTTTCACTGTCGCATATACTCATTTTCATGATTGACCATGACTACATGACACGACTGGATACGCCGACAAGATTAGCCCCTAAGATGCTTGGCACCTAAAATTCCCAAAGCTTTACACCCCAAAACAACGTAGCAACGAGGCACACTGCAGCGGAGAGCCCTGAAAATTTCAATTATCTGGAGCAGAGTTGCAAAGAGAGGTGTAAAAAACAGCAAAGCTAACAGAGAACAAAAAAAAAATGACATGAGGAGTCTGGTTGAGACTTGTACTGAATGGAAAAAAACACAGACGGCAGACAGCTTTTTTCGCCTATTAGAGACACCCAAGAAAATCGCGAGTACAAAGTCTACCCCTCACCATGCATTGATGATGCACTGGACAATCTGCATGGAACCAAATGCTTCCCGTACAAAGACGTCTGCTCTGAATATTAGGAGATCTCTGTAAACGGTAAAATTGGGCTCCCCTATTGAAGAATTCCACCCATGACAATGGCTGTAATCACAGCAATGTCAGTTGTGTAGGTTCCCTGAGACTCTTACATGCAATCGCAAAACCAAGCGTTCAACGAAAGTGCCAGACACATCACAGCACCAGTAATGCGAGTAGGCACTGCTCAGTTTAGACGTGTGGTGACCACTGGCACACACTTTCTTTTCTCTCATCTCCATGCATCTCCAGTGCTCCTCGTTTTCAGAACTGCATCCATGCTTCCTTTCTCCGAGGCTAGACAGAGTGGCTTAGTAAGGAAAGAATGGTAGGGGCGAGATCATCAAGAAAATTTTATGCAACACACACGAGTATGACAAGGACAAAAAAAAAGAGTAAGCACAGGTCAATGAGTGCTTGTCCTCTCTCTTATGGTGAATTCCATAAAGAGAACAGGAGTAGAGGGGTAGTCCAGGGGGGAGGGGGGCAGAGCACTGAGAGCAGGGCCACTCTACCTGCCACTGGAATGAGAGGGTAATGAGTGCGAGAAAATATACCATGTGATCAAAACATTTGAAACGCTGGCATTCTCTGCAAGACAGCAACAAAATCTGTCAGTCGAATTTATTCCGATTCTCACTTATATTGTACGTTTGTGCAATGACGCATCCTGCAAACGTAGCTGCGAACTCTGCCTGGCCGTCATCGTCGTCACCCGTACAAACGGCACCAAAACTAGAGTCCTTGAATATTGGCAAACCAATACGGCAAACAACAACGGTGTCAAACTACATATGGTTGCTGCCAATGCCGCTGTGCTCACTGGCAGAAGTAAAATTCAGTCACGTGACTGTCGTTGACAGTATCTACTTCGCTTTTCAGGCGAGAGCACTGCAAGTGATCCTGGGTGCTCTCAGCGCAGCAAAAGCACTCTTGCAGTAAGACTGTAAGTGGGCCAGTTGGTTTGAATTCATCGTGAACTTGATTACAGTGCAACACCAGAAACACAGACACAGGGAAGGTGCAAAATAGAAAGAAAAGACGGCGCTGGCCGAAAAGATAACTTGCCGTGACCAACGACCAAATCTGTAACCTTCCAATAATGTGTCCGCGCCACATTTGCACATCACATTTAGACTACATTTACTGCTAATAATAATATCCTCAATACCTTCCTTGCATTATCTGTTAGTTCTCATTTGTGTCTAACAAAGAAAAACGAGCCCTTAAATGTTCCACTTCGTTTTTTCATTCAAAGAGAGGGTCTCATTCTGGCAGACTTCCATGCTCCCAGCTAGTATGCAGAAGATCATTGGTCAGCTGCCAGCTCGTAATAAGTTCACATTCTACATGACGCCAAGCCAGCAAGAAAGAGTGCTCCACACATGGCTACTGGCTGCGCTGACTGATGGTCCCACGTTTGAATGCACGTACATACCAAATAAAGTGGACAGGGGGAGAGCCGCTGTAGTAGCTCACTTTTCAGAGCATTTAACATGCTATCTGAAGATCACAGGTTCGGTCCCTGGCCATGGCATGTTAATCTTCTCGTCCACTTCTCTTTTTCTTCACATTTATGTTACATTTACTACTAAAAGCAACAACCCTTATACTTTCCTTGATGTCCGTTAGTTGTCAATAATATTGTGTCTAACAAAAAAATGGGCCCTTAAAATTTCCCCTGTGCCGACTATATTGTAGTGGTTCATTAGGGGATATTGTACGCATAAAGTATATGGTACCATACACTATATGTGAAAATAAACAACACCATTTTACTTGAAGATGTTTCCTTGTTATATTGTCAATGTTTGCCCAGTTTGCTTGTCATTGGTAGGGCCATTTTGCCTGAATATTCGTACTTGAACTTTGTAAGAATCGAGCGCACCCTCCCTCTTGGCAGCTCGTTCCCACAGTTGCAGGCCTGCGTGAATCTGCCTGGTGGCGGCGAGCACTGAGTGATCGCAAGCTGTCGGATAAGGAGGTGTTCCAGGCGGCCAATCAGGATCGGTGAAGCATCGCGACGTGTGCTTGTATGACGCGAAGGGGAGGCATTGTCTGGGCATATTCAAACACGTGTCTCCGTGCAAGAAAAACTGACACGTGGCTTGCACCAGACAGAAAGGCCTGGCGGCGAAACCACGGTGGCCATGCTCCTAACACTCAAGCTGCACACGGCCAGCACTCGCGCAAGCTGGGGGGAATGAGGTGGCAAAGGGGAGCATGCACTCGATTCCCACAACTTTCAAGTCTTCACCACAGTACCATCACTTAAAACAGAACCTGAAGGGACTAGAAAAGTATGCTCCGTCAAACAAGGGTTCAGTTTTCTGAGAAATGAACCGGAGTGCAAAATTGAACCCCTTGAGTGTCTTTGCTATACATGTACGATGGCAGCTTTCTGTCCCAAAGTGTCTTCGCCATATGAGTATGCTTTTGAACCTCCACTTGAAATTTCGCACTCTAATAACTATGCATGCACATTGAAAGGTGCTGCCTAGGGAGCCTTCATGTGTGGCTCCCTAATGCTGTTACATCCTAAGATGTATTTGAGTGTTGGAAATGATTGTGCTACCTTCTTGGAGATAAACAGAACTGATTCGTGGAAATAAACACATGGATTCATGGATATAAACAGAACTGAGTTGGCAGCCGCACCGATGGGTAACCCCTTCATTGTTTCAGTTTCGCCAAGTGATAGCAACGGAGATGCGGGAAACTTGAATTACTATATTTTTATCGGCACTTCCTTGCAGGAGCAGTGAGAGCGGGCTTTTATCTTTTTTCGTGCAGCTCTTTTTTATCTTTATTTAGTCTCACTAAGACTCACAGGGTATTCTCGCTCTTCTTCATTACAGAGTTCACCCTGCCCAAGGCAACCACATGCACAGAAGATGCCGTGTGTGTCCACCAGCACAATTCGTGAATGCAAGGAAACAAACAAGTGCTTTATGTGTGCAGAATGTGATAAGGTACTGTGCGCAGACCGGTATGTGAAGGAATACCGCACTCCGAAATACTACTGAACACTGTGCAGTTCTCAGTGGTAATGACATGAAAATTTTATTCCCAAGTTTTTAAATAACTTTTTCTCGACTTTACGAATATTGTACCTTCAAAAACTGAAATAATGTAATTTGGCCATCAGCGAAATTTTTTTTTCAGGAACATTCAACACTCAAAGGATTCAGTATGTGGGCAATCACATTATGCAGTTGTTCCATTTAAGCAACAGTACCGTTTAGGAGGTTTCCATTTAATGACTGTCTACTGTATTCCAATACCCAATAAATTTGTGCAGTTTCAGTGATACTCCGTTAACTACAACTTACAAAACTTGGCAACAATAATACCACAAATCTTAAACGAATACCAAGGTATAATAAATCTACTGTAAAATAGAATCCCCCCAACACAATTGAAAAAGCAAGTAAAAGAACTAATATCTTCCCGAGCCTTTGTACTAAATTATGTATTGATGAGTTGTTAAATTTAGTATATAGTACTATATTGTACAATCTTTTTGAACACATACTGCCCCATGTGCGTACACGTGCTCAGGGTTCCTCAGATGGGGGGGCAATGGTTTGTCGCAGTACCCCTCTCCCTCTCATGTCAATGTATGAAGCTGGCTTTGCAACTCCCTCCTCTTGGCCCGCTCCCTATTATGTCAATGCATAAGGTTTCCTTTGCACCCCCTCCCATGCCCTCTGATCCTCACTCCCCCTGTATGCACACCCATGAACATGGGTTCATCTGTTGTTGTTTTTTTTTCATTTTTATGTAGTTTCTCCTCTCAAAGCAAAAAGAGTAGTTTTCTATATTGTTCTTGTATAGTAGCGAACACCCGATGCTTTCGCTCAGGCACTGCTTTTCGAGGGCAGCTGAGATCTACTGGCGGCGCTAGGATAGTCATCCGCTGAATAATTAAATGGTCTTTTCTCCCTTTCTGTCTTGTATTTTACTATATATGTGTTTTTCAGTTATGCAAATGATGAGTGACGGAAATCACACTGCTGCAGCTGCTTTCTCTGTGACGTAGCCAAGTCAGGCACCTTTTGGGCCTTGTGCTCCTAAAGACAACTGTTAAGACAATTGTTAATACTATTGTCTTAGATGCCTCCTAAGACAATTGTTAATTGTCTTGAATAGAATGAAGCCTGAATGAATGAATGAATGAATGTAAATGATTAAGAAAGACAACAAAGAGTGGGTACAAAAATGGTAACACTGAAGAGCTACACCATGAGCTGCACACGCAACACCACTGTCTAGGACGGCTGTGTTTCCAAGCATGCCTGCAGCATTCAAAAAGTTTTAACTTTATTTAATATATCTATGGAAAAGCATCATTCGCTGTGCTGTTTTCTCCAGATGAACACCTCAGCAACCATGAGCCATATACAGCACCGACCTTTACGCTTATATAATACATGGGTGAACGAGCCAATTTATTCTTGTAAAAAAGCTTGTACTTGTTTCACCTGTACAAGTTGATCAATAAAGGCAAAGCTGATGTTTATAACGTCAAACTGCTTTGCAGATTGTGATAAACCTTATCTTATATAAGGTGGAACTCTGAACAGAAAAAAAATTAAAGCACGCTGAAGCCATACGAAAACCACTTTTTAATTTTGCATTCCTATACTAACTAGTAATAAATGCATGTGTGTGTTTATTTATATGTGTGTTCTAGTAAGTTTTCAATGCTAGCTCATTGGCAGTTGCTAACCGTGACCAACATTGAAGATAGACAAGCAACTCACTCAGATTTTTATGGCGAGAGCTCTTCCGCACGTTACGAGCTACAGTTTTGGTCAGCCTACACAGAATCTTGCACTTTGTTTCTTTTCCCCACTTTAAACACATCATTTTTATGTATGGCCAAATGACATGAACACCTCAGCCACCTTGAGCCACATACAGTGGCTACCTTTATGCTTGTTTAACACAAACGCTTTGCAGTAACTTGTGAATGGGCATAAAATTTTCTAACAAGCAGACCCCCATTAATTCAACCCCTTTGTGGTGCTATTGCATCAAGTTACCTTCAGACATCGCACTTTGCTTGACAGTGACTACAAACACAGTGCCGTTTCATCTGGATGAATACTTCCAGTAACGCCAGAAGTGATTGGGAACCATTATGAAAAACACATTTGCAAGCACACAGTGCTCATCGCATTCGAAGTGGCTGAGATGGTTTCCGATGCATGAACAGTACATACATGGCACAGGCACTATCACATGCAATATTAGTGCTATCACGTACAGGAATAGCACAAGAAGCTATTGTTGAATTAGGATTTTTAAAACAAGTACTATTAGCATCTAGAATGCTGGTATTATGAGGCACACTGTAGTGGGGGACTCACGCTTATTTATAGTCAGATTGATCTTTTTTTACATGTGGCTAGATCTACGAAAACAGGTGTTTTTGCATGCAACTCTCATCTAAATGTAGCCGAGAAACCATAGCCTCCAGCTTAACAGTGAAAACTAGGATACAAAGTTTGAACTTCCGATAATATTTAGGTATTTCAGTTGTTGAGTAATGGGAGCAAAACTTATAAAGTATGTTGCAAGCAATTGAATGCTTTGGGAACAAAATAAAATACACAAACACACACACAAAAGGTGGGCCCACCTGTTGCAGCGGCCCCAATAATGAGTGCCCTTCGATCAACCATGATGCACACCTGCAGAGGCAAGTGAATGAAAGAATTTAAAAAACACACAAGTAAAGCATGTATGCAAATTAAAGAATTTAAGAAATTAAAACACTGATATGGTAAAGGTATTTACACTGCCACCAATGCGACGGATGTTACGTTTGTATGCAACGATGAAAAGACCTGTAAACAGGAGTTGTACGCATGAGCCGACATTCCAACCGTCTTTTTTAAAGCTAGAACTCCAGCGCCAGCTAGTTCTAGCCTTGAAGTCGACAAGTCCAAACGTCGGCTTGACCACACAACCCCTGATAAAAGATTTTTTTCATTGCAAGCTTCCCTCTTACCCGTCTTTCAATTTTTTTAATTGAATGCAACAAGATATACAGAAATAGAACCTGGATGATGCTCCAGCCACAGGCCACTTGTGTTTACTAAATGGCTCTACTGGTCGCACCACTTTGGCCCTATTTCTGGCACGAGCACCGAGCGACACCCCCGTTTCTATTCGAAACAAGTCGGGCACTTCTATCATCCTAAACATTAGGCACAACTTGGCACTTCTTTACACAGGCACATACTCACGACTGCACACAGCAAACAATGCTTCCTTTGACTGAATATTCAAAAAGATTTCTCTAAAAAATAAAACTGGTAGGAAGTGGATGATCCTGGTTCAAGTTAGGAGTTGGACACACATGATGTCAAAGTATAGGTTTACTTAAGGGGGGAGATGGTACTCGAAAAATGCGAGCTCTATTCATAATTACATACTTTTTGTTTTTATATTTACTTTAACAAGTTAAATTTTTTATTTTCAAGACAAATAAAAATAAAGGTTTTCATTAAACTTTATGTTGGTTAAAAGTAATTTTAAAGAGCCCAAGGTGACTATTAAAAATTAAGAGTCCCTATTAAAAACTAGAAATCTGGAGTCACCGGCAAATTGTCAATTGTCGGCTTGCCGTTGCATCTCGCAAATGCTCATCTAAGCCACAAGATCAAAATAACAATGATTCCTAAGCCCTTATGATAAAGAAATCATTTTAGAAAGCATATCGTTGTCACAGAGATAAGCTTTCAATTTGAAATTCAGAATGAATTTTTCCCACGATGCCATTTTCAGCAACTTCTTGAGATGGACATTACGTTTTTGGTACTTCTGACGGCCGCATCGAGACGAAACTTCTCGGACATTATTCTAACCATGAGAAGAGTGCATGTATCTCCTTAAATATTCTATATCGCATATGAAATTATCATGAAATTAAAGTAATTGAAATGGACTGAGAATTTTAAGACTTCTCCCATTCCAATTTTTATTATTCATTAAAATGTCTTATACACACTTTCTTGTCAGTTGTTTGCATTCTACTGTTAATTTCAAGTAATATCAGTGAATAATGGCTCATCACCAAAAAACCTCAGCCTTGAAAAAAGTTTGTCCAAAAAGAGCTATATTTTAGACATTGCCATGGTGCAAAACAAAAACTATGCAACTTACAATAAAGCCGATTACATATTTTAAATCAGCATAAAAACCTACGTAAACGCTAAACATTTGATTTCTTTAGGCTACAGACCAAAGAAACTTTTCTTTTTAGGTAGCTGGATGTCACAGCGAAAGCTGGCAGAGCTGCCTTTCGAGAGCCTTTTTTAAACTCTCTTTGTCTCTTTAGGTAACTGCTACAAGCACACTTGCAGCGTACTCACTATGCCATAAATCCTAATAATAATTTTTTGTATTACAAAGGCATTCAGTATGCCATTCTTTGAAGAAGAATGGTTCCCACTCCATACTTGCAAGGAATATTGTGCAAATTTTTTATGCTGTGGCTGAAAACGATGAAGAGTTATGCCTGGGGCTTTTGTAATAGGTTGGTGCATTTAACGACCGACTTGTTACGCGATTCGCACTGCGTGACGCCTGGTTGTGCCTATGCTGTTCAAAATGCTTTATTACTCAAATTAACGCCATTCCTTTCCCGACATGAAGCCTGCCTAGGGTCAGTTGGCAATGGAGTTTCAAGCACCGGCGTGGCGCAGTGGTAGAACGCTGGGCTGCCACAGGTGACTCGGGTTCGAATCCCACTATGTCCTTGGAGTTTTTAATTTACTTCGTTTTTTTTTATTTCGCATGACAGTGGTTATAGACACCAGCAGCAATGGCAGACATCTACAGTGCCAAAAACTACCCTGGCTGTGATTTCATAACAGCTTTCACTGTAATAATGTTGACATTGGTGCTGTAACGGGGCACTTCAAGTGGTCATTGAACATGGCAGTGTTTCCAGCAAAGTGATTCTCTGCAGCAATACGAAGCACAATGAAATCAAATGACTGCTAGCTGTCTGCTCAGGAAGCCTGCATGAACATGCACACTGTGTCCCAAGTGATTTGAAGAAACATAAGGTTCTTGACGTGCTTTTGAAATTTACGAGTACAGTTCTCCACACTGCTGCTGAATGGATTACACAGTTTTCTTGTAAAACAACGTACACTATGCTGCTAGTAATGCTATATACTTATTCACAATTAAAGATAAAATATTCAATACCATTTCAACTAACCTTGTTAGGATCGGCTGGCAAGTGTGAAGTCACCGAATCGGGTACTTCACAACTTTTGGATGGAAAACCGCAGTCATTTGGCTTAGTAAACGAGTCCCCTTCGTTAGTCACCAAAGGCTTCCCAGGTGGAGAACTGGTCAATAGAGAGGAAGCCATACCTGCTGTGTCATGTGACAAAAGTCATTACATGATCAGAGATCACAAAGAAATGGTTAATCGCGTTAAACTACATAAAACAAGTGACACACCAACACGCAAACATACTAAACTGATAAGTGTGAAGGCAGCATTAGTGAATAGGAAAGAGACCTTATTATTCGTTCAGTCTGCTGAAGATTGACTTACAATTGATGATTTGATATGTGGGATTTAACATCCCAAAACTACCATATGATTATGAGAGCTCGGGAAATTTCGACCACTTAGGGTTCCTTGACATGCTTCCAAATCTAAGATTGACTTTTACTCAGATGAGATATGTGCATATACAAGTAAAAAAAATGTGAAAAAAATTACATCCGTTCTATTAGCATTGTTAAACCTATGTTTGGAGGTTTTCTACATAGACAAGAAAAAAAAAATAGATCCATTTTATTTGTTATAAACATGTACTAAGGCCATTTGCAGACTCTATATCCTTGAATTCTGCCAAGACGTTTCGCTTTATTTATTTGCCTGGCTCTTTGGGTGTTTGCACACAGACGTGACAAATGAATCTAACGATACAAGAACAACTGTGTAGAAGCTTCATTGCACAGAACAGTCAATATCAGCACATATAAACCACCTAGAAACACTCATAAAACCAGGTGCATAATTGGAAGTTTTAGGGGCGAAAATCCTTCTCGTAGTACGTAACCACCAGTGGCACATACTCGAAATAAGTATAACATTTGACCTCAAAGGTGGTGCCGGTGAGATTTCTTCTGTGCGTTGTTTATAGTGCTCAATGTACATGCCAATGGCTGCTAATGGGGAATGAGAGACAGGAGCATTCGGCTTTTAGTCAACGCGCACGCTGCGATCCCCATTAGCAGCCATTGGCATGTACATTGAGCACTATCGGACAAGAAAGGGTTGCTACGTTATACTCGCTGGGTGTAACCTCCTTGGTTTTAGAAAGGTTTAGCGAGCATTGGGCCGCTGTGCCATGAATACAGTGAACTAGTATATACCATGAACTCGAGGTGGTTGAAGGTGGGAAGTAGACCAGAAGCGCAAGCCATAAGAAAGTGTGCGTGTGCCACCTCTCGTTTAGTACTTGGAATGTCCTTTGAACGGCGGTGCTTCTATATGGGGAATACGTATATGATGAAAAGATGTGAGATGGTGGGACTTGGAGTGTTGAATAGATGGACGAACGGACACACAGACAGATGCATGGATAAACGCATGAACGGACGCAGGGGCGGATGCATGAACGAACGCAGGGACGGTCGCAGGAACAGACGCATGGACGGTCACACAGACGGACGCATGGACAGACGAATGCTTCGCCCCACTCTCCATCATTCACTCCGTGGATATGCTGCCATTTTGTTTTGGAGGGGGAGGCCCACTTGTTGAAGCCCTTGTAATATTCCTATTTTTTCATTATTATGAAAACAACTCCCTCAATTAACAACCCCCTCCATTAGAAATTCGTGGGGAGGGGGGGAGGGGGATTAGAGCTTAGAGCACCCGGCCCCTGGCTACAGGCCTGATATGGACATATTCACAAGGAATTCCCAGAAGATGCTTTGATAGTGAAACATATCAAACCCTGAAATTTAATAGTTTTTATCATGTTGACAACAATATGCATTAGACGGGGATGGTTGGTTGTTCCTTATTATACAGCCACAACCCACAACAGAGGATTGGCCGTAAAGTGGGCAGTTCCTTGTTTTAGAAATGAAATTGTTTCATGCTTAAGCGCATGACAGTTTATAAAATAGCTTGTTCTTCATTCTTCTCATTTTAGCTTGTGTTCACAGAAGGTCGAATGATTACCCTACTTTGTATGAGGGGATTTCATTTTGAGGATCAGTGCTTTTTAATTTCGTTACACCATTTAACTAGGCATCGGGCTTATTATGCAGCAGAGACTTGGTCTTCCTGCTCCGATGTGGGGACGGTCCTATTTATTAAGCCGCATTCCACAGAGCCTTAACTTTCTGAATAACTGACATCTTAATAGCTGACATTCTTGGCTCTGTTTCTTATCACTTAGTACCCACTCTATCACTATGAATACTGGTTGCTGTCTCATGGCAGCCAAACTAACATACTTCTTTCTTACTAGGTCAGTACTCACCAGTATTTTGTTCTCTGCGTTATGCTCTCTTCAAGTCTCTTAACGTGCCCCATGTCATTTTTCGTTTCTTTTAATGGCCCTACTTTGTTTAGAGTTCGTTGTCCACCAGGTTTCACTCTGTTATGTGAAAAGTGGCAGAATGCAATGATAGCAGTACCACTTTCAAACAGCTTCATTCAGGCTATGCATGCTAAGTGCAGCAAAAGCTGAATACCGATTAAGATTAAGTGAAGGCTTTGTTCCGTGCCTTGACGGTCAAAGCGTGCATATCCTAGCCGCTACCACTGACATAATCGGCAGAGCTTCTCTGTTTTCCAGCGCCTACCTGAGAAACTTGGTTCGTTGCTTGGTTCAAGATAAAGTAGTACCAAGTCTATGAAGTGATAAAGTGAACCACAGTTACGGGAGCAAGAGCTGCTTGAGGTGTTAGGGTAAACTTTTCAGCTTCGGTTTTGAAATTTTTTTGTTTACCACAAATATTAAGAGGATATTAGTAGCCTCAATAAAATGTCATACTTTAAGTGCAGCGGTCTACTACAAAGTGGGTGCAGTTGTTGCTATAAAAAAAAAGGCATTATTTGCGACAAGAAACTTACACACAGGCATACGAATGTTGGTAAGCGTAAAGTGGCCTACCGACATGGAGGAAGAAAAAACTACCTACAATTGTTCAACAGAGAATAATCATAGATCTCACATCTCACTTTAAGAAAAAAGTTACGTACCACACTGCTAACCAAACGACGCAGCCAATTTGAGGACAGGAAACTGATGCAAATGCCAAACAGGCGCTGACCCGCTGCGTTCCCAGCCGCTACTTATATATCCTAATGATGATGAATGGATTGATATGGCTGTACCACAGAACACCCACCAGCTTGGCTATACCCTTTAGATCGGGAGGCGGTTAACGCCATCTACCCATAATAGTTAGTGAACCAACTACTAGATTTACCTTTTTTTCCCTTTAGATAGTGAAGTTGACGAGTGGTACTTTGTAGTGAAGGATTTAATTTTCTCTCGTGCCTTGATTTTAGCCACCAATCAGCTAACCTCCTTCTAGTTATTTCTACCAGCTTAAAGTCTACTTTTTTCTCGCTGTCACTAAACCCCAGTGCTTTGAAAAACTCTCTGCCATCATCTTGAAGCTCTTTACAAAACATTATTGGGTGTTCGGCAGTTTCCTCCTCCTCTCCACACGCACTGCATGCCATGTCTACCCCTTCATGTTTGACCCAATAAGTCTTGGTTCGCAATACTCCCGTCCTGGCCTCAAACAGTAGAGAACTACCCCGAGTATTATCATAGATCCTTTCCTTGGCAATTTCCTGCTTAAAAGTTCAATAGATATCTAGTACAGACTTCTTAATCGTGCCAATTCTCCATATATCGGTCACCGTTTTCTTCACCTTCTTCTTAACCGATAGTTCTTTTTTATTTGGCCCCCTGCTCTTTTCTAAGTACGTACCCATCAATTTTCTGGTTCGCTTCCTCTAATTTGTATCGATATCCTGCATGTACAAGTAGCTGAAAACCTGCCTAGACTAACGCTCCTCCCCCATTTCTTTCAATCACTTCTCAAGTTCGATCTTGCTGCTAGCTTCCCTGCCCTTGAATGATGTACATCCCATATCACCTTGTACCTGATTTGTTGTATTCCCCTGAGCTCCTAAAGCAAGCCTACCTATTCCACGTTGCTTAATTTCTAATCTTGCTTGAACCTCTGATCTCATGCACCAGACTGCATTGCCGAAAGTCAGGCCAGGAACCATGACCCCTTTCCATATTCCTCTCACAACATCATACCTATTGTGATTCCACAGTGCCCTATTTTTCATCGCCGCTGCATTCCTGTTACCTTTAGACGTTACGTATATTTCGTCTTAGCTTAGGTACTCAGTCCCATTGCTTATCCATACACCCAGATATTTGTATTTATCTGTTATCTCTAGCATGACCTCCTGTATCCTAAGCTACCTTCATTGTAATTAAAAATCATGACTGCTTATTTTTTCTTACTGAATATGGAATCTAACCTATCTCCCTCATTACCGCAGGTGTCCATCAATTTTTGCAAATCTTCTTTGTTGTCGGCCATTAGCACTATGTCATCTGCGTACATCAATGCTGGCCCTGGTCAGTGAGTTTTCCTTGTTTGACGAAAGAGAGGTTGAACCCAGTCCACTTTGCTCTAATTTGGCCTCTAATTTTTGTAGGTACATTATGAATAACAAGGATGACAGAGGACACCCCTGCCTAAGCCCCCGTCTTATCGCTGTGGGCTTGGTTTTCTGTTTTTCCCATTTTATAACTATCTTGTTACTTCTGTAGATATCCTTTAAAAGATTAGTGACTCCATCTTCCACACCTAAAGTGTCCAGTATTCCCCACAAGACATCTTGAACCACGCTATCGTACGGTCCCTTGATATCCAAAAATGCTAGCCACAGGGGCCTGCGTTCTTTTTCTGCTCTTTCAATGGACTGCGTCAGAGAAAGCAGATTGTCTTCCAACCTCCTGTGTTTCCGATAGCCATTCTGGAGTTTGCCCAGCACCCCCTCATCCCCTATCCATGCCTGCAGTCTTCCTTTTATAATCTGCATCACCAGCCTGTAGACCACTGATGCCACTGCTATAGTACTGTAGTTGTTTATGTCAGCTTTGTCCCCCTTTCTTTTACACATCATGCTCATCCTGTTAAGTTTCCATCCCTCGGGAACTTCACCATCGATTATTGTTTTGCTCGTTGTCTCTCTCAACGTCTGTTTAGACTTGGGACCCAATGCCTTTATCAGCACAATTGGGATGAAATCCGGGCCTGTTGATGTTCTGCTATCGACCCTCTTCTCAGCCCTTTCCCACTCTTGTTGTGAAAATGCAGCTGCCTTTCTCTCCAGCCACTGAGCCCCCTTTCTTCTAATTTTTTCATTGATCAGAAGGGATGCTTCCATTCCTGCAGATTAGAAAGATGTCCCATTTCCCATCATCTGTTGGTTCACCCCACTGCTTAGCACGTTTGTGTTCCCTAGAGGCTTCCTGACGTTTTGCTATGGCTCTCTGCACTTCCTCATCCCACCAACTCTTGGGTTTGTGTCTCTTTTTTGGGGTGACTTGTCACGTGCTTTAGCAAGCTCTAGTTCAAACAGTCTAATTAGATTCGTGTACGTCCACTTTGTTTTATAATCCTCAGCGATTACTTTCTCAACTTGTTTAATAGCTATTTCTATTTGCCTTTCTGAATAAAAATTCCCCTGTAGTTGCTCATATTGTCTCTTTCCTACTTTCCCTGTTCTTTCAAAACTTTGCTTGATACGTTTGTGATCACTACGCAGACTTCTGGTGCCACATTCATCTATGCGTTTTCCCCTGAGCCTATATCTATCATACATCCTATGGGACATCAGTGCATAATCTATCGTCCAATGCAGACTTCCTACCTCCCATGTTATTTACCCTTCACACTTCTCAGTACTGTTGCAAATGATCAAATCATGCCTTTCACACATATCCATGATCATTTTGCCTGTTGGGTCAGTATACCCATCTATATCTTTTATGTGCACATTCATATCTCCTTGTATAATTATCTCGCACTCTCCTCCTAATTCCTCAATGTCATCTGTTATACACTCTACCATTGCTTGGTTTTTCTATCTGGCCTTCGCTCCCATCCACAGGTACACCAAACCAAGGAGTGTCATCTGCCCAGGTACCTTCTCTTTTAACCATAAATTTTCCGTGCATCCCTGCTTCACTCTTTGTCAACACATACATTTTATGTATAAATGCCCCAATTCCACCTCCGTTTTTGCTGCCTTCTGTTATATTGCAATATTCCCAAACAAAGTCCGTATTGAAAGGTGGTTGCTCCATGTCCCGAAGATGTGTCTCTACAACCCAATATACCATCAGCTTCTCTTGCCTTAAGTGCTCTTCTCTTTTTTCCCTTTTCAACCTATTACACCCACCCTGCATGTTAGTGTCTGATTAAGCTCGGCCCTTGTGCTTACGTCGATTTCTTCTTCCACGAGCGCCACGTGGCTTGAATATTGTGTCCCTTTAGAATTGTCTTTGGCTACACTGTTGGCCTCAGGCATAGAGTTTCATACAGTATTATTGTATGACTATAAACTGCTCCCTGGATTGTTTACACGTCGCAGACGTCGAAACAACGGCTACATATTCTCCGATTTCTTGTCTGGCAACGACGTGTAAAATGGCGCTCTGATGCGGTCAAGGTAGCAGCGCGAGAGCTGCGTCAGCAGGGAAAACTTCACCGACAGCCCAAGTTGGAGGAAAGAAAAGAGTTTTCGATTGTCAGGCCATGTTTAGCCGCCTGTACAACGTCGTGCGGCAGCACAAAAAGAAGATATTCTTCAGTGTCGGCCTAGTCGGAGGCGCCTACCTTCTAAACCGGTATCTGCAGCGAAAACTACGCGACTGGGAAACAAAACAAACTCAGAGCTACATCGATCAAATCAAGCACCAGCACCACTTCGAAAACATCCTGCAGACGTCGGACAGCACCATTTTGACTCTCCTGGAGAAGGTAAGAGAGCCGCTACTCGCCATACTCGAGACGGACAGCCTGCTCGAGAAGCTCAAGACGCGACCTGCAAACAGGCTCGAGCTTTGGGAGGAAATCAAGGTGCGCCTTCTCACCTTTGCGCTGGCGAGCGTGTACGCGGAAAGTCTGCTCGCTTCGCTCGTTCGCGTCCAGCTAGGCGTCGTCGGCGGCTACGTGTTCGTCAACTCGCAGCGGGCACAACAAAACTCGGGAGGCGTGCTGCCGGCGCTCACCAACCAAGACATTCACCAGCGGTACCTGGCTCAGGTGCAGCACTTTTTCGAGAACGGTGTGCACGAGCTTGTGCGCGTCATCCGGGACGCTGTGGTGGCCGCCTTCGGCCACATAGGCCTCAAGGAGCGCGTCGGCCCCGCCGACTTTGCGGTGGGTTTCGACTTCGTCAAGAAACACGTCTCGCGTGACTCCAAGAAGCCGCTCCCGGGCTTCCTACGTCTGCTTCTGCCTCCTCTTGAGGTCGATGGCGACACGGACGATGTGAGGATGCTGAACGCGATGATCTTGGAGACGCGGGACATACTCGAGACCGACGACTTCGCCAAGGTTCTCGGGATGTGCATAGACCGCGGCATCACGGGCCTCACCAACGATGTCGAGGTGTGTTTCCAAAACATGCGCGCCGCGGAGCGAGAGAACGGCAGTGGCGAGCGAGCCGAATGTTCTGTCGCGTCAACGTCTGCGGGATATCCTATGGCAAAACTTTTGCCAGTGCTGAGGAACTGCCTCGTCTCCGGCAGACAAGATGGCTTCCTCAGAACCGTGCTCCAGGAAGAACTACTCCGCAGCATGATTGCCAACGTCTACGAAGCCTTCTGTCAGACAGAGGATGCAGATAGGATAAACCACAACCTAGCACCGTTGTCATCGTGACCGTGAGAAACGGCGACACGAGCCGGCGAGCCGGTGACAATTGACAGCGTAGTGACGGGCAATGTCAGCATTCGCAATTACTTTGCTCGTTGTGCAGTCCAGTCGCTCCAACAAACTCCTTGTATGGTTCTTCTTCACTTATTGCCCGACATCATGTCATTCAAAAAAAAAAAAAAAAACGTGTGGGAGAGTAGATGCGACTGTCATTTCGGCGTGCTTGTCAGTTTTCACAAATTTCGCCTTGCTAGAAACGTTTGATGATGCCGAATACCTACTCGGTTCAGCAACCCCGATACATGATATATTCGTCGTATTTGCGAACCTTCGTGGAATTGCACTAACTTTAAGTGTGAGAAGATGTAGGTTACTGCAGATATGACAAGTGTCAAAAACTCGTTATTGTGCTCCATCTTGGATGCACTTGGTCCTGTCATTTTGCCTTGACAGCTCAATGTAAGGAAATGTCACTGGCTGCAATTTGTAGCTGCTGTTCTCATGCAGCTTGTCATACAAAATTGAGGTCTATAATGTCTCCCTTTACATATCATGCTTTTTTACTGTGCATATTGCAGCAGCTTGTGTTCCACGTTTTTTTTTTTGTTTATGTGACTGTAGTTGGTCATGCCATTGCTCGAACGAATCTTGGTATTGCGAGTTTTGTGGGTGTGCGCATTGTCTGATTTAAAGTGATAAAAAAATGTCCATAAGTGTAACCTGTGCTTGTCCAGCTTGCCTGACTAGTATGTAGCTGTGGTTGGGCTCAACTATTAAGGCAAGAGCGTTCTCACCTAGACAATTAAGGCACCGTAGCCAATTGCTCCTGTGACTATAAAGTAGTAGTTTTGCTTTAATCATCAACCACATTCTTGATCGGCATGATTACTGGCTCATAACATCCTTCTAGTGTGTGTGTCTATTGGTGCAGGCCTTGTCTGCATCCGCCTTTGAGGTGAAGTGCTGCTACCTTCCGAAGTTGTACCCAACTATAGTTACTGCACTAGTGTGAAACAGGCATGGTAACATCCTGGGGCCACTTGTATTTAGTTCAGCACTTGCGAATGCACTCATTACATTTTCAATGCAGCTATGCCTCTTTTCTGTTGATTAAATAATAATTTCGAAAAAAAAATAATAAAATATATGGTGTTTAGCATCCTAACACCACCATATGCTTATGGGGGACTGGACTCCACAGTAGAGGACTCTGAAAATTTTGTCTATCTGCTCTACTCTAATGTGCACCGACATTACACCGTACATGAGCCTGTAGCATTTTACCTCCATCAAAATGCAACTGCCGTGATTGAATCCTGTGATTTTCGGGCCAGCAGCCAAGCACCTTAGTCCCTAAACACTGCTGTGGACTCGTTTCAGAAAAGGGAATGGCATGAAGCAGTGTTTCTTGGTGCACTGCTAAGATAAACATTGTGGTGTTTGCATTTATCCGTGAAGGGTGGACTCGTGTTTTATGCATTCTTAACACTTGTACAAGTAATAACTCTGTAGTGGGGCTCTGTGTCATGTGAACGACAAGCATTAAGTGGTGTAATTTACAATTCCAAGTGAGGTATTTTGTATGAGGGGAGGTATATTTGAAGCGTTTGTAATACTGTTTGTCTTTACCACACCATAAGCGCCATGTGAATTGGTAGGCTTTCTTTTTTCAAAAGTCTGCCCTTAGGCATAATAATGTTTGGTTCAAAAATACACATGCAAATTACCATGGGCTTCACTGCTGGTTGGCTAGAGAATAAAGAGTTAATGACTGAGAAGAACGTCATGTGAATGTCTAGTTTTACGAACTTTGTGAGCTTAATAAACACAAGACTTGTAGAGGCTAGCTAATTTTTGGTGCTGCAACCAAGGGTATAACATATTTTGCTGACAGGTGGACGCATTTGCTTGTTTTCAGTTAGCTCACTTTGCAGATGTTCTGTGCGAGCATTCAAACGTTAAATTATTGCTTACTGTAATACTGTTCGTTGAAGCATGGAAAGCCATGTCTGTCACTTGGCCCAGCAATATAAGCATACCCAGCTAAAACCCTTTCCTATACTTTTGTGTCCAAAACGTCGAACTTTTTTCATGGATATCCGGAGTGTCAAGTCTGCACTGCACATATGTGCCAAACAATCATGTGCAGCACATGTTCCAGCTTTTTGTGTAAATATAATATACGTGGCAAATTGGTATGCAATTTTAATGGCATACCAACTTGCCAGGAAGCTGGATTAGTATAGTGTGAAAATTCTTTCCAACTAATCATGTTTGCCCATTTAAAATTCATAACAGGTTAATCTTTGTGGCCATGTAGATTTAGTGCCACTATAAAGGAACACTGAAGTGGAACAATGAATTGGTTTATATTGTTAAAGAGTACTCTGAGAACTGAATTTGGTCATTGATTTTTGCCAATAACATAGAAAATCAAGGTAAGAATTTCAATATGAAACTTTGCCTTGAAATCTCTGCACATGACCTCACAGATTTCAAAGTGTATTTTATGTATCTTGGCATCATTGGCAGAGGGAAGTTTCCTGAAACTTGGTATGTTAAGTCTATTGTCTCTTCAGAGGTCAATACACTTTTATTTTACCCAATTATAAACAGCATAGGGCATAGTACAAATCGTCAAAATCGATGACTTTACGACGATTAGTTGAGAACTTTGACGTGGGGCCGCCACCAGCATTTTATTTTTCCATGTTTTTCTTTTTAGAAAATGGCTTCTTGCCACAAGCGTTGGCATTTTAGAATTGTAAAATTAATTTATTAATACGAGAAAAATCGTTTTGTTCTTTAGTGTCCCTTTATAGGGGCCCTGCAACACTTTTTCACCATAGTCGGAAAATGCTGCCAATTGGTGGTCAGGGCTCCTAAGAACACATGAGCCAAAAATAAGAGTGCGGCATCCAACCTGGTCTTTATAACTATTAATCAAAGTCAGCTATAAATAGTTTTCTCTAGTTTTGACAGGTGTCATAAGCCCAAATTACGATGTCAAAAGCTCAAACTTGATGGCAACTGGCCGATTTAAGCATCGCAGGCTACATAGTTACTGCAGCCACCACCACGTGCCCGCATGTGTGCTCGCGATCGCATTTGCAGGTAGCGTGGTGTCGCCTGCAGACACTGTCCTATCCTAACCCACTCATACTGTCTTAAGACAGACTCCGACACACAGCACCACAGTGCAGCTTCTGCACCAATAGAGGGAGAATTTATTAGAAGGCAGAGAGGTCGGCCTGAGTTAGTGCGCTCTAGCCTGCTACTCTACACAGGGGATAAGGGAAGGGGGAAAGAGGGATGACGATAGGGGCAGGAATAGGTGGTGCATATGTACAGTAGCCACTTAGCATAGTGCCCTACAGGTTAGTATCTAGTCCAGTGCTTTTGAAAAATTCTGAAACAGCCACTCTAAACCACATAGTATGATAATGTCCACACAGTCCACTCATGCAACCTAACAAACAACCCAAAATAAAAGGGTTGGAGGCAGCTCTGTCTATCTTGGATATGAAGACCCAAGAGGGTCTTCATGTGAAACATGCAAGGAGAACAGCCAGCTTCAATGGGATTCCAGACTAAGGATGCCACTTGGCGATTTTATGCTGAACACTGAACAACATTTTATTCTCTTTGCAATCAGATTTAAAAGGCCGCATGTTCAAAGCAACAAAAGGAAGAGTTAGTGTTTGTAGGCTCTATCCTTTAATTGTAAAGCAGAAGCAAGTTTGCATAAAATAATAACTGTCTTTCAGTGGGCAGTAGCACACGTATGTCCCACTTTTTTCTCAAACACCCTTAAGAATAGCTGAAATTTTGTACATATAAGTTGATACAAACGACAATGCCACCGTCAATAGTTAGTGTGCATTGTTCATAATGTTGGGCCCCACAAAGGTTAAGAATGGCAGCTTTTACTAGTCCAGGTTTACCAAACTGGTCTCTGAACATGCTACAAGAGAACAATTTTGGTAGATCTTAACATTTTTCAGCTAAAGATGGGTGCTTATGAGTATGCTGAAACTGTTCTCCGAGAAGCTAAAGCAGAATTAAAGAAACACCATTGGGTTGTGTGTCATCAACCTAATTACCTTGTGAAAAAAAAAGAATTTGGATAAAGATTAATTAAATTCTTTGCCAACTCAATCAATTGCCCAGCCTGACATTGACTGGAAAGCAACCGCGACGGCAAACACATACAATGAAAAAAAAAAAAAACAGTTGTTGTGCAATACTATATTGTAAAGAGTTATTTGTCAAGGCTACTAATCAGCCAACTTTATTCGAAAAATAATTAGCAGTACACAATTATAAAAATACTGCACTGTGTGCATGTACATACAACAAGGCAAAGTTCATAAGGCACTAAAACACATGGTAAATGGTAACATCATAAATAATAGTAACGATGTAGAAGTAAGAGCAATAAAAAAAAAGACACGTCACAGAATAGGAAAATAATAAATATTGTCTTTCAAAACTTGGCATTTCCATGTTTCTTGTTTTTCAGTACTCTGGCAATATTACAAATAAAAGGAATTACTTTTTGATTCAGTGTAATGCTGCATCCCCAGGGCCAGCGGGGCGTTGCAGAAAGAACCAAGTGCAGTGCATTGACTTGGAAAATAGCACTACGCTAAAAAACAGGATGAAAGACAACAAGATGAAAAACATTGCAACTACAGCAATTTTACTTTGTACATAAGCAGGAATAACAATAATCATTCCCCCTACTTGCTACTATCCTCGTGTGAGGACTTGAACAACGTTCTATGCAACCATTACAGGTTTGCCAAGGAACACTGAAAAGATGTGAGATAATAAGTTTAATATGTACTACTGGGCTAGTTGGTTGATCGTTGGCAAAACGGCAAAATGAAGAAACAGCGCTTGCGCTGCCTGCCAGTGAATGCACTAACAGGCGAAAGTGCTTATGTCAGCTGGACGTACCGACACACTCTTGTTATGTGCAGGGCACCTGCTGATCGAGCATGCTGGCATCTATTTTTGCCTGGTTTGGCCGTAGCTTGCGTGTTCCACATTACTCTTTGGCCACTTGTACAGTTTTTAAGTGGGCCTTTTGAGTCCCATAAACAGTCTGCTGTAGAGAATGCACACAGACAGCGAAATGCATAAACAGTAAATAGTGGTGAGGTTGTAAATATTTTAGTGATAATGGAATTGTTTTCATGCTGGGTGATAGTAAAAACCTTAAAATTAGATAAAAACATACGAGGTGCTGTGCAAATAAGGCCGGCATGTTCAAGACTCTATTCGGTCAACCTAGTAGCATGTTTAGGCTCAGAAATCATAGGAAAGAGGAAATTTGGGACGCTGATGCGGTTTTGATATCGTGGCAGATAATAGCATACTTCGAGTTAATTCTGCATAAAACAGCTGAATCATAAAAGGGCTACGCATTACATGATGCAAGCTCGCACTCACGGCTACAACCAGCGCTGGCAACAGGTTTAAATCCATAGCAATGCCCATAAAGGTTATCAGGAGGACAACAGCCGCAGTAGCTCAATTGTATGAAAATTGAATGCATTATCTGAAGCTTATAGGTTCGGTTATTACCAGCAGCAAGCTGTCTTTTCGTCCCCTTTAATTTTTTCACAGTTATAATTAATTCATTGCAGTTAACAAATACAAATAATACCCGAAATACCTTTCTAGGCTTACCTGTCTACTGGTTTCATAGGTTACACGTGACAAAAAAAAAAAGAGCTTTTCATCCATTACCCTTCCTTCATACATTGGCGGTCTGTTTTCCAGTATACACAGTTGCTAGCAAATCTCTAGACAACAAGCAACCTACAATACGAATGGATTTGCAAAAGAAAAGCAAGGTACAATGCAACATACAATACGTCAAGTATACAATGCCAAAAAAGAAAACAAAATAAAACAATAAGCACATTTGTATACTAAACAGTGCTGTATTTGCAGGTAGTACATACACTCAACTAAAATACCTTTTCAAACAAGAAATCGGGGGAAAAAATGCATTCAATTGAGAGTCAGTGTATCGGTCCTGGCATCTAAAAGACCAGCAGCTACTTTGTGCATGGCTACCACATCCTTTACATCCAATTCCCACAGAATGGAGAAATCACAATGATATTCAGCCTTATCATGCCCTCCACACTCTATAAACATTTAGGAATGGCTGTACATAGTCAAAAAAGACCTGATAACTTCAGATATGAATTTAAAATCAATTCAGTTCATACGAACGAGTCCTTAGCCTTTACCTAGGCTATCAAGTAATGTTGTGATAAAAACCATGTTTAAGTTGTAGTAAGTAAATAACGCTTTGAGATGCTATGCACACAATTGTGTACAGCAGTTGATTGTGCTATCTGTATCAACCAAAGGCTAATAAAGTACAATATATGCAAAGCTTTAGATGGATTAAACCTCCAGCATAATTAATTTGTCTTTATTTGACCTCGTCTTGCTTGGTGCTGTTGCATATGATCACTTTGCTGAACGCACTATCACATTTGACAAGTCGTTCAACGTGCTGTTTTCTGGGAGCCAGGTGAAAAGTACAATTCTTTTTGCACAAAATACACACAACTAAAAATAAGTTTGCACTGTACTTCTAGCCTGACATTTCATTTTATTGATAACAAAACAGAGCTCAGGATAAATATGCATTTAACTACAATCTAATTAGGATTGTCGTAAAATTTCAAGCAAATGACCACACCCAAAGAAGCACCCTCCTTTTTTTCAAGATATTTGCAGTATGTGCCAATGACAGAGCAAGTGCCCCCCCCCCCCTCCCCTCCTTTTCCTCCCGCCATTTTCACTATTTCATTCACTAAATCAAAACAATGGATACATTTGCACTCGTAGTGCACTAGTGCGAATGAGAAAAATCCGGCCACAAGACAACAATGACCCACCAAGCATGAGATGGTGCGCCTGTTCTTGTTCGTGCTGACTAAATGGCTTCAGACGAAATGTATTGTTTGTGGGTCTCACAGCATCGATGTCTGTCAGCCTGTTAGCACATACTCAGTGAAGCACTTCATTGGAACAACGAGTGTGCATTTTTTTTTCTTAGCGGCTCTTCCTCCACCATTTCCAATTTTTCTCCATGACCGAGCAAGGGCCTCTCTCCAAATCTTGTCAGATTATCTTTCACCGAGGAGGGGGGATGGGGGGGAGCCTTTCTTGGGATTTCGCGGCAGTTACTGCAACACGCATAAGTTAACATATTGTGACATTATTTTTTTCACAAAGGCACCGTGAGTTCCATTAAATAACGTATCAGATTGACACATTTACAGACAGTCCTTCATAAATGGCATCTGAAAGGGTTAAAAACATTTCACGCCCTACATCTTGCTAGGTAGGCGACTTTATGGCGCAGAGTAAAAACTACATTTAAGAATAAGACACTCACAAAGTAATAAACGACTATACAAGATAACAGGGTAGGCTTCAATGAAGAAGCTTGCACATGGTAACACAACTTGGAACAAGACTTAAAATACTATGTACACAACAAAATGCACGTGAAACATTGAACTATTACACATGTTGAGACACACGCCTTACTGGTTTCTTCAATGTCTCAAACCATCATACACTGCACAATGAAATGTTGCATGAGCACAGATACACTTCATGATGCCTTAGCATGTCTTATAAGAAAGGACTTCTTTGACACTGGCAGGTTGAAAACAGCCAACTAAGCAATAAGTTTTCAAAATTATTGATACAGAATCAGCATGAATGCACTGCTGTAGTTCAATGTTCAAGCAAAGCTCAAAACTGGAACAGATTCATCAAGCTGTTTTGACTAGATGAGCATAATGCATATTTTTAAAGAGACAATACAAAAGAAAACAGTTCATACTGGTAAAAAACCTTTTCTCTTATTACTATTAATGAACTTTATAATGGCAAGATTGTCAAAAAATAATATAAAAATAAGCTTTGTTGGGTTAAAGTTTACTAAAACTACCACTGTCAGACCCAGGCAGAATGTGCTAGTGACTTTGTTTTATAATGACATTGCATTAAAAAAAAAAACAGAGAAGAGCTTCGTGGTTTTATCACCTATAGACACCCAAGAATTGGACTGCATCAGTACTCGATAAGTATAAATATGCAGTCATTCAAGAGCCAACAAAAGCTCCCTGTGATCTTGATTACGTCCACATGGATCGTTCTGATCAAAAGCGAGTTTTTCAACAGGCTTGGCCACTGTGCAATCACATTGTAACACGTTCGTTTGCCCACCGAGTACACTAAAAGCAAACTCAGACACTTTTCGAGAGCTCGAGCTCCCCCAACTTGTTACGGAGAGTTTGTTCACAGTCGGGATCGGGCCACAGTGGGTGCCGAGCCATGCACTGCAGCCTCGTGTGGCACTGGTGCTCACCAAATATGTGGTGCAGCATTTTACTTATGTGCTTCGGAAGCTTGAAGACCACTCCTCGGGTGAACACTGACGTCGGCACGCAGGTCTCGGGGGTTCCGGTCATCAGTACCTGCCGTGAAAATCACTGTCTTCAGTCAACTTTTCGTTCACTGAAAAATGAAGGCTGACCAAAGGAACCTCCTCCTCCTACTGTGATCCTAGATTAACACACTCTTTCAGAGGCCTGAAAATTTACAAATCTAGCGCTTACTTTTTTTGCGTGCATCGACTCAAAAAGAGGAGAACAGGAACATGAAGTCAGACGTGCGCAGGACGTGCTGTTCTCGTTAATCACCATGTTTGTGCAACTGTTGAATGTAGATAGGGTGACTGAATGCGATGGTCAATTACCTAAGCTTTACGTTTCAGCCATTTTGTTCATACTACATAGTAATACTTTTCTACATTCATCCTTGCACAAATGTGGTGATCGGCAGAGCGTGGCACACATCACGTGTGCCCAACTGTTATTCTGCTCTTTGAGCTGACGCACAGAAAGTAGTAGGTAATACAAAACATAGTCTATTTACAGTTATGTACAAATGGAATACAAAACTAATTGAACTGACCATTCCAATGTCCCTGTAACATCTTTTCTTCAAATCAGAGAACACACTCAAATGAATGCACTGCTTTTGCTGATGAAACTTTTGAAAAGAAAAGGACATGACATGAAGAAACATTCTCTATTTTTCCCGCTAGCCCTATACATAACAGTTTCTCTAAGGTGGGTAGTGGTGGAAGATATGCCTTTCTTATTGCTCCTTCATTCATCGTTAGGGAACTCGTGACAATTTTTCAAGCTTGGCGCCAAAGAGTGATCACTGTGGTTGTTGTTGTTGAAGTTCAACGTCCCAAAACCGCCGTTTGATTATGAGAGATGCCATAGTGAAGGGTTCTGGAAATTTTGACCACCTAGGGTTCTCTAATGCACGCCTAAATCTAAGCACATAGGCCTCAAGCATTTTCGCCTCCACCAAAAATATGGCCGGGATTCGATCCCGCGACCTGCAAGTCAGCAGCCGAGTACCTCAGCCACTACACCACCTTGTTGGGTGTGATCGCAGTGGTGATAGGAAAAGTGGGATGCCTCATAAGTTCTCCCACCATGTCTGCTGCAATATTGGATGTACCTGCAATTTCACACAAGCTTTTGGCCAAAAAGTTGACCCACAGTCACACACGATTCACCCGATGGTTGGTTTCTATGTGTTGTCAGACTGGCTATGATGATACCGAATGTGGCAAAAAAGCTGCAGGAAATAGAAAAAGCAACCCCCACTATGTATGGCCATGGGCTCACAGCGAAATGTAATGTTTCACTGGCGAACATTTGACAGAAGTCTCCCTGGTTGGGATAGGAGTGAGGCTATTGGAATACTCCAACCAAAAATTGCATTCAGGAACTCGAGGTTTCGAAGCCAGACCGGCTTCTTTCTCAGGGTTGAGAAAACCAGAGATGTGCGGTGCTTCAATACGCTTGCTTGCCTTGTATGAGAGGTTCACCGCGACCCGTCCCAAATCCTGGCAATAGAGGGCAAAGCGGTCGATGTTCTTCGCTGTTTGCTGAATGCGCCAGGATTTGAGGAGGAGTCGACAGCAGGTGTTCCTTTCTTTTTACAGAATCACTGCGTCGTCCAAGTGGATGTGGTGGCCAAACCGCTCGTAGTGTTCTGCTACTGCATTTTATTAGGTGTTCCAATTGAAGTACCGTATATACTTGCATAATGATCGCACTTAAAAAAAAAATTGACTCCAACTTCGAGATGCGATCATTACGCGGGGTATATTTTCCGTGAAAAAATATTCTGAGCACCGGAAATGCAAAGAAGTCACTAATCAGAATTCTTACGGTAGCTATCATGAACATAACTAAAAATAAAGGTAAATTAAGGCTTACCGTTGTAATAAAATGCACGCATTACGCAGGAGCTACATGCATGGCACACTGCCCTTTTATTTTTTACCTCTTTGACCCCCCAATGTTCATTCAGACTCCGAAGCATCACTGGCATCAGTGTCGTCGCCGCACGATTCCCTGTTGAAACCGGCAGTGTCTTCACTGTCCCACAGAGGGTCATCTTCCGTTCCGTCGAGCGCATTGAAAATGCCAGCGACAGTCCATTCCGCCGCATGAAGCGTGTCGTCCAGCCGGAACTGGCGCGGAAGTCCTTTGTGGCTATTCCCAGCCTCCGGGAAACTGTGCACGCCTGCGTCTTTATCATGTCTAATGACACTGCATAACCGTCCTTGCGCATGTCCTTCACGTATTCGAAGACTGCCTTTTCAATGTCAGGGAACTTGCCAGATTTGGGTCCGCGGAAAGCCCATCGTGTGCTGTTAGTAGCCATGAGCGTGTCGCGCTGTTTTTTCCAATATCAAATCCGGATTTCGTCGACGCCGAAATGTCTGCTGGCAGCGCAGTTGCCGTGCTCTAGCGCATAGTCAAGCACCTTCAGCTTGAACGCGGCAGTAAAGCTCGCACACCACTCTATGGTAAACCGGCACTTCAACAGACGATCACAAAGCACACCGAAAAAAAAAAAAATTGTAGTCTCAGGGAAAAAAAAACATTGCTGCAGGATGAACACAGGTCGACCAACAGGCGGCCACCGCTGTAACAGTGCGGGATGTGAAAACAAACATGGCGGCTGACGGAGCGAAGCACTCCGTGGAGCGAAGCCACCGCAATTTTTTTCTTCTTTGTGTCAGTTATGGAGGTTGTGAGTACGTCACGCACGTCAAAACAGTTTCTTCCATCTAAATAAAGAATGCTTTTATTTAAATAAGTAAATTTACAGCATTGGCACAGTGATACTCGATTTCAGATCACAGAAACAATGAGAGGCGCGTTCAGCTAGACTTGGCACATGACATGTCGATGCGGCAAGTTCAGGGTGCGATCATTACACGGGGGAAAAAAAGTAGAATTCAGACGACACAATTTAGGGGTGCGATCATTACGCGAGTAAATACGGTAGGTCGTTCTTGTGCTGTCGCATCCTTTCATGGAAGTCCTTTCTTTCTCCAATATAGGAAGCGGGGCAGTCGGCGCACGGGATCTGGTATACGACGCCCTGAGATTTTTCCCCAGGTGCGTGACCTTTGGGGTGAGGGATGAAGCTGCTGATAACGGCGGATGGCTTGTGCATGATGTTGACCCGTGCATTTTTCAGTATATGGGCTATTGTTTCGCAGACACCGGCGACGTATGGGATTGACATACGTCGTTGCGGCGACGCAGGTGCCGTGTTTTTACTCTTGTGGAGGGCTCTGCGAACAAATGCTCTTTGTGTAGTCGTTGGCGCGGAGGTCACTGATTATTCTATCCGTTTCCTCCTTCCGCTGCTGTAGCGACGAGCAAACTCTCTCAGCCCTCCCAAAATGGCTTCGCATTGCAGAAAGCTTCTGGCATGTAGGGTGTTTTGACCTGAAATGGAGGTATTGGCCTGTGTGGGTGGGTTTCCTGAAAACCGAAAAGGACAAGTTCTGTTGTTGCCTTCTCACTCGTAAATCTAGAAAGTACATCCCTGAGTACACCCGTGAGGAAGAAACCAGTCTGGCTTCGAAATGTCGCGTTCCTGAATACAATTCTTGGTTGGAGTTTTCTAATTGCCTCAATGTCTAACTTGCATGCTTATAGAAGCAGTCAAGAAATCGTTTACATATTTTTAGCACACACAAAATGAGTTGTGCTGCCCCTTTATTGCAGTGTCTATAACTCTTCACTTAGTTGCTAACCACATGGTGCTCAATAATCCTGCAGACTTCTGTGTTAGAAAGCATTACGGCAAGGGAAAGCACTTGAGTGTGCAACAAGCAACACTTCCGGGAAGTTTCTTTACCTTGACCAGTTTTTTCTGGAGGTCGGGTAGTCGCACGATGTCATAGATGGCAGACGTGACGAGATCTCCCCACGGGTGATGTTCATGTGCAGGCCTCATGCGCTTTTCCACCTGTAATAAAAAGGCATGCATGAAAAAGAGAGAGAAAGTTTATTGACATGAAAAGCAGCAAGGTCTCTCTGAACTACATCTCTCTAGCTTATCTGAACCAATTCGGAACAGGAGGAAGCACAAAAGGAGAACAATGATGTGAAGGAGAAGACACAATATACATAGTGGGCGAGTATAGCCACAGCCTCGGAATTCAGGTGTGCACCTTAAAGAGGTACTGACACAAAACTTTGCATCTGAGATAGCTTTCGGATTGATTCCCGTTAACATGCAAGTATCACCTTCCAAATCTCAACAGTGAATATAGCATGAAAGGTAATTTATATGAATTTTGATGTTCACGTGCACAGTCCAGCACCACACACCGCAGCTCGCAACATTGACATCATCTAAGGTGATTTGATATGTGGACTTTAACGTCCCAAAACCACCATATGATTATGAGAGACGCCGAAGTGGAGGGCTCCAGAAATTTCAACCACCTGGGGTTCTTTAACGTGCACTCAAATCTGAGCACACGGGCCACAACATTTCTGCCTCCATCAAAAATGCAGCCGCCGCAGCCGGGACTCGATCCCGTGACTTGCGAGTCAGCAGCCGAGTACCTTAGCTGCTAGACCACCGCCGCAGGGCATCTAAGGTATGTGCTTTCTTCATATTTGCTTTCTCCATGTCATCCCTCCCTGCTTAGCTTCCAGCGATTTCGTTCAGACAAGAGAAGAGAGAATGCAATTGCACTGTGTTTCAAATCTTCGCAGCTCTGTTTACACTAGATGGATAAAAAATTTTGTGGGGGTGAATTCACGAGCCAATAAGGTACTTTAGTGAATACATCCTACGACTACTTGAAAAATTGTTGCAGGGCCCTTTTAAAAATTTGTTGTCATATGTATTTACTATCTTTCTGATGTTAATACTTTAAATTTGTTTACTAAACTTTTTTGCTTTTCTTACTTTCTTGCAAGTTGGCAAGTTTTCACTATGGTGGTGACTGTGCAGTTTGTTTGAGTTGACGTCACGCACGTAACGTCATGAATTTTAATATTTTCGCGACATTGGCTTGATGAAATTTTCAGAAACTTTGTATTCTCAGTTTATGGCACGGACAGATGACAATGTACTTCAATTTCACCCATTAGAAGCTACGTAGGACTCAGTACACACCTTCAAAGTTTATGACGTCATGGTGTTTGGTGCGGAAATCTCCATTTGGGGTCTCCACCCACATTTTCTTTTCGCGTGTTTTCTCACTTACCAAGCGTTGTATTGAGGTAAGAGCGGTGTTTTCATAATTGCAAAATTGTACTTTACAAGTGCGCAAAAAAAAGTTTTGCCCTGTAGTGTCCCTTCAACGGGAGTTTCAGTTACTCAGGGTGGAACAGAGAAGGCGAATAGAAGTATGAAACCAATCTTTTCACAAGCGTTTGTTCCATTAAAGCAGCAATTCCGTTTAAGAAATTTCCATTTATTGAGAGAGTACTGTAAACAGTTTTCAACAGAGGTGTTCATTGCTTAATTGTACTGATCTATAATAGCAAATTTGCAAATGTGCCAAAATATTATTTACGAAGTATCGTAATGGATACAATAATTCCGGCAGTATTTTGGAGCTGCATCTCAAATCATTGTAACCCAACTGTCATGTGTCAATTAGCGATAGAATTTAAAAGTATCGCAGTCCAGCCTCGAGTTTCAATAACTTTTCCTGCTGGCAACACTCAAGCAAGTGCAAACTTTGCTCACACCCATGCACTATCAGAGAATTTCTTTCTGCCCTCACCTTTTCATAGACACCCTGTGACACGACGAGGAGAATGTAGTCCGCCTTACGCAGCCACGTAGGCAGCCACTGATGCGGCGCTCCCATCTCGTTGGCTTCAGTCACATCGAACACCACGTGCAGGCCAGGAACCCTTGACAGGAACTGGTACAGGGCCTGCACTGCTTCGAAGTGCGTCGCTGAGTCGTAAGAGTAAAGGAGGAACACTGTCGCTGACCTTCTTGCTTGCGTCGCTCTCCCTGTAAAGTTTCACAAACAAACAATATTCTGGGTATGTTCCTAAATTCCCCACAGCAATATCTTCAAGTGCAGCAAATCATACAGTTTCATACTATTGTCTTGAGAAAACTTTGGCACTGTGATTGTTCAGCCATCATAAGAATGATGGGTAGTACGCGAATTTCGCCTAATCTTCATGCATGCAGCTTCAATCTAACTAGTGGCTTTGTTTATTGTTGCCCCATTGGAATTTGTTTCGGATGAAAAAATAGACTGTTGTCAGCTTCATGGGCCAGTTTGGATTGCTGAGCATAAAAAGTTGATGAGGTGAAGTGGAAGTGCTGAAGATTTGCTTAATGTCGTCTTGTCACAATGCAGCTCCAGGTGGCATGGAGCCAAACAAAGCCAAAAGAACGAAGCCGAGACAAATCCATTTACTACCCATGATTCTCATGCCGGCTGAAGCGCCATGCATTTCAGCTCCCACAGACACTAGCCCCAGAGTTCCCTCTAGTGTAGACAGTAAAGACTGCTTATAATGTTAGTTGCGGAGTCGTGAATATCCCCATATCGGTTATAACGAAGCAAATGAAGAATATTCTTGCAATATACATAGTGTTAATAATAGACCTTTACAACAAATTTTCGGATATAACAAACTTATTTTTGTGGTAGATGAAACTTTGTTATGAGGTTTGAGTGTATAACCAAACCAACCTTCTTCAAGGGCTGCAGTTGCGCAAAACATGCTCATGCATGCAGCCTCGCATAACCAAAAATCGAAGCATGCAATGCGTGGTGCTTACAACCATTCGAATTTCCGAATGTTAAAAAAAAAATTGCAACTGCAAAAGGGGGGGCGGGGGGCGGGGTCTAACAAAAGAAAGCAACATCATGGAAGTTCGCCGACTATGACTATTTCTCATACCGCCTCGATTATGCGCATTACCCAGAAACTATGTCGAATCACGTGTGAAATTTCATACTCTGAAAGGCGCCAATACTTCGATTTCGCGCACACACACCCGATTTCAATACATTGCAATCAAATTGTGAACCACCGTTTGAGAGCTAAACGTCCCGCCATCATATCCATAAAAAAAAAAAGTACACTTTCCTTTTAAATGCAACCACCGCAAAAAGTTTTGTTCATTCCAGACCAAAGCGCAACTTAGATAGCACGCGACCACTGCCGAAATGCCACCAACGCTGATTAGGCCTAGCCTGCCATTTGGTATACGCTGTTGCAGGAAGTTTGTCTAAGACTATGAAGATTGGGCATCGAAAAGATTGCACTCAAGTACTGAACCAAGAACAACATGCATAATACGAAGTTTGCGTTCATGGCCGGGAGATCAACAACGAAAACCCACCAAGCTTATGTAAGGCCGCACACAGACAGCAAAGGCGAAAGATTGCGAGATAAAGCACTGAAAGCTTTCAAATTTGCGAACTAGGTAGCTAATGTGATATCTGTAGCAAGCTCGATAACCATGGCGCTTTTCTCAACAGGAAACTCTTAAATGAACTCTGAAACAGTTTTGGTGATTTCGTACAAAAACATTGGGCCGGTAGACTAAGTTCTAAGGGTCATTTAGAGACCGATTTGAGCTCTCCGTGTAAACTGTGTAATTTAATACAACGCTTTAAAGCTGTGAATCGTTGCAGATCTGTGCACATCGCTGTGACTCAGCCAAATGCATTTTCAACCGCCCACTCTGAGAGCGACCTGCTCTGGCCAATTGACGTCACCATGGCTGCTAATCTGATTGGCTGTCATGGGCTGTAGATTGCGCGGAAGATCGGCTGGTAGGGTGGCAGCACCTGTTGGAGCAGAGTCTCTGTTGCCAGACGGAGTGCGTGATGGCAGGTGCAGTGTGGTGGCCTCCGAGGCTGTGCGCAACCTGTCAGCGTGCAATCTCGGAGGTCTAGACAGGTGGAAGATCAAATCGCCAAGCGCGCTCATGAGAGCTCTGCGATTTCCAGCGATGCCAGTGTGCCTCATGAGTTGAGGAGGCCAAGCAGAGGTGAGAGGGAGGGTATGATATAATCAGTGATCCCACTGGGGACTGCCGATTTGGAGCAATTTTTGGAGCAGTCAAATTTTAATTTTGGAGCACTTTGGAGCAGTAAAATTTTAGTTTTGGAGCGCTAAAATTTTACTTTTACAGCATTTTAGAGCAGGTAATCTTGCAATTAGGAGCACCTTGGAGCAGTAAAATTTTAGTTCTGGAGCGTTTAAGAGCAGGTAATCTAAGGTAATTTAAGAGCATTTTTCAGCAGTAAAAATTCAGTTTTCAAGCAGGTAATCTTACTATTAGGAGCACTTTGGCATAGTCAAACCTCGTTATAACGAAGTTGAAAGGGTAGTTGTAATTACTTTGTTATAACCATTAGTTTGTTATAGCCAGTATCCATTTCTACCGACAATTAGCTAGCAAGAGAGAATGTACTCACTATCGAATATCACAGCAGCCCACCGAAAAACAGCCGTCGGAAGGCAAAAAACTAGTATAATAATATAGAATAATGCAACTTTATTTCCACCAAAGTCGGCATATTAGCTAGAAGATCAATTAAAAAAAAAAGTTCATAATAGACTTTTACCAACTCTTCTTCACGCAGATGACTGCTTTTCAAGCTTTAGCAGCAGTTTCAAGTCCGTCGTCATCGTAAGCACCAAAGAAGCGGCGCAGCAATTCCGACGCATCCAGCACTTGTTTGGGCGTTGGTACGTCGGGTTCGCTAACGTTAGGCTCCGGGGTGTTGACGCATTCGTCACTGTCGTCATGCACTCCCGTCATCGCGCGCACAATTTCTGCATCTGACAACTCTTTTTTTATCATCGCGTCAGCATCAGCACCGCCGTACGTGCAGAAACTAGAAAGTGTCACAGTTAGGTACAACGCCGGCGTCAACGAGAGTGTCCTACGACTTCTAGGCCTGGTCGTCCGCGGCACCCTCACTGGCGACATCATCGAAATCTTCTACTACTTTTTTTTTTCTTGACGCCGGACTCAATGGCTTTCAACAATGCTGACTTCTGCTCAATTGTCATATTTTTTGCGCTTACATTTTCCGCTGCTGTTGTCTATCTCGTGTCAGGCGGCGAAACTAATAGAGGTGGTATTGCTCTTCCACAGCGAATGACAAGGGACAAACACAATCTCCGCCGTCCCAGTGCGGAGCTGAAGGGGAAGAGGAGGTCAGATGTGCGGGCGGGTCAATGAGTTTTACAAGAGAGTGGAGGCAGCCTGACGTGCACGCTCACGCGAATTGCTGCGCGGGCAAGTCCGTTAGTTCCCAAGGAAAAGGGAGGCAGGGAAACACACCTACGTGCGTGTTAGCAGGCGGCTCCCAGTGAGCTTAAGGCGCGAGTTTCGAATTACCGCAGCCGTGATGAGACGTAAACTGTCGCGCGCAATAAGATATTGAATTGACGTATACCAAATTATCAGTAAATGCTCATTGTGGGCAAAGAATGGTTCGTTATATCCATTGTGAGGAAATTTTCACTTTGTTAAAACAAGGTTTTAAATACATGGGCATCTATAGAAATTTCAAGGGGAATTACATTTGTTTTCTTATATCCATTAGTTTGTTATATCCCACTTTTATATAACGAGGTTCTACTTAACACGAAGCAGCACGAGAAATCAATGTGGGCTCTATTGTTGCTTGACAGCGGTGATCCAAAGATGAAATTAAGTGCACATGCATGTGCACTTGATTGGATGCCCTGGATATCGTCGTTGTATGGGATCATAACTTCAACGGCAGCGTGATGTCCTTGGAACACGAAAATCTGATTATCAAACCAGTACTTAAGGCCTTTTGCGGTCTCTCACCCTTTTCTTTTACAAAATAAACAATATGTCGTGCTTGTTGCATGTTGGTTTTGTCCCTAGATGTAATGCCGTGTTTACTCACGTAATGAGTGCACTCGCAAAATAAACGCATCCCCAACTTCAGTCTTCCAATTTTGAATTTTTTTTTTCCCCACGTAATAGACGCACCCCCTACATTCATCCACTGCTGGCGCCCCTTGGCCACCTCAGCTCACCCCCTCCCCCCCCCTTTCTCCCGTTACCGTGTGCCGTATTGTTTTTCTTTCTATCTGGGGGCGGCACGTCCCCTGTCTTCTTTATCGGTGCACCATAGCAAGGTTTAGGAATGCGAGTGTAGAGACATTGCAGCTGATAAGCACACAGTGAGCGAGAGCGAGTGAAGGTCACGAATCTTCCCACGCCCACCGACGATCGCTTACTGAAAAAATACAAAACTTTAAGGCCCAATGATGTGCATGCTATTCTCGAGCGACGAGGACAGGATTCGCTGTTGCGAAAGGTCATTCGTCGCTATTGCGCCTCAGGTTTCTGGAAAACCAAAAAAAAAAAAAAACACTTGCCACCCAGAAAAGATTGTGACGATTTCCATAACATGGTAGCACCCCCCATTCTCGCCTCGCTTGATCGCTGCACGTACTGGAATTCCTCATGTGGAAGTGAGGCGGCGGCTGTATTTTGTCGTTAATCTTGTTATCGACGGTTCGTTTTGATGTTTCAGGGGTAGCTTGCTGCAATGACAATAGCGTCGTCGTGCGAGGCTGCCGCGAAGTTGGCAAATGCGTTTGTAGAACCCGCTTCTGGCGCCTTTCAAGATCACAGCAGATACCACTGTTGCGGTTAAACGATTGCGAGAAAAGATAACAGCAAAATGATTTTATAGCGTGTGCAGGCGGCGCAGGGACAGCTTGCAGAAGATAGTGCCATCAACCACCGAAAATAAGTAAAGTGCAACAAAGAACCTGTTTCCAAACAGTGTATGCGTGCGAAAAGCTGAGCGACCTAACTTTTTTTTCCTTTTTGCATTACCGCATTTCTTGCTCCTTTTGAAATGTTTTTATAAAATTTACCTTGCGTAATAAACGCACCCCAACTTTGCTCCGATTTTTCGAGAAAAAAAAGTGCATTCATTACGTGAGTAAATACGGTATTTCTTGCTGCAACCGGGTTACGTTTGCGATGTGAGTAGATATATATAGCGTTGGCATATGTGAGTAAACCAATGCAGCACACCACTACAATCACCGTCGTGAACAGAGACATATTTCTAGCCTTCTGCTATAGTTGCGCTCATCAGAGCTTTGGTTGCGGTCCCGCCCCAGAATGAGGTTGAAGGTCATTGCTCTCCAGAAGTACTGGCGACCAATTTTTAAAAACAGCAACTGCCTGTTCGCAGGAAAAGAATTCTCTCATTAGACTCGACCGCTGTCTCCGGCAATTAAAACAATAATTAATGTTATTTAAATACTGCCACAATGTTGCCCACGGGCCACAGGTTGCGGACCCCCGAGATAGACGGTTTAGCGCAGTTTGGCGCAGTTTACATTCATTTTATCAGGTTGGAGCAGCAAATCTCGTCTGGCGCACTTTAGCGCAGCTGGCGCAAGAGTGGGATCTCTGTATAATTTTCCATAGTGGCCTTGGTAGACGGCGTGTCACTAAATTTGTGATGTGAATGATTTCATGATGCTCTAGACTAAACATTGAAAAAACTAAAAAAAAACAAACACTTCAGGGTCCCTTTAGGCGGAGTTGATAAGGAAGGGATTGAACATGCCATGTTGAGTCACGCGCTGCCGGCAGCAAGCGGCGAGAGCCACGGTAGCAATGCTCATACACTGTAGCCGCGTCGGTGCAAATTATCGAATATTTTTGAAGTATTCGCAATGAACGAATAAAAACATATTAGTCTGCATGTCACCGTTTGTAAAGATGGTTCCACTGCAATGTAGAGGTGCTAAACGGTGAAAACACCTATAAAAAATCGCTTTGTCGCCCCCCTTCCAATTTAAAGGGGCCTTGCAACACTTGCTGAACATGGTCAGAAAACGCTGCCGATCGAGAGTCGAGGCTACCGAAAACACGCGAGGCAAATATTGTAGCGCAGCACGTGGCCTGTAATCCACAATAAATTTTCAAAGCTAAATATTGCTTTCTTTCCTCGGCAAATGACACTACAAGCTCAAAAATCACTTGTCACAGCCAAGATGGAATATACAGCTCTGGTCGCAGGCATTGGCTGATTTGAGCATGATGCGCTCGCCGCTACCGGGACCACCGCTTGTCCCCGAGTAGATGCGCGACCGCACTGAAAAACCTCGTATTCGAAGAAAAAAAAAAGAGGGGCTCAAGGTCACGAGGTGCCTGTGGAGTATTTTTTTTTGTCGTGCCCATTTCGTCGGGACGAGAAGAGAGAATGCAATTGCTGCTTGCGACAAATTTTTGGAACTCCACTCGTACTGGACTGATTCTAGAAACTTTGTGGCAGTAAATTTGTGAGGCAACAAACATGTTTACTGGCTCCATGGCTACTTGAATAAGTGTTACAGGGCCCTTTTAAAGAAACATGTTACCCTCAAATCAATTCTTCATTTTATTGAGCTTGTTATGAAGGCTTATATGCTCCAAGTATAATAAATTTTAAGACGTTAAGTATCTTAAATGTTATCGTTCGCATCCTACCGAAACTACTACTCAAAGTTGTTTCAACTTCCTTTGAACAAAAAAAAAAATGGCATTTGCATAGAGCCTCTATTTCAATTCAAAAGAGATATTGTGCAGGTTAGTTAGGTGATGATAAATATTCCCTTTTTTTATATGTCATACATACCATTCGAATTCGATTCGAAATTATTCGATCAAAATCACTATTCGCTTCGAATTCGCTTCGAACCAAAAATTCACTATTCGCACAAGCCTAGTACTCGGGTAACATTATGTACCAAACAACTCGCATCATGTACTCAGTCAGTGGCAATGTCTTCAACTTAATTGTGCATGTTATTAAGATGCTGTCATTGCAACAAAGAAAAATTTGTGACAACGAAGCCACCCTTACCTTTGAATTAGTTCTACACATGTGGATCACTGACCATCGCCCACTAACTGTTGCAAAAGCTGACTAACTGGAGTTAAAGAGGCACTGACATTATATTTCAAGCTTGAATGTGCCCTTCATTCAATTTATCAGTATTCATAGGCTTTATTGGCCAAATTTTAATGGTGTCCGTCACCTAAAGGTTATTTTATTTCAAAAGAAAATAGTCTACAAAAGCTCAATTTTAGCGCCCTGCGACATTGATTACTGTGATGTGCTCGGTGTGATGCATATGATCCTGAGTGATCATGCATTGATAGCAATGATATCAACAATCTAAGTGTTTTTATCGCGTCGTCAACTGGCACGGACACCTGAAAATGCTCCAACTCCCAGTGGCTCGCCCACTCCTCATGTCTGATTTCTGTAGCTCGACATTGAACGATTTGTTACGAGTTCGTCAGTCAGCATGTAGGGAAACTGTTGTGTGCAGCAGTTGTGTTTATCGAAGCATGGAAAAGGCAGAAAGAGTGCATCCTTTCATAACACGTATGGTACACTATAATGTGGCCACAAGCTATCAAATTGTATAGAGAAATATCATTGCCAGCAAGAAACACGCTGATAGTATCAATAAAGATTTTCAGTTCATCCCTAGACTCCTTTGTGTTATCATAACACCAGATTACCATAGCCACAAACATGTTTGACCCCACCTGACACGTCTCACCTCACCTACTAAGCTCGGTAGGTGGGGTCATCTAGAGGCACAAAGAACCTGTGAAACATGGAAATTTTTAATTCAGAAAGCTAGTGTATAATGCTTCTCAGCTGGAGTAAATTCACAGCAGCCACATAACTCAAAATGCCTTGCCTTGTGAGAACATTTTTTCATAGCGGACATTAGGCAAAAACAAACAAATTCTATGCAGCTATTCCCGCGGTTGTCCAATGCATCACCACTTGTTGATATCATCATAGAGTAACCTGGTATTCCATAAACTTCTTTCGGCATAGCAAAATGACGTACACACTAAAATTACCTGAAGCTAATAGCTATGTATGGCCCTAGTGTGCGTCCCTAGGCAGAAGGCTAGCCGATTGGGCGAGTTGGTGGCGTCTAATGACAAAAATATAAGACAGCGCTTAGATACAGGAAAAAAGAAGGAAGTGACGCACATGGTACTGAAACTCAGCGCCGTGCGTGTCACTTCCTTCATTCGTCCTGTGTCTAAGTGCTGTTTTATATATTTTTATCATCGTCCCTAGGCATCTCCCTGTCACTGCTTAGAACGATGTCCATTGCCGATCCACGGCTTTGCAAAGTGTCGAAGCTGAAATGAATTGTAAAGTCGAGAGTTCGGCAATTCCAAATTACAGAATGTTGCCTTCATCACTTGTCGACACATCAGACAACGACGGCGGCAATGTCAATCACAACTAGCAAACGAAATGTGAGTGGAACCTGTCGACACTTCCTTCTGTTTAAGAAAGGGAAAGAAAAAAAATCACCTGTTTGTAGCACGAAGCCACACGAAAGCAAGGAAGGGTGGTTGACTCTTTTCCCCTTTTGAACCCTTCCTCCACCTTGCGGGTTTTCTACAGAACTAATTTGCAATTCCTTCTGTTCAACGCGATCAGTCGGGGTGCAGTCAGAAAATGGCTGTGAGACAGTGCTCTTAGCGCTGCATATTGGACAACTTTGACCCGTTCTGATTAAGTACTCAGACTCTGAATAGTACTACATACTGGTTATATTATTCAATATAACAAACAGTTATTTGTCCCTGCATTGCATACTGAGTCACGAACTGCCACCAACGGGCCAATAACTACGTGAGAATCCAAAAATACTGGCATGGGTAAATACGATGTCGGTGCTCCTTTACATACTAACACTCAATAAACATATTAGGTAGTCAAAAACTTTCAAAATGACTTGCAGGAGGCACGCACTACATACCTGCCACTACACTCTGTCTGGTTATATAATGATGTGAAGAAACAAGCAAGAACACCATAATTACCAGGAGCACAAAACCACCTACTTTTAAAACAGATGTAGATGGCAAGCGCTGTTATAACGGCACCAAGTAAGACCAACGCAAATGTCAGGGAAATGGTAATGGCAACCTTTGACCCAGTATCTGGAATAAAGCAGGACGAAATAAGAGATCTGTTAGAATGCACAGTCCTTAATAAACACAAAAACACCAAAGGCAAAAACGAGAACGTACACTGTACAGCCAACAATTGGTTTATTGTGCGTTAACATATTAAAATAGGGCGACAAAAAAAGAGCCAGAGAAGGAGGACGACATGTGTTTGGGTGCGACGATGATATTAGAGCATAAAGCTTCTCATTATTGTCCGAGATATCGAAAACTTCTTATAGGTTGATTAAAGTGAGGGAAGGGGCGCTGAACCTATCGGCGGCCATGCAAGTCATCTCGCACATCTAAAAAATTCCACATGTCACATCATCTTTATATATGCCCAACAGTCTTGCTCTTTCCATTGCGTTAACCTGTTCATTAAGTGCCGTGTATTCTAATGAATCCGTATCAACAAGCTCATTTTAGCGCCAACTTTAAAAAAATCTGTGACATCTGAATAAAGTGACAGCTCTTACATTTGATATTGACTATACTACCATAGTAATCTCTTTGCTCTACATAATAACTACAATAAAACCTCATTAATTCAAACACAGTTATTTCAAAATCTCAGTTAATTTGAAATATTTCCGCAGTCATATTTTTTGCAATGTAAGTCTAAACGAATAATCTGAAGTGGCGGGCAGCACCAGCCCAGTTCATTCGAAAACTTAAGGTGCCATGTGGTCATTCCCAATACCGATTTCGCCGCAAATCTGCGGAAATGACGGCCCTTAACAGCCATAAGGCAATGCTGCGTAGTGATACTAATGAATGGTAGCTGAAGAAATTTTCTGTCGCGTGAGGCGAAATACGGAAACAGGTAGGGATAGACGGAGAGGATAAAGTGCTATCCTCCTGTTTCTGTATTTCACCTCGCACTACAAAAAAATATTTCAAATGCACCATGAACAAGCCCACATTGCAACTCTCCAAAGCTGAAGCACCTCAGTCTCGCTACATCTACTGCAAAAACAAAGGAGGAAAAAAAAAAACGGTTTTGTGTTCAGCTGAAATGTGTGCCTGCGGAAAACAAACCATGCTTCACTGCGACACTGACACACGGGCAGTATATAGCATGCTCCTCGCAACGTCAACACGTTATGATTTACCCATTCTTTCTATGAATAAAAAATAAATAATAAAGGACGATTTGGCAGAATTCCCGTTGTATCCGGATCTCCAATTGCCAGTTGCTCCAGCAATTTGTGCACTTGCACAGCTGGCGGAGTTCTTGCCTGCAAAGCCCACTTCGAAAACCAAGTTTGAAAGCTTCAGTTATCATGTTTTCCAGCCAAAACACATCACTAATTTCATCACACTGGCCATTATTACATTCTTTATTTTACCAGAAAGAATGGGCAAATGATCGTATCATGACGTATCATTAATTAATTATCATATCATTCATTAAAGCTGCACATAAACTATCCTTCATGACAGTATTTCTTAAATAACATCATAAGCCATGGATGTCCGTATGAAAATGCGCACTATGGATGTGCTCGGGAAACCAAGACCTAAATCGCCTGCAAAAAGACTACCTGGCATAGCAACACAAGTGCAGAAGCTCTGCCCACGTAGCTTTGGCTGTGCCGCCACAAAAAATTGCCGCCAGATATAACAGCAATGATGGCTGTTATGTAAGTGTGACGATGGTAAAATTATGGCGATGGTATGACATCAAGTGATTATAGTGGAAACGAAAGCAGGTGCATTACCTAGCCCTAGGCTTTTGAATTTCAATTTGCGATAACTGCACGCCTGTGAGCAAATGCATATGCACTGACCGCTGAAGTGCGCCCTGAAATTGTCGATTGCAGTCTAGTGACAAGCCAACCGCTGCTGAGAGCATTGTTCAAGCCGCATTCACTACAGATTGCCCTCGACAGCACAATGCTCTAAACAGCAGATGGTTCGCTGCCCGATGGCGCAGATGGCAATTTCGGCGAAACCCCCATGGTTCGTATATTTTTGCCCACAAGTGCACATAGCTCCCCAACATGCAGGCTTCAAGGTCAGGGGTAATGCAGGGACCACATCTACATATTCTAGGCACAGTAAAAACACAATGATACACAAAGCGCAGTGAATGCAGAGCGTTTCGGGAACATAAAATGTGGCAAAGTACAAACCTGTAGGGATTGTAAAAACATCTGTTCTGGACACCGTGCCCGACTGCTCAGTCCAGTTAGGGTGCTCGGGGTGCACGCACAGGTAGTATGTGCCAGCATCCACGTTTGTAAAGGACACAGTGGTCATTGTCAGGTTGCCAGGCTCAGCTTCTATGATCTGCTCTTGAACCACAGCACCACCATTTGGTGAATTCCAATCCCAACTCACAAGGCTGACGTTGTATCTGTGTCATGCCAGAAAAGAGATGAAAGCACATTTTTACGCCAACACTCGACAACCAGTACTGGCTCATTTGCAAGAATCAATGTCCAGCCGAAACACATGTTTGGTTTATTCTGTAGCGCACTGCAAAGGTTCGCAGTCTTTATAGCAAAGAACAGAGATGGTGACAACCATAGTCGTGCCAGCTAAAGCAATATACCTACAATCATCATCAGCCTGGCCAAGCCCAGTGCAGGGCAATAACCTCTCCCATGTTGCACCAATAAACCCGATAGTGTGCTTTCTGCTCCCAGGTTATAATACCTGCAGAATTCTTAATTTCATCTGCCCATCTAATTTTCTGTCTCCCCCTGACGTGTTTGCCTTCTCTTAATTCTAGTCAGTTACTCTTCATGACTAGCAGTTATCATGCCAATGCACTAACATACGTGGCCCGTTTCTTACTGTTGATTTCAACTGTGACATCTTTGTCATGACAATCCTAAACCCCCGTTTATTCCCTGACGCACTCTGCTCTCTTCCTGTCTATTGAAGGGACAGTAAAAAGAAAAATAATTTTGTGTATAGGTCCAATTTCACAATCCCGAAAACACCACTTTTACTGTGACACTATGCTTGGCAAGCAAAAAAAAAACACATGAAAAGAAAATGGGTGAAGACGCCACCTTGAGATTTTCACACTAAACCCCAGAATGTCATAGATTTTAAAGGAGTCTAGTGGGCCTTCCATAGATTGTAACCAATAAAAATGAAGTGAATTGCTATCTGTGGATACCATAAACCTACCATATAAAATTTCAGAAAATTTGATCGAGCCAATGTTGTGAAAATATGAAGAATGCATTTTAAAATTTATGACATTGCGTGCAGATTCTGGAGCAAAATTTAAAAATTAAACTTTTCTCCACTAATAATTTTATGCACTAATAATGAACTTATGATGGTGAAGCATTAAATGATGGTGACACACAGCATTAAAGGGACACTAAAGTCAAATAACAATTTACATCAGAGTGAAAGCTCAATGTATGACAACATCTAAAACGATAATATTATCAGCAACAGTGCCCTACTTACCATGAAATTTAAGTAAATGCACAAAAACACAAGCGCCGCAGTAGGACATTTTCAAAATGATCCCGACGACATCAGATGGTTCGTCTACAATTAGTCACTAGTAATTAATCTAACTACACTAAATAAAGAACCTTCCGTGCGTCAAGAGACGCAATAAAATGCTGCTTGTTTGTTTCTGTTTTATACATGAAAAAAAGAATCGCCGGGACGTTACTACAGTATGGGGAATGGCGCGATTGGTTCAGAAATTCAATTTTCGCGTGGTTACACAGGACAGGTGGTGCAATCTAGCGGCGCACAGTTGAAACAAAAACATCTGCGATCTCGAAGCCAATGGCGAGAAATCGATCAATGGCCGTTGTTGCTGCTGTGGCTCCCGCTGCTTTCGGTCTGCTGCTACTAGCGCAGTAAAGCTGGGCAACAGTGACGCGAGCCGGTCCACTCAGTCCGCTAACCCGATGCGGACAACTAAAACGTGATTTTATTTCAATACAGGCCCTTCCTTGGCACATAAGTAACACTACGAGGTTTCTGGACCGCCATTTCAATAGTCAACATCGACTTAACAGTTGCCTTTAGTGCCCCTTTAAAGTTTTCAGAGTTCAGTTTGTCAATAAAACATGTGCTGTTACTTTTTAGTGTCTCTTTAAGTTTACATCTATTATGTTCCTTTCAATCATCCTCAGTGACGCCCTCTCCTAAATTCTTAAATTGCCTTCGACTATAGGTATATTGGAATACACCAATACGCCTAGAGTCAAATACAACTTAAGAAGTCTGGAGATGCTCCGACCAGGCAATCGAAGCGCAGGTTATCGCTTCTACGACTGGTTCCACTAATGCACTTAGTGATGTTCGGTTAGGGGAGATTACAAGCTGGCTGACTCAACACATTTTTTCAAACCTCATTATAACGAAGTTGCATCTGACATAAAAATAAGTTCATTATATTTCAAAATTTGTTATAAAGGTATATTTCTAGCAATATGGCTATTGCAAGAGGACTCTCAATTTACTTTACTATATATCTGGGTTTGTCATATCGAGGTTTGCGTGTAGCATGAAGTGTGCGCCGATTGATGCAGGCTTGTGTGCATTCGCCTTTGAGGAAAAAATGCAGTAGATGTATCAAGACGACTACTGAGGCAGTCAAGCAACAACTACTTAAATGACACTTTTAAGCACTAAAGCATGAATGAAATTCAGACTATAGAGTAAATCGGAAGGGTGGAGCGAGCTGCAGATAACTGCTGCTGTACATTGCTGTGGAACATGATCTGCCATTATTTGTTCCTGCTATGCTACTCGTAAATATTTTTTTTTAATCAGCAAGTGATGTCAATATTGTAACCAGGACATAATATGAAAATGGCTTCTTGGGTCCTGATTACTATAGCTTATTGGCACTCACTGCACTTGTAATTGTGCTGTCGCATCGTACTTATAGCTTGCATAGCAACATTGCAAAATTCTCAGTGAGGCTCAAAAAAAAAAGTAACACGTTTACCTGGTAACATTGAACTTGGCATCAGCGAGACCAAACTGAGCTGCCACACACTTCTTTCGTAATGCTGGCTCCAGGATCATGATAGTGCTCTCCCAATTGCTAACATTCTCTGCTCCTGCCACACACATGCCAAGCGACAATCAACACCTCGGACAAATCAGTGTCGCACAAGTGCCTAGGATCTAGCCATCAACCATGCTTAGGCAAACTCTTTAATGTCAAGTGCCCTGTTAGCCACTTCGTAGATGTGCATTCATTGCAGATAGTTATTTCCCAAGAAAAATCACTGCAGGCAAGTTTCAGTCACAGTAAGCAAAAATTATTTGTGTACTTTAAACATGAACGAGCTTGCAAACGGCATAAAGCTGGCTACAACTTCACAATACAGCGACATTTGCACATCGAAAACCAGTGAATACATGCCTGCACCGACGGGCATGCACTGTAGACTGGCCTCATGAGCCAGACAGTCAGTCATCCCGCTGTCGAAGCACATGAACGGGAATATTTTTTTAGATGCGGAAACAATCAGCTGCCCTGCTTATCTAAAGTAACTGAAGGGCCCTGCAACTCTTTTTTGAGTTATGACATAATAATCTTACTATTTGCTCACGGCGTTTGACGAATCACGCTAATCACACGTTGCAAAAGAAAAAAAGAGTGAGCGGAGTTGCAGTTATTTCTCACAAGCTTCGAGCACTTTCTCATTCGTTTCGTGCCAGCAAGCGCAATGAAAGCTACGCAGGAATGACAAGGGCGTAAAAAGATGTGTCTATTTATCAGCGTGCATCACGACCTTGAGCACTTTTCTTGCTTTCTTTCCAATGCGTAGCTAACCTCATGTGTGACTGCAAGCACACACGCAAATGCATGGCATCATCTTTCGGTGGTCATGGTAACTGCGATGCAAATCAGCCAACCACAATGGATGCCGATAGCAGGCATAGAAATGTGCGGATATGGCATCATTTAAAGAGGGAAGAGGAAGTGATTTCCAGCTGACTTTGAGAATTGATTGTAAATCCTAGGTCACATACCGCGCTATGTTGTTTGGCTCACATATTTTGGAGAGCCTCAACTATCGATCGGCAGCATTTTCTGACCATGCTCAAAAAGTGTTGCAGGGCCCCTGAAATATTTCATGCAGCATTGTCACAAGGTTAAACATTAAGCTTTACTGAGACGGAAGACACAAACTTACAAAAGGGAAGCAAAGAAGAGACCAGGCCAGTCACACCTTTGAGAGAGATTTCAGGGATGGAAGAAGTCAAATAGAGAAAGATGAGAAGAAAGGTGAAGGAAAGACAGCTCACAGAAAGCACTACAGAGTAGAAAAACAGGGTTAGTGGGAAAAGCACAGCTACGCATGTGTAACATGTTACAGAATTCATCTTCCTACTTCGTAACTCAGCTAGCAACAGGCAATGTACAAAGACACTGCAAGCTGACAGCTAGTGCCAAAATGACTAAAGTAACAAAGCAATGGCAGTTAATCTTTGCACCTCAGCCGGCCTCGTTTTTTAACATCGAAAGAAATACAACAAAGGAGCATGCCACCATGTCCTATCATGTCCTGGTATAAACTGATATGGCCCCCCTCCTCCCACCTTTTAATCAAAAATTTTGCATCTGTCCTGCCTGCTTTATACACTCTGTGAAAACAAGTAGTGCAATCCTAGTGCAGAAGAGAAAAAGACATAACTTTTAAGCAAATTAACAAAAAAAACACTGAAGCCCACAGGTAAATAAATAAGTCCCCTACTTTCAATACACAACTATCAATTTGGCAATTTATCAGCGAAATTAAAGTAGCCAAGACACCACAATAATCTAATACTGTAAGGTATTGGTAAAGAGAAATCGCTTCAATAGAATTGCTGCCTAAATAAAACAGCTGCCTCTAATTTGTTTATTCTTGTACTTGACTGCTGTACCTTCAAAACATCTCTTCCTGTAAAAGGAACTCCTGGAATAGAACACATTTTTTTGGTCCTTTCAGATTCCACTTTAGAATATTCTTACTGTGGATGCAGCAAATGGCAATATTTTTAAGCACCCTTTTTAAGCAATGCATGCCACATAATTTTCATTGTGTCTGCTAAAAATGGTATCTGTTTATTCTGGCATGAATGTGCTGCTAATTACACACTAACATGGCAAAAAAATTTTACAGAGAAATTATTAAAACGAATGTTAATATGTTCATTGATTATCAAAACATGTGAACACATAATAAGTTATTATCTAGACAAATTTATAAGCACTAGTACAGGCATCTGAAAAGATATTTTTCTAAAACGCTCACCAAGTCTGAGAGGTGATGTAGACAGTGTGACAAAATACCTTCCGACACGATTTGTAGGTAATCCCCTTGATGTAACGAAGAAGTAGTTGTTGAGATAATCCCCTCTGATTTTTTTGTAACAGTCGTAGAAGACACTTGCCTAAAAATAAAAATTCAGTAGACAAAAAATTATTTGCGTCTTCTTCATTGCAAGGATCTCCCATGATGCTTGCCTAATCTCTAGAGGTGAGTAAAAAAAAAGTGTCACTGTATTGAACACATTTAGTATTAGCTCATTGGCAATCAGTATACCAGTGAGTAAGCAGCAAGTCGTAAAAAATATCCTTCTATGATCTAACAAACATAACATCCTAGGGAAAAACCACTTCAAAAAGCCATGTTGCGTTTTATTTAAACTGGCACGAAGTTAACCAATGGCCCAAAATGCACCACAAGAGAGAACAAAGCGCTTAGCCAACATTAGACAGCATTTATCAAGAAACTCAAGGATCTTTAAAAAAAAAAAAGAAAACAATTGCAGGAAACGATATTTAGTACAAAGCAACACAAGGATGAATATCATTTTATGGTTTACCACCAAGGCTGAATTTCTCGCCTTATGCCATTCGAGAACTTTCAAGGGCTCTGAAAGGGTACTTTTCAATTTTAAGGAGTTTGATGCGGTTTAGAATACCTGTAAACACCCTTATTCTATCAGCGCAACACAGTATTCTTGACAGGAAGAAAAAGTACCAAGCAAGATTTTTGAGAAAAGAAACATAATAAGTAAGCCGGATGGTAATTACTGTTGGGGACAGAAAGACGCCCAAAAAAGTCGGTTGCTTTCCGAGCGCGCCCTATCCAAAAGCTTATAAACCTCACCGGTTAATATTGGACAATGGCTACACGTAATATTGCGGATGACGGCTGTAAGATGCCACACCCACCGAGGGATTCAAGTAATTCCTCAAGTCGAACGTGCGGCAAGTCTTGTACTTCTTCCCACTGCCAGTATACTTGTGGTCAAGCAATGAAAACTCAAAGCCACGCACATCTGAAACATTGATATTTCAAAGGGAAGTCAGTCGGCAACAGTTGAGCTGCAAGCAACATACGTTGAAACCTTGATATAACGAAATATTGGTTATAACAAACTTATTTTCGTTTAAAATGCAACTTTGTTATAATGAAGTTTGAGTGTACTGTTTCAAAGGAGGCCAAACATTAGAATTATTTATCCACATTCAACAATATAATTCGCCAGGTAGCCCCGCCAGAGTTCGACTAAAGACCTTGCTGTGAACACTGATTCTAGAAGTAATATATGCAATGACAATTCAGTCACGTGGTACTAGAAGTGCAGTATCCAAAAGGAAAAGCTTACACTGACACCCTCTGTGGGATTGCCATTTAATGTGGAAGAAGAATGCAAGGTGTCAAAGCAGTAAGGAAAACCAGCAATATTGTGTTTGGCTCAACTACAACATGCCTCAAAAAAGTCGGCAAGGTTTAATTACTAGTACATCACATAGCACTCCAACGAATTGATTCTCAAGTGATAACAAACCTGATGAAAAGGCACTTTTTCTATGAAGTACCCATGTACCTCGCGTATGGCAAGGATTTTTAACAGAAATTACCGCACACCAATTGTTAACTAAAAAAAAAAATTAAGAACAGGGCCATTTTCAAGAAGGAGAAGCAGTATTGCATATTAACCAAACTCCCCACCCTGTGAAGCCAAGATTTTAGGTATAAACAGAAACACATCAGCCTGTGAACTCTAGTAGATGTATTATATAAATAAAAAAGGGACTGGTCATGTTAACAACACATCCATGACCCTTTATGAAAACAAGATAAAGCTTCCTTGAAGAAACATCCACAGCCCAATAAGTGGTATTGTCTAGAATATAGACAATACCCATTTCATCTGCCCACCACTGTCACGCCCCATTGCAATGGGTGCAATAAACCAGTAAGCAGCACTTGTCCTGTCATCTCTCTTGTGTTTGTTGTTTTTAGTGCAAAAATGAAACATTTTCGAGTGTTAACCAGCTTCTTCAGCAACAAAGTCTCAGTAAGGCTTTAGAAATTGTTACTCTCCAAGCTTTTGAAGAGTTAATAAACATCTGTTTATGAATTCAATCATAGTTCTTTTTCTGGCACAAACACATGACACCACCAATTTCTAAGGGCCCCCTCGGCTTACATACTGAATTGGACATACCTTTTGATGTGGTCTGAAAGGAAACGTTTAACGCAATTTCCCCCTGATTGACATACGTTGACAGGTAAATGCTGTAGTCCAGGTCTTCGAATGAACTGACCACATGCTCTTCATTCAGGTTCCAAGCAGAGTAGTCATAGGTGAGGCAACCTGAGAAACGGCAGAAATTTTCCAGTACAGTAAAGTAGACATCGCTGCCCATTTCAGGCTGAACTGAAGCTGGGCAGTGAAAAAATGAGCAGCGGCTTGTTTTAGGTCAAAACTTTTTAAAACAAATGTTACTCATTTTTATATAAAATAGCGGAGCAAAACCAACTCAAGCTTATCGATAATGAACTGGTTGCGCACAATCCGATCTACAACAACGAGTAACTTATTTTTTTTTCATTTAATCAACTTCAAACCAACACCTGCTTTAGTTTTCTCGAAGCCAGTGCAAACGCTCACTCCTCAATGGGAGCGATTGGTACGCCTTACTCCCGGGAGTGGTCGTGATGTAACCCCACAAAAAAGGGCATGGCTGCCTGCATCCCGTGTGCGTACGAGCGCTTTTCTATGGAGATGTGAATGAAGCGCTTTCCCTCTCCGATATCACGCATCCGTCAGATCCGTTCACTAGTGCTTCTTTTTATGGCTTGAAACAATGCCACTGCCTTACGATGCTTTTGTGGCACCTTTCGAAGTCAGCGCACGCAGCAGCATCGCAGTGACGCTTCCCCACTGCTTGTCTGCATAGCGCCACAAACGGAGACCTGCTACCTCAAAACACCACGTCTCCTGAGAACCAGTGTGGTGTAAATATGTCTGGGCATCGCAAATACATAGTTACACAACAGTAGTTTTTACATTCAAGACAAAGCACAAATGCAACATTTCTTACACATGAAAAAAAATTAATCAAATGAAGAATGAATAATTGTTTTCATTCAAGTAACTGTAGCTTATATGATAGCACACGTAATAAACACAGTGTCAGATACGCATCACTTTAGGAGTTGAGCAACTTTTAGCAGCAAACATCAAAAACTATGATCCGCCCCAGCCCCCCCCCCCCCCCTCCAAAAAAAAAATAGCTGAATGCGGGTGTTTCTGCAGCTAACACAGCTGCGAACATGGACGTCAGGAAGATGTCTATGTTAAAACAAAAACTTTGGCTGCTGTTAGTAGCGAAGGAAGGTAAGAACAGACATGACGGAGGTGTTTTATATAGTAGGATTGGGTACACTTCGGGTCACAAGAAATATTTTTCGGTGTCGTGCCTCGGTGAGAAGAGACTTTTTTTTTTTTTTTTTTGCCAACGCAAACTTGCGGTTTGAGAGGCACAGTTGTACAGTTTTTTCTATACAAAAATCACTTGTTTTTTTAAGAATAATACTTCGCAGGCTGCTCCCGGACGTTCCCAAGCTAGTGACTTCGCGAGAAACTGACAAGAAACTGCGTCACTTACTGTTTGTGTGATGTATGATGCATGGTCCAGGTGGACGTAACTGAAAAACAACAAAGTAAAATTAATTTCTGAACCATGATTCGATGGAACGAGGTACGGTTACAGCCACAACGATACGACCCGACCAGCTGATCCATGCTGTGCGCGAGGAAGTATGAAGCGGTAGATGGAAGGATAACAACACGAAATCATTAATACGAACGCGCGCAAGTCTTCAAACTGGTTACAAGGCCTCTCGCCAATGCACGCAGGTACTCATGAATAGAGTGACCTAGAATATGATGAAGATGTTTACCATGAACGAGCAGTTCGTTTGCAGAGAGGTGGTGCTCCTTTCGCAGAACGCAGGGTAGTAAGAAGAATCATCGGTGCTGCCTACATTACGAAATGAGCACAGCAGAGGTATAATCACGAGTAACTTAGCGAAGAGGCTGCCCGAAACGATGCACATCTTGTCCGTCTTTAAACACCGTAACACTGCCAGCAGTTCATGACCAAGGAAGTGAAGTTCGTACGAGAAACTCTATGGGAAAACACCTGTGCAACAAGTTGAAAGTGAATCACACACATGATGATGATGACCGAAAACTCATCATGAGGAATTTTTTTTGGGGGGGGGTTGCAAATTTTAATACATTTTTACGGCAAACAACACATTGCAAACAAACAAAGGTCTTCACATTTACGAAAACGTCAATAAATTTTTATATTTTATTGAACAATTAAATATTAGAACGCTTTCAGCAAATGTTGAATTTAAAATTGACGCATTTGTAGAGTCAATATACTAACTTTATTATATTAAAGCACGCCTATCAACACTCAACTTTACGCGTACAGAAGCATAGCCTTTAAAATTTTTAAAATTTTTATTTGTGTGTTAGTTCAAGAGTCATCGTCATGGTCATTGTTTTTTGAACACAACTCCTCGCTTAAAGTCTATTTCATCTGGTTTCGCCCAAGGAGGATTAAAATTTGTTTTTAAGTCCTCCTTGAGTTTGCCTTTTCTGTTCCTAAACCCCAGTGCTTTGAAAAACTCTGCGCCATCATTTACGCGAAGCTGACTTGCGCAACTATAGAACAAAAACAAATATGTTCATTTTGTTTTTGTTTTAAATTTTATTGAAAATTTTATAAAAAAACAAATAATATAAAATTTTTTTTAAAAGTTTTTTGTAACCAATCTCAAAGGTTTTTAAGTTCGTACAGTAAAAACCGAATTATGGCAGCCCCAATTTAATCAAAACTTCTGCAACACTGTGACACCATGCAAGCAATACTTATAAAAATGGGAACTACACTAGTTTGTATTTTGTGGAAGATGACGTCTACAGCACGTCTACAGCTCGGCTTTGAGGGTGAAAAAGCATAGCCTTTAAGATATGCGTTTTAGCAGTCATCGCCATCGTCATTGGTTTTTCGCCCGCACGTTGCGCACATGGCAATGTTCTCGCGAGTCGGCGCATGTCATTTATTGTGACGTATTTTGACGTTTAATGTAGATTCTAGAAATGCCTGTGTCTCAGGAAGTTCACTTCGCTCACCACTTAGCAGCGAACGAAAAAGTTACTAGAGACCGGGCACTGCGAAAACTGACGAAATGGATACGCGCGAAGTCCGGACGCCAAGGCATGGGTAAGACAACAATAATCAAATAATCGAATAATTCGCCCAGTTTCACGTCCCAAAACCAATATTCGAACGTGACGCACGCCGTGGTCGAGGGATCCCGAAGTTTCGACGACTTCGAGCTAACCTGCACCTAAATCTAAGCTCGCGAGCCCCAAACATTTTCGCCTCTGTCGAAAATGTGGCCGGAATTCGATTCCGCGACCTTCTTATCAGCAGTCGGTCACTGTATACCACCATGGCGGGCTGCGTCGAACACGATTTCCTGTAAAATGTTCTCAGCTCGCCTTCTCCATCTCCAGAGTATGCTCTTTTGTATTCTCTCTAGAATTCACCGAAGATTCACTGATGAAGCTTTGGAAAGGGCTGTTCTTTTGCATGTGGATGTCCGACAAACCGTTTGTTCAGGTAATTCAACTTTCAAGAGTTCTATCTTTACACTGAGGAACAGCTCAATGTTTCAATGTCTGCTGTTGCCTCGACTTTTGCAGCAAGAACTGGCGAATAGCATAGCTGGCCTGGTACATTGCTTCGCCCAACGGGACCAGTCTTTGATGTTCCTGGATGCGTTCTTCAAGACCATGGCCCGTGAATGGTTTGCGATCGACAGGTTTCGCCTGGAAAAGTTCATGATGGTATGTCACAGCGAAATGACGTGTTACTGGTGATGTCATTAGCACGAGTTTATCACCATTTCTGTGATGATAGACACGCTTTTGTTACATTGTGTCTTTGACGTTAACTTACCATTGGCAGACCTTTGCTGTGCGTGAGATGTACGATGTCAATTTTTATGAAAGGGAACACGGGAGCATGTAGCCTGCGTGCTCCGTAGGCTGCTGGCAGCGCGCTCAAGCGGTAGTGAGAGTAACTACAGCCCCTTTATGTGTCATCTCTCGATGAGCAAAACAACCATTCATTGCTTATATGTAACCAGCAGAAAGACCGCAATCGCTTCCCTGTTCAAGGCGATATCACAGGAGGCCGATAATTGCCTTGAAGGGGGAGGGGGTGCTGGTTCCATATGCTTGTTTTGCTCGCCGAGAGATGACCCGAAAAGAGGCTGTGGTTGCTCTCGTTCCCGTGTTCCCTTTAATAAAAATTGACATTGTAGAACAGGCACTCCAATTGCATATTCGAATGCTTTTGAATACGAGTGTTCAATTCAACGACTTTAAAACTGCTAAACAAAAAGAAGCAAGTATGCAAGTTATGTACCCTCTTCCTTACCATGTACTGGCCCACTTATTTCAGTAGGCATGCTTAGTTGCTCTTTTGCATAAATTTTTCAGAGCATGCAGAACGCTCAGAAACAATCAGCCAAATGTACCTCACTATTCCACTTGCAGAGTTGTCACAACAGTTGTCGATCAAACGAGCTTGTAATGGTGGAGTGTTTCATGCAACAGTTGGTTGTAACATAGCAGTCCTTTCTAATTTCACCTTGGCTGGTGTCACATGATCACCTTTTGATAGGCCAAGATGGTGCCTCATCTGGGTAAAATTTTCAAAATATGATTGGTTAATTTCCGGATGCTGTAGAAAGTGCTCATAGTAAAACTCGATTGGGATCAAAAGTACACATTCTGACATCGCTATTATACAGGTGTCACACAGTGTCATTCTGATCGCAATTAAGCTCAAATGATGCCATGTTTCTTTATTGCAATTGCCTCTTTGTTGCAAGGTAGCATCACAGGAGTGTTACCTAAAACATCTCTTAAAACTTTCTTTTACACATTAAAGTAAAACATTAGGCAACCAGTTAGCCACCTTTACATCCTTAAGCTCTCTCTCTTTCCTCACACAATATATGTATATAATTTTTTATTGAGATGTATCATCTGAAGAAGCAGCCAGAAGTGTGTGGACTATACTAGATCGTTTTGTTCAGATTGTGTGTGTGACACAAACATTACAGATTCTTCTGGAACTTACATAGGTGCTAGCGATAACGCTGGATTATTCGATGGTACATAAATCCCGTTGTGCCCCACCTCTTGTCAGTTGATCGACGGCCCACGCTTTGTTCGCCGGTATCAGTGCCAATGTGTATCGCTGTCATCTGACTTTCCGTTCACCCGCCACAACTTCAGCCGAATATACAGTTTCATCTTGGACCTGCATACAGTCTGCTCCTTTCGTCCACGTCACAACCCCGTGACAACATGATTGATTTTTCATGCGATTGAGATCGCTCTAATTTGAACCTGTCACTTGTCAGTGCAGCTCTGCTTTGGTGTGTGATTTGCTGCTGTCGGTCAATGGTGCTCTTATGACTGACTGACTGACACTTAACACTGCAGTGTGCTCACGAATGCAGAGATCTGTTGCCTACAGTTGTAGCGCAACCTCTTTGCATGCCCAAACAAAAAATGTCAAAGATTTAGCTATGGCACTGCATTGCACAGCTGACTGTGGCTCACACAAATGTCAGATGAATTTACACTGAAATTTGTCTGAGTGCAGGTAACTACGGCCTGCAGTTTTCTAATAACTTCAATGCAATTTCAGGGCTTGAGTGTTCGTACATCTCACCACCATGACGCTGTGTCTTGCATGGCCATCGCCACAGAGTCTTAGTATTAGTGCATCAATATGAAACATTACAGTGTCCATTCATAGATTGCACATTGTCCTTTTGCATAAACACAGTGGAGATTGAATGCGAAGGAGAACACCCTCTACAAGTGCAGCGTGAAATAGCACGAACGAGATAGCAACACACACGAAGAGTCAAGGGAGTGCTAATTAGTGCATCTTTAACCCGTTGTAGTCTATTGTTGGGGCCTGCCCAACAATGCAACACGGATGCAGTGGTCTGTAGTCAGGCATTGCTCGGCAACTTCTTTCGTGGTTGATTCATGCGCACTTTTTTCCACTACATTATGTGCCACCTACGAAGGAGTGTGTAAACTTCTTTCAGCTTTCAGTACTTTGAATTCGGACTAGAACACATGAAATGTGGGAATAAGTTTTGGACCAGAAAGGGTTAAGGAGGCACCGAATTGATGTCTCCTTTCTTCTTGCAGTATTTTCACTTTCCCTTTTTTTCTTTTTTTTATTCGAAAGACTGCCCTTTGGCATAATAAGCTCTTTAAAAAGCCACATTACTTTGGAGCTATTGAATTATTGACCTACTATCGTATTTATCTGCCCCCTGTTCACAGTGCTCAAAGCTTTCATATGGTGTTGTCGATTTCACTTACAGCTGGTCAGACGATGCTTCCGTCAGGGTGTTGCCTTTGCCTATGGGGATGCATGGAGCAATGAAAACGTTACGACCTTCTGTGACATGCTTCAGTCAACTGCCCTGTGCCCAAACAGCCAAGCTATTCCGCTTGGCCTGAGGCTGCATGTCGTTGATGTATTCCTTCAAGAACTTGCTAGAATGCATGGAGGAGAGGTGAGAAATTTTCTCTTAGTTTTGTAGCTCGTAGGAATTTTCAAATTACCTTGCTAGCTATTCACACCCCACCTTTGGAATAATCATTTCGCAAATCCTGTTCTGCGAAAATTTTTGTTATCTGAAAAGTACGACCAAATAGTACATCTAAGCAACCTTCTCTCATTTTGTCCCCGCCGTAGAAGTGGCTCATTGGTTGGTGGCAATGCCCGTACGTTTGTATCTAAGCTATATTTAAACTATTTCTTATAACTACAACATGACATTAGTTTAGAAACGATCTCTAAAATAACAAAGATATGTTGTTCGACTGGCTTTGGATAGGTCTCCATTACCGTAATTTTAAAATACACTTATCTTTCAACTGTGGCTGTGCGTTTCTAAATCACACTGAGTGCACTTAAGGTGCACTTAAGTTTGCCTTCATGACAGTGGTACATTAGCCTGCTTGACAGTTAATGTGACTTTTCAATGTGGCCAGGCTGTAGACTGTAATACGGTCAAGGCTGTAGGTTATGGTGCTTTACTGCTGACCCGAAGGTTGTGGGTTCGAATCTCTACCACAGCGGCTGTATTTTGACGTAGGCGAAATGCTAGGGGTCTGTGTACTTAAATTCAGGTGCACGTTAAAGGACACTGGATGCTCAAATTTTCAGTTGCCCTCTACTACAGCGTGCATAATAATCATAGTATGGTTTCGGGAAGTAAAACCCCTACAATCGTTATTATTACAACTGGGGTGCACCTACTCCACACTCCCAGCAAACCTGATATCATGATGAGTTCTCATGGTACAAGCACAGAGATACAGTGGAATCTCGATGATGTAATTACGGTTGATGCAAATTTCGTGATGATACGAATTTTATGGTTGCTTCTGATGAACTGCATTATATGAAAAAATGCCATGGTTCGGTGTTATACGAACAGTTTCCCCAGCCACCGCAGATGATACGAATGCACGATTGACTGTTGCACGCAAGCAGTGCAACACGGCTTGTGTGTGGAAGGAAGGCCCATTCACACTTGGCCTTGACGGGAGCAAATGTAACAAAACTCTCCGAAATTCCCCTCGCTTCGTCACCGGAGAAGTAGCCAAAAAACCTTGCTGCGAGAACGACGCGAAAAAATCGGTTCGAGACTGATTTTGCTGCCACAAGATAGCGGACTGCCTTTCTACTACGGCTTTGTCTATGCCGGCTGCACTAGCACTCAAACCACCACGTGCTGTAAACAACCAGCTGTATATTCAACATGGTGGCAAACGCATCAGCGGTGGCTCACGTCGGCGTAATTGCAAGCTACCCTTGCAGCATGACAAAGCTCACGGCTTTGAAAAGAATGCGTTCATCAAGAGCCTGGTTTGAATTACGATCGCTGCGAACACCGAAGCAGAAGAAGGTGTAGCAGAAAGGAGTCGGCATGCCGTAACGTGTCTTGTTTTACACTGCCGGCTGATTGCGTCGTCACCGTGGCCGGTGCATTCGCTTGTGTCATTTCATCTGGAGTATCTCCCAAAGCAATGTTTATAAAGATGTAAACTGCTTCTTTTCAGTGCTTTGCATGCATAACAAGAATTTGGTATGTATTTTAATGCTGATGAAAGAATTCTCATGTGGCGATGGTGACATACATACGAGGGGCAGAACAAATGTGAACATTTTCGAGGGGCACGGACGTACTTTTACGTATGCTCTGGCGTTTTCGCTTGAATTCTCCAGTACTGATTTTTTTTGTGTCGACTTTGCAGTGCGTTTTTCCAGCTGCTTAAGCGGTGAAGCGAGTGAATTTACAATAAGCCACTTTCGCTCCCTTTGATGCCAAGTGTGAACAAGCATGAGTGAGGAAACCCCGGCACTTTATTGGGAGGCGATGAAAGCAGGAAAGTTTGAAAGATCATCATGGACGTTTTTTCAGCAAGAAGTAGTTGATCCTAATAAAGTTATTGTTCATCTTCATGATCAACTTTAAGTTGTTTTTGGTTCATTCAAATTCGGGATGATAGGAATATTTTGTGTGCTCTCTTCGAATTCGTATTGGCAATATTCTGCTGTAGTACTGAACAGGTGCCCTGGCATGTCTTTTGAAATCTTTCGGATATGGTTGTCGCGATTTGACTCCTTCTGAGAAGCACGAAAAAAGCAGGAAATAGTCTTTTCATAAGATTTCAGTGTTCCTAGCGGGTTAAATAAATTGCACAATGATTTATATTATAATGACTCGCGCTTTTACTTCTTGGAAAGAGATAGCTAGCTTGTTCCTGCAAACATTCACTCCAACACCATGTGAAATAGTGAATGGTTCATCAAGAATTTTCCAAAAATGCATTTCATTTAATGCTCATGAGTCCGGTCCTCACACAACAACTCGAGGCTGTCCAGAAGGCCCACGATGCAGCGGAGAGGCTCGGCCTCCCCGTCCCTAGGTGGGAGCGGCCCGCGATCGTACCTATATACTAATACGGGGGTGGAATTCTTCAGGACTCCAGTTAAGTATTTCATGCATCCATCCATCCATCCATCCATCCATCCATCCACCTCACGTCATTGCTTTGCAATACAATCAAAGCTGTAGGAAAGAAGCACAAGTTTAAGGGCTTATTTTCTTTGTTAGACACAATATTAATGAAAACTAACAGACGATAATGCCAAGAGAAGTATAGGGTATGTTATAAGAAGTAATTGTAATCTAAATGAAAAGAAAGAAAAGTGGGCGAAAAGATGCCACCAACAGAGGCCGAACCTGCGACCTTCGAATGACGCGTTCGATGCTCCACTACTGAACTACAGAGGCGGTCATCCCCTCTCCCTTCCTGAAGCTTGAAAATTTAGACTCTCATCATTTATGCTTTGACTAAGGCAATGAGACTTCACTTTTACTATTGGGTCATGCTTATGGTCAAGATCGTAGCTTTTATCCTTCAATACTGTGATTCATCTTAACGAGTGTCATTCATATATTGTCGAAAAATTCGTCCTTGCAGAATGTGCAACGATTAAAAATGAATTCTTATTGTCTTACTTTAAAGCATAAATGATAACAATCTAGATAATTTTGAAACTTCATGACCTTTTGTATGTGAAAAACAATTGGATCCTATTTAGCCTCATTTCAGTTTATTGGTATGGTTAAATACCTCAGACACCAGAAAGCTCAGACACCAAAAAGTAACGCCAGGTTGCTTGGGAAATAAAAAATGGTCTTTCTCGTTCCAGTTGACTCCAGAGCAAGCAACATTATTCCTGCAACCTTTCTTCGACATTTTGATGCACTCAAATGAGTGAGTTGGAGTTTTTTTGTTGTTGTTGTAGTCTTCTCTTTTTTCTACAAGTTACGAGATATTGTACAATACCATTGGATTCTTATTCCTGACATTGTTTCAACAGTATGGCCTCCAGTTCTTTTACTGCTATGTAGGTGTAATAGCAGCTCTTACACATCAGCAGGCTGTCTATAGTCTGTTACAACCCAATAATAATTACATGGTCCACCCCCAGTACTGCAGTAGTGCGCCTGTCATTCACCTGTGGAACAAAGCAATGATTGGTGATTTTTGTTCTAACCATAAGCACTTTTTTGCTAATAATGCAAATACAGTAGACTCCCAATAAATGAAGCCCTCTTGAATGAAATTGCTGTGTGAATGGAACAACAGCATTCAATATGATTGGTTTCTTACTAAATTCTGTATTACTGTTTATATTGCAATAAACAAAACTACTTTTAAACGAAGCACATCTTCCTGTTCCTTCAGGTTTTGTTTAACAGAAGTCTGTTGTACTACGTATATCATGAATTTAAACTTTGTCATTTCTTGTTAAAACGTTTCGCTTGGCTGAGCATCCAAGTCAGAAGTTTTTATGAAATTTGCCTAGAAGTAAATTTTTTTAACCAGAAACTATCGAAATTAACACGTGCCTGTATGGCCAGGTCATATGCCTGAAATATGTTAAAGGTCCCGACGTCACGTAAGTAAGCAATTGCAATTACGTAGTGGGACATTTATTCAAACTGCCTGGGTGGGATGGTGACCGCTGTGGGTGGAGCTTACATTTATTCTTAGGCTGTAATTGACTATTGCAGTAGTACAGGGGAACCTCGTTGATACATGTCCACAGTAATTGAAAATAGGGAATTTATATGCAAAAATTGTATTAATCAAAAAGTTTGAAAAGAGAAGGGAAATATGGATATTATGTGAGTAACTCACTTTTATTGAGCAGCATGAGGTAGCTGGTCAATTTGCACAGCACTTTTTTTTCGTCATTGGATGGGGCGTCGATTTTTTTTTGGCCAGGATACAGATGTTGCTGTGGCTTTAGCAGCTCCGCATTGTGCTGACAGGGCCTTGTTGAGACGTGATTTGATGCTTGTGTACAAAAAAAGAAATGCCATATTTCTAGACATGTCGGTTAAGACCCATTTTTGCGGTCGTATTATGAAATTGAAGTGTAATTGTGTTAAATGCATGAAAATGCTTTATTTGCAAGGGACGTTGGCCGGGGGTAAAAAGGATGATTTATTAGTCTAACAAACTTCTTACGCAGAATTGGCTCAATGAAATTTTACTGTACTTGTGGTAGCTTGTAGCACTGGAACTTCGTACTCCCTCGGTGTAGCATACTACCGTAGCTTAACTCTTTCGTTACCACGCCTATTCAAATCGATCACCGGTGATCGATGCTTTGGTTCGTCGATTTTGGCACATTAAATTTGCTTCTTGTGGACCCACTACTTTCTAGTAGTTAGTCCAACCACTCAACTTTCAGAATAAATTTGAATTTGCCTGCTTTGGCAACATAGTGATATTTGAAACACGTTTGCACGAACCAATGTGCATGTGTTGTTGGAAAAGTGCACTAGGCTGGCGAACTTGATAAAAATACAGGCCCCTCGTGATTATGCTACAGTAGCATCGAAGGTATCTAATCATATGAATCATTGCAAGCCAAATATTGAATAAAAGAGTCAGCTTCGCAACTACAGTGTTTAGCGGTAATGATTGCCGGAAATTTATGCCAGCTATTTAAGAAAGAGCTGTTGCTGGAAGTCAGGTAAAATTTATTTCACAAAAAATATTTCCGAAATTTAGCTGCATGTTTAATGTGTCGAGATGACCTCCTCAGCCAGTTTTCAGTAGCTTTGGTTTTGCTCGTAGTGTTACATTAGACACAGGGTCGCATCTAGTGTCACTACTCGCTCCTATGGCATCATCATCACGCGCGCATAGGTGCACACCAGCGCTGCAAAACACGCACTGCTCGAAACTGCCTTGCAACCCCACCTGAACTGAGTGAAGACGAGCTTAAGAGTCCGTAGATGACAGAACCCCAGCTTCAAGTCATAAGGCGACGATGCTCTGCGTCAGCCTGAGACACCCGCAGCCGTCCATGGTTTCTTTTTTTACCGTCTCAAGCTGTCTTCTCTGGCGCAAGTGCGTAGCGACCGACTTTTGTGCAAAATCTTATAGCTACTTTGTTTACGCGCGAGGTCCACACTTCACTGGGGCGCGGTGTGCTTGTGCCAGATGCAGAGCTTCTAATGACAAGAAGGCCACGGAAGCACATCTTGGTCTTGACTACGAAGCAGCGCGAAATGTTTTAGATGTTCACGCTATATCATTCTTTTTTTAATACAATGGGAAAAATGCTAAGAAATATGCTTACATGTATATACAGGAACACCAACCTATGCTAAGTGAGGTGGCTCATGGAAAGATGTTACGCTAGACGAAATAGCGAAGTTCATCGGACATCTGGTTTATAGAAGTACAGTCGAGCCCGACTATATCAAACCCGTTTATGTCAAATTATCCCGTATATCGAACAATTCCTAAACACGATAAGTTTACTTTGAGAATATATAGCAAAAGTTACTGTTTTAGCGAATGAAAATACCAACGACAACTGATATATCAAACTCCATGTGCCTCAAAAGTGCCCCAGCAAGTTGGCTTTCCCTCGCGGTGGCGGGGAAAACTGCTGGTGCCACTCTAAAAAAGTTAGTTAGACCAGGTTGTGCGCAGGCGAACACCCTCTCCAAGAAATGATCCTGGCCCGCTCACAGCCAATCAGAGGCCGTCGTGCTTTCTCCGAGGCGCGGAGGCGGTAGAAAGAGCGCCATTTTTTCTTTCTTTATGCTTGTGTTCCTGCTGCTGCCGATTCAGCGTGGTCTGTGGTGTTGCCTGTTGGTGCTCTGTGAACTGTATTGGCGCACTGCCATCATGGCTTGCGCAAAGAAGCAGAATTTGCCGTTCGCCACGAAACTCGAAATCATCAATCAGGTTGAGCGCGGTGAAAAGAAGTCCGACCTCGCCGCCGCGTACAAAATTCCAAGGAGCACCTTGAGTACTATCCTGAAGAACAATGCAGACATCAGGGCCAAGTCGGACAAAAGGCCAGGTTCCCGTGGCGCGCGACGTGTGCGCGCTGCTGTGTACGAAGATGTTGAAGCGGCCGTTTACAAGTGGTTTGTAGACGTTCGGTCGCGAAACATCCCGGTGTCCGGCCCTATGATTGAGCAGAAAGCCAAGGACCTTGCTTTTCTGCTTGGCAGGAATGATTTCCAAGGCGGTTCAGGCTGGCTTCAGCGGTTCAAAGAACGGCACGACATCGTTGGCAAAGCTGTTACAGGTGAAAGCAGAGCAGTGGACCTGGACAGCGTAGAAAAATGGCTCGAGGAAAACTGGCGAGATATCGCAGCAAGATATAGAGCCCAAGATATCTTCAATGCAGATGAAACCGCTCTATTTTGGCAAATGTTGCCAAACAAGACACTTGCGTGTCGTGGCGACAAGACAAGCGGCGGCAAGGCAAACAAAGCTCGTGTGTCCGTGCTGTTGGCAGCTAATTTAGACGGATCGAAAAAGCTTCGACCTCTGGTTATCGGGAAAAGCACGGCACCGCAATGTTTTCAAAATGAAAATGCACTGTAGCTTCCAGTTACCTACCGAGCAAACTCAAAAGCGTGGATGACCGGGGAGCTTTTCAGCAGATGGCTATCGTCGTGAAATGATGATTTGGTAGGCGAAAATCGCAAGGTGTGCCTGCTCGTGGACAATTGTTCATCGCACCACTGCAGTACGACCTTCAGCAACATTGAGCTGCGTTATTTGCCCCCGAACACTACATCTGTACTGCAACCACTGGATCAAGGCATTATACGCGCAATAAAAGCCTGCTATCGGAAGCGCCTGGTGGAGAGGCTGCTGCAGAACCTTCGTGTCGGCAGGGAGCTTAAGATCGACTTGCTCGGAGCTATTCCTATGTTGAGTAGATCGTGGGCAGATGTCAAGAAGGAGACGATCCAGAACTGCTTTAGGCATGCCGGCTTCCGCATGCCTGGTGATGACACCTCAAATTTTGACAGCACTGAAGACACCGCAGGTGTTTCCACCAAAGTTTGGAACGAGCTGGCAGAGTTCCCCAGTGCTATCGACGGATCGACATTCGACGACTTCGTCAGTGCGGACGATGATGTCCCCATCACGGGCCAATTACAGGATGAGGATTACATTGCAGACGTCGTGCCGACCGCGAGCCAAAGCGACAGCAATATGGAAATCGACAACGGCCCATTGCCTACATCCTCTGAAGTGATTAGTGCGCTTGAGTTGGTCCGGCGCTATTGCTTGAATGTGGAAGGTTGCGGCCTCAGCTGCTCCGACTCGTTGGACAACGTGGAGGCGTGCGTGCTGTCGCAGGCAGCGAAGTCGTTGACACAGAAAAAAATCCGGGACTATTTTGTTCCACAGTAGGGCGCGCAAGTAAGCCACCATATTAATAAAGTACTTTTCTTCTAGTTTGTTATGTGCCTTTGTGTCAAAATCTATACCGGGCCCATATCGAATTATGCCATATATCAAACTAATAAACGTTTTTTGGCGAGTTCGTTATACCCGGGTTCGACTGTATTCTTCACATCACAGGTATCTATCTATATTTGAACACCTGGAGGCTTTAATCAAAAAAAAAATTTTTTCTGAGAAAAAAGTATGAGTTCACCTGTGCCTCAAAAAAAAACCAAGTAATGCTTCACAGCATGGCACAAGCAACGAAGCAGCACCTCAGTTCCGATTTTCTTTGTCTGTGAACAGAAACATTTTCCACAACATTTATTAATTTTTATACTGTTCCTGGGTCATTTGTCTTCAAAATGTATATTCTGAATTTTCTTTGTTTTGAATATTTTTGCATTTATACTGTTTTTTATTGCACTGTTTACCAGCTGGCAATCATAAATTATACTCTTTCCACATTTTTATTTATTCTAAAATATTTTCGGTGCTCTACAAGACACATTCTTTGAAAAGGGCATTACATTTAGCAAAATTTGGTATGCTGCAATGCGTCCTGGAGTAGTTTTAAAACTGGCAAAAACAATATTCCCGAGACATACGAAAAATAGCAATTTTCGCGCGGTAACGAAAGAGTTAAAGGCACCTTTGCGTTGCACTCTCACAGTAATAAAGCTGCCATTGGGAATAAATAACCTGCCTTAAAGGTCACCCTTTAAGGTCACCCTCTGTAACCCTTTGCTCCGCAACATGGTCCTCTAGCTGCAGAAAAACTGTGTTGGGCATTGTTTATTCCAACCACTTTATTGTATCTGTCACACTTTCAGTCGAACACTTCTGGATGCAGTGCGGAAAAATGTCTTCTTCATGATGCTCGACCTGGATCGGGAAGCTGTCGAGCTGGGTGTAGATCCCAGCTCTGTGAAAATCAAGGGCAGCAATGGCACAACAGAAGATGACGACTCAGCAGAAGAGGAAGAGGAGGACATGTACGATGAGCACGGCAGAGTGCTTGAGAAAGGAGAGAGCTGCCAGGACCTTCCTGCAATTCCTGTGAGTTGCCCTTCTATTGTGAAGCATTTCTTGGTGAACCAAAGGCAATATAAGCATATTAGAATGAAAGAGGGGGTATTCGTGTAGGGCTTGTTCCTTTTGTTAGACATTTTGTAACGAAACCATTAGTGAAGCTGAGGAAAGTATTGGAAACATTGCTTGTTACATTTTAGCTATAGTGCTGTAGTGAATATGAAATGAATAGAAAGGAACTGAGATGAATGAAAAATCAACTTGCCGCAGGGTGGAACCAAACCTACACCATTTGGAGAATGTGTCCGATGCTCTGAAATTTAGCTACTGTGGTGGCTGCTTTCCCATTTACTCTGATAGTTATTCTATGTTTTGCGGAAATCCAGGCTTGTTAAACTGAGGGGCTCAGAACCATGATGGCAATAGTGAAACGCTTTGTTGGTGCTGGCTGATATTCCCAGGATTGCACAGACTTAACTACCTAATAAACTGGGTGGGAAAGTGGCCGCTGCTGTAGAACGATTAGTAACTCAGCATCGGACGCATTACCTGAAGTTTGTACGGTTGGTCTCTACCTGCGGCAGGCTAATTTTTCATCTACTGTTCATTCTTGTCAGTTTGTTAGGCTATAGTTGAGTATGCTACAGTAAGAGCTCATTAACTCGGATCTCATGGGACCGGAGAAAATTTCCGAGTTAACCAAATTCCGAATTATCGAATGGACCATAAAAACAAAAGGAAAACGTACACGGCACAGACAAACCTTTATTTTTTAAAAAACGTGCGTTATATTTGCCTGCCTCACTGCGGAATTTCTGACAGAACGATCTTATTTAATCCCATCCGGTGGTAGTGCACACGTTCACTCACGCGAGAACAAACGCAGAACTCCTTGAGGACAGCGAGGGCTTCGGCGGCCTCCTGCACGGTGCGGCGACGTCGCGTTGGCTCATCGTGGCCGTCATCGTCGGAACAGTGATTTTGGTCCTCCTCAAGCACTTCCGATAATATATCAATGTCAGTCAGTGGACCAGCAACGGCAACATGATAGTCTATAGCGACGTAGTCTAAAATCTGCACGCCACTAGGAAGGAGACAGTCAAAACGCGTGTCAAAACGAGTGTCAAAACGACAGTCAAAACGCGTGTCAAAACGACAGTCAAAACGAGTGGGCTCGCAGGTGTCCTCTGGAGTGGCCTCTGGAGGAATATCCGAATCGTCAGGGCGGACAAAACCGCTGTGCTGGAAAGAATTTGCAATGACCGTGGGTGGCGTGTTGCTCCAGACATGCGCTAAAACTGTGAATCGCGGTCAAGAGACAGTTCATATTCTCGCTCTGCTTCCTTGCACAGCAGGATCCATTCCAGCACATGCTTTCTGTACCTGCTTTTTACGTGCTGAATTATCCCTTGATCCAGCGGTTGCAGAGCAGCCATCATGTTTGCAGGTAGAAATATAAGTTCGATGCACTCCAGCCCTGTCACTCTGGTATGAGCACTGCAGTTGTCAACTAGAAGTTAAACCTTGCGCTTGTTAGCGAAGAAGCGGCGGTCGAGTTGGCACAGCCAAGCTTGGAAATTATCCGAAGTCATTCAGGCCTTTTTGTTGGCGCCATATTGCACAGGAAAGTGGTGAACGTTCTTAAAACACCTTGGGTTACGTGCCTTCCCGATGACTAGCAGTGGCAGGCGCTCGTTGCCCGACATATCACATAGCACAGTGATCCTTTCTTTGCTCCTCTTCCCTCTAACGCACGGGTCGCCCTTGAATGTGATCGTTTTGTCCGGCAAGGCTTTAAAAAAGAGAGCCGTTTCATCGGCATTGAAGACGTTGGCAGGCTCATAACGAGCCAGGTACTGGGGAAGCTCAGTTGTCTTCCAGTCAGCAATATGCCGTTCATCCACTGCTGCTTTTTCCCCACACACGTTTCAAAAGACCAACCCGTGCCTTTCTCTAAAGCCGGCAAACCAGCCTTCAGGCGCACTGAAAGATTCGATGTTCATTCTCAGTGCGTACCTTTCAGCTTGCTGACAGATCAACGGTCCACTCAAGGGAAGCTGGCTGTTCCGCATGTCTGTTATCCACCGCAGCAGTGAGCCTTCCAGCTTCGGGTGTGCTGCCGTCCTTAGTGGTTTACATTTTCCAGTGAATTTGCCGCTGTCAAACGCCTAAAAAATTTTTTCTTTGTTCTTCACGTAGTTGCTTAAGGTGCTTCTCTTAACATCATACTTTTTCATTATCTCCTGTCGAGAAACATTTGCGTTCACATCTTTTAATATCATAACCTTTCTTTCAAGATCATTTGCTGGCTGCTGTGGCCGCTTAACGTCCTGTGACGGTCGCCATGAAGCGCGACGGCGGTGGCAAGGCGCACAAACACAGCCGCAGCACGCGAAGCCACAACACAAAGAACAAAGACACAAAGTACACCAGTAGGCATAGCATGCGCGTAGCGAGCAGCTATTAGTAAACACTGGATGCGCCGGTGGCCCAAGCGCTTCCGCCGGGTGGTGACTAGCACCACCTAGCCACTTCCCCTTCATTCACTATCATCATGGTCATATTCTGCTGCAGTTCGCTCGGTTTCGGTTTCTCCAAAACTCCGGTTCTGCCGTCGGTTACGGCAAGCGGTGCTTGAGCCGCCGAGATCGCGCGACTCTGGAGTCCCGATAGCTCTCTCCGGAGTTGTCTGCGATAACCGGTGCGCGGCTCAATCCCTCCGAATCAATGAGCATTTGACCTCATTGAAATATACACAGTTTTGCCGGGATCGCGCTGCGAGTTCAAGTTAACGAGGTCCGGATAAACGAACTTTTACTGTAGTAATGTCTCCTATAGCTTTCTTAGTTTCATTGTCAGTTGGTTTCATTAGGTCTACCGTGTTAGAAGGTACAACTGGGAAGATGAGTCGCTCAACAAGCTTCAGTTTTCCTTTATGGAACCTTTTTGTTTTTGTGATATCAAGCTTCACTTTAATTCTACTTTGATTTTATATTTGCAGTTTGATTACAGCACGATTGCTGACAGGCTTTTCGACATGCTCAAGGATCCCAAGCTTAAACCTTTCAACCGTGGCCTGATCACCAGAATGGTGAAGAAGTGAGTGTGTTTTTTATCTGTAGTTTTTTTGTATTGATCTGTACATTTTTTTTGCTATTGTGCTATTTGCTACACTAGAAAACAACAGAAACGTTTGTGACAGTTTCCGTTTTAAAGAAGCCGTGCCATGGTTCATTTCTCCTTAAAGGAGCACTGACATCAAATTTACTCATGCCAAGATTTTTGCGTCAGTGAGTAGCTATAGACCCCGTAGCAGCGATTCGCGACCTAAAATGCAACTGAGGAATGAATAACTATCACTTTTATTGATTTATATGACTGAGATCTAGCACTATTAAAAAACGACCGGCAATCCAGCCATTTTTAGCGCTGGGAGCACCAGCAGTGGCGCTACCTCGCGGTGACTTCCAGATCACGCCACAGCTGACCACTTCTCCACAAAAAAGAGTGATGTCAGGCTCAGCTGTTCCGCAAACATTTTGTCTGCTAGGCGGACATATTCAGTCATGCCTTGTCACCTGCATTGCTGTCGTCGCGTACAAAGTGTCGACTCGAGTTCAATACGATAATCTGGAGCTTGGAATCCCCGTGATTCGCGACGTCGTAAATTATTTTTGCTTCGATCGACCTTTTGCAGAACAGCGATTCCAAAATGGACGCCGTTCCAAGCAGCACTGCAGAGGTTCCCGAGGATGCACGCTTCAGCCATGTTCGCTCGTGTCTCTCAGTTAGCTATATTGGTGTGATTTGGCGTGCAAAGCATTCAGACATACGCAAAGGGGTCAATGCAATACAGCTATCATAAATGAGCATCAGCAGAGAAATAAAATACGTTTCCTGCTTGCCGGGTTCCTTTTTGCGCCTCCAGATGGCGCCACCTGTCCAGCCTCTCGCGGTTGACATGGTATTACCACTTTACGTGGGCGCAAAGTCTACAGATGAACTAAAATTCAATGATACCTGCATGTTACTTGTTAGCGATGATATCTGACTACACACTCTTTCACTTTTGATAGCTTGTGGTCATGTTGACGTGTAAAACATACGTGATATGAAAAGACACCCTCATTGCGCTTTTTTTGTGCTTCAAACTCAACGACTGCAACTCACAACGATTCCCCGACATACTGACCAACAAGCACATGTTTAATCATGCTCTTTTTTTTTGCCATTCTTTTAAAGGTGGTTTTTATTTTGATAATTTCACAAAATTATTCAAACCGGTGCGATGAAGATCAGACGCGACGACGTGGCCGGACTAGACTGTACCTGCGCGCGCTATCCCGGCCCTAGCCCGGCCGTGGACGAGCGAGTGCGTTTCTGCACTTTGGCGCCCGTCGGCACCACGATAAGAACACTCGGATCGTACACGTCATTGCTACTAGGGCATCGTCACTCAGAATGATATTCGTGGAATGTATCACACCGAACACGTAGCACTAGTGTAGATGTCCCAGGGCAGTCTATTTTTCGTTTTTCTCCGTAGCTTTTTTACGCTGTCTGACATAGAATTAAAATAACTTTCATGAAATGGATGCCGTTCAAATTTGGCCAAAAAGACCTATGCATACCAAGCGATGGAATGATGGGCGCATATCGATCTTGAAATTTGATGTCAGCGTTCCTTTAACACAGTCAGTCACCTTGGAAACCGAGAACACTTCTTTCATTCATTCATTCATAGCGAGGGTCTCGTTCTGGTAGACATGGTGCCTTTAGGTAGTATAAGAGAGATTATTCGTGAGCTGCCAGCTTGTAATAAGGTCACGTGCTACGTGACGCCAAACAGGCAGATAAGGGAGTGTTCCACACTCGCCACCATGGTTACAGGCGACGCTGACTGACGCTCCCACATTTAATGCACATATATACCCCTTAAGGTGGACGGGGGGATAGCTGCCATGGTAGCTCAGTTACTAGAAGATAAGACTCGTTATTCAAAGGTCACAGGTCCAGTAGTTGCCAACGGCAAGTTATCTTTTCGTCCACTTCTCTTCACATTTACATTACAATTAGTTCTAATAACATCGCCTGTACCTTCCTTGGCATGATTATTTGTTAGATCTTAGCTGTTAGATTGATCTTAGCTAATCTTTGTTAGATTGATCTTAGCTCTAAATGTATATTTTAACGTAATTGTGAAAGTATTGTCCAGCAGTGGAGGCCATTTTGACTTGTCTGTTTGACATCAGGAATCGAAGAGTCACTGCTGTGTTCTTTGCAGTCATTGTAGTATCACAGTGGATGTGCAGTAGTACTCACGGATTGAAATATGATGCCATATTTTTTATGACGATGGGTGTGCGTAGTTTCTTGAGATAATCATGCTGTCTTGGTGAATCTTAGTCAGTGATGTTCCGGGTAGGGAATTTTCCCTTTTTCGGGTAATTTTCGCCTGTTATCTTAAGCCAAAAGATAAAGGGAACTTCGAAAATGGTAAAATTTTTCTACGATGACCGATGATTAGCGGTCACAGTGCGCCTTCATCGGCTGTAATCGGTTCTGATGCATGCACCACGCAAGAACGGCCTTTGAGATTTGTTTCTAGTTTACTGGTGGTGTTAGACTTGAAGCTCGCAATGTGCAGTGTAGGTACTACAGTAGAATCTCAATGATACGAATTCGAAGGGGCACGCAAAATTTTCGTATCATCCCGAATTCATATGAACCAAAAACAAGTTAAAGCTGATCATGAAGATGGACAAGAACTTTATTAGGGTCAACCACTTCTTGCTTAAAAAAAGTTCAGGATGTTCTTTTGAACTTTCCTGCCTCCACCGTCTCTCAATAAAATGCCGCAATTTCCTCACTCATGCTGCTGTGATATAAGGCGCGTTCACACTTGGCATCAATTTGAGCAAAAGCGGCAAAACTCTGAAAATTCACTTGCTTCGCTGCTTAAGCACCCAAAAAAATGTGTCGCGAAGTTAATAAAAAAAAAAACATTAGTTCAAGATAATTCTCACTCGAGAATCCAAGTGAAAATGCAGAGCGACTGCAAAACCACATTTGCGCCCGTCGAAAATGTTTATACTCCTTCTGCCCCTCGTATATGGGTACATGCCAGCGCCGCGGTCTTCGCCGCGTGAGAATTTGTTCCTGAGCAATAAACTCCCCACTGAGTTCTAGATATACATGCAAAGCACTGAAATGAAACAGTTTACACCTTTGTAAATATTGTTTCGGGAGATACGTCAGAAGAAATGACACGAGCAGATGCAGTAGCGACGAGGGCTTCAGCCGGCAGTGTAAAAGAGAGACGCTTTAGGGCATGCCGACGCGCTGCTGCTGCACTTTCTTTTACTTTCAGTGTTCGCAGCGATCGTAAGCAAGCTCTCGACAAACGCGTCTTTTTCAAGGCCTTGAGCTTTTTCATGCTGTGAAGGTAGTTCGTGATGGCACAGACGCGAGCCACCGCACCCGCCGACGGCATCTTGAATGTACAGCTGGTTGTTTACATCACGTGGTTTTAGAGCTAGTGCAGCTAAAGCGGTAGCAAAATGGCGATCCGCTATTGCGTCGCGGCAAAATTGGTCTTGAACCGATTGTTTCGCATTAGCCTCGTGGCATGGTTTTTCGGCCACTTTTTCCGGCGGCGAAGCGAGGTAAATGCCGGTGAGTTTTTCCGCATGCGCTTCCTTGGCATGCGCTTCCTTGGAGGCCTAGTGTGAACGGGCCTTCCTTCCACAGACAAGCCACGTTGCGCCCCTCGCGTGCAGCAGTCAATCGCGCGTTTGTATCATCCGCGGTTGCTGGGGAAACCGATTGTATAACAACGAATTACGACCTACTTTGTATAAAGTTCGTTTGGAGCAACCTTAAAATTCGCATCAACCATAACCTTATCATTGAGATTCTACTTTAACAGTATATGAATTAAAGTCATGCGTTTGTTGTGCGGCAGTGCAGAGGCTAGTCATGATTTCAAAAACCGCCATGCATGAGGCACATGTAATTATTGCACGTGTTTGTGTAGTTGGGAGCGAAAATTAGTACAGTTAAACAGAATTTTGCTGAGAATTTTGCCAACAATTGCAGAGGAAAATCCCCGAAATAGGAAATGTTCATGATTCTGAATGGTAATTCTTTGGCGTAGTACAGAATAAGACTGTGTTCAGATCTAAATTATACCACTGTGACCCGATCTGAAGATGGTGGGGAGTGCAAGTATGAGTGCTACTCAGCCCTAAATTGTCCTGTTTCATTCCGTGAGTACTGTACTTCTCAGTACACTGACTGCTTCATAAATGCATCATTCTTCCTTTCCCGCTTTTTTCTTTTCTTATTTCCTTGGGAAACTGTTTATTCTGATTAGTTTTTTTTCCATTGTGATCTTACTTCAATCTTTTCCTGCCTTTTTCTTTTATTTTTTGCTTGGGAAACTGTTTAATTTGATTAGTTTTTTTTTTCATTGTGATCTTGCTTCTATCTGTAAACTGTCCTTAGCTGCATTTCTGTATGTTTCGTAATGCACGCTGTTTTATTTAGGTTCCGTACAGTCCTTGAGGAAGGCCTGGTTAGGCCTCCAGTGGAGGAGACTATTGAAGAACCCATCACTGAGGACGACATTGAGGCTGCTGCCAGCAAGCTTGAAGAAGAACTTGAGGAAGAGCTCAAAGAGGATCATGAAGAAGTGCTCAAGCTTAAAAAGGAGCGGGACAAGGGAAAACCCAAGTTTGGCTTTGACAGCTCCAGTGGCGCATATGAGTACATTTTTAACCACAGTGGTGACTCTGAAGACGATGAAGGGTCGGCAAAGAAAACAGGACGAAAGAAAAGGCGACTGAAAGAGAAGCAACCAAAAAGAAAAACCATAGAAGTAGAAGTTGAGGAAGGTACCGACACATGTGATTCTGATAAGGAACTGGTCAGCACAAAAACTGCAGGCAGAAAAAGGAAACGAAGTGCCAGGCTCTTTGGAAAAACACAGAAAGAGATGAGCGCTGAAGGTGCCTCTAATGGAGTCGAGAGCAGTCAGCCCCCCAAGAAGAAGCAACGAAAAAGGAAACCCAAGAAGCCCAAAACCAGTCCAGACGGAACAGTGCAGAAGATGGCAAAGTTAAATTCTTTTGATAACGATGCTGCTGGCATTGCTCAGCGGCAGGATTCTAAGCCTACCATGAATAGAAAATCTCTGTCAAAATTAAATTCTTTTGATAATGATGCCGCTGGCATTGTGCAGCGGCAGGATTCTAAGCCTACCATGAATAGAAAATCTCTGTCAAAATTAAATTCTTTTGATAATGATGTTGCTGGCATTGCGCAGCGGCAAGATTCTAAGCCTACTGTGAATAGCAAATCTTCTGTAGATGAGCAGCAGAAAAAAATAAATGTAGTGCTGCGACGGCGGCAGGCAAGAAAGCAAAGAAAGGAGAAGCGCAGGCTTTCTGCGCTCACACCAAGCTTTAAAGTGACTCCACTTCCAGAAAAGGCGGGCAAAGCTGAACAGGTGGCCTCAATGACCACACCCACGAGTTCCGCAACCCAAACTGGCGAAGTGGCGGCGTCGATAGTGTCTGCGTCATCGAAGCATCAAGACAGTCACACAACTGAAACTTCACCTTCCACACCATTCAGGAGCCCGAAAAACCACGCTCAAGGAGGCAGTGCAAAATCGCCTCGTCAAACCCCTCAAGCAGACGGAGAAGTGACGAGGCATCCGAAATCGCCTTTGGCAGGTAATGTGGGTGCGTCAACCGGACTTCACTCACCAGGAAAAAGACGTACCAGTATAGCGAAAACACCCGTTTCGTCCCCGAAAAAGAACCTCAATGTGGCCAAGCCGCATATGTTGCCTGTAAAAGCTAACGCTGCAACAGAAGCATCACCACAGGGTCTGCGGCCTATTGGCAAGTTCACGTCGGCCTCGTCAGCTTCACACAATGGCATAGAAGTGAAGGCATCTGGTGATGATGCTTCAATTGCAAAGTCTCCAAGTACACCAAAGACCAGCAACCAAGTGGCACCTTCACTTCGCAAGTGTCTTACTGAATCAAAAGCTAATAAAGCTAAGGTAGGTGATTACATCTACGTATTGTTTCCTTCCTTTTTATTGTTTTTGTTGGGAGAAAAACGTCTTTTTTTACCTCAGTTTCTTTTGATAGTTAGAAATTCGGTCACAGCCTAGGAGAAGTAATGAGAGCACATATGCATAGGACAAAAAGTAGTGAAGTGTAATTGAGTCATCTGTGAAGTTTTGCACATATGTGAGATATCTGCGAATAAAGAAACAACAAAAGAGGAAAGAAACATAGCAAGCAATATTCGCTCATACTGTTATCTTCATTATTCGGTTTAAAAATGCGACACTTGACCAAAACTTCACAAGTGACTCAATCACTTATTTGTAATTGATTTGCAAGATTGAGATTCATTCACTGTACCTTTGCACTTTTTCTCCTGTTGTGGTTGTCGTACCTTTTTATGCCTGTGCCTTCACCATTTGGCATTGGAGGTGGGCATCGTGGTTGTTGGCAGTTTTACCAAGTAAGAGCTGTAAATGCACTCAGACAATGAATGAAGGAAATTCGCAGAATAATCACAAAGGGAGTGTTGGTTTGTTTCTGCACGACCGAAAATGGTGGCTTCAGGCAATTTTGATATTTTACGGCGTCTACTGTGCTTCTTTGTTGCTGTTGCACATATCGGCTTTTCATCACAAATGTCGGCATGTTCATCTTCGCTTGTTACCAATTTTGCCAGGGCAATTTTGTTGCGTAAGCTCCCTGGGAATCAACATATTGGCACAGCGCAAGACTACGAGTAGTTACGACGCAACTACAGAAGAAGTGTGTACAAGAATGTTTGCAAAAGTCGTGACGAACCAACAAGGAAGCAAAAACTGAAGACAAGAACAGAAAGAAAGCAGACTTCAACTAAAATTTTATTAGCGAAAACACTGGAAATATATACCCTTGACAGAACATCACCGTGCAATCGCGCAGCCTATTGCATCACAGGAAGACAATCATCATCTCATTATATGGTTACAATGCCAGAGCTCAGCACAAATTCCCGATCTATTATGTCAAAGCCAGAAACTCGATATCTTTTTTAGTCAGCGCAAGCGAAGGGACGCTGGTACATCCATCACCCACCATTTGCAATTCAGTGATGCAATAGGTTGCGCGATTGCGCGGTGATGTTCTGTCACGAGTATATATATCCAGCGTTTTCGCTAATCAAATTTCAGTTGAAGTCAGCGCTCTTTCTGTCTTTGCCTCTTCTTCTGTAGTTACGTTATAACTACTCGTAGTCTTGCGCTGTGCAAGTATGTTGATTCCCAATCACCAACTAGCCCAAGCATTTGTCTCATTAAGCTCCCTGGCGCTCACCATGGTCGCAGTGTATAAGACCATAAAATCGTTATCATTTCGTATCGTTACCAGCAGCAACTGGCTGGCCAAAACCTGGAAAGTGGTGGTTCAGCATTAATAGTCACCACGAATGTTTGTGTTAATTGTGTAGCATATCATATTAAACTGCATTTTTCTTTTTTGTAACGTTTGCTCTACAGACAACCATCCACTCAATTGCCACTTTATACAGTGTTATTCAAGACTTGGGCATAGCGGAGCCTCTATCGATAAGAGTGCCGTGTTCTCACTTTCTGCACTTACTTTTGCTGCCATGTTGGTTTGTCACGACTCTTGCAAACATTCTTGTACACACTATTGTATTGCTGTTAGCACCTTTAGACAGGGGTGTGAAGCTTTTATAAGAATGTGCATGCACTGGTGCAGAACAGAAAGTGGTATTTGTTTATTTCTTTTATAAATACGGTGATCATTATTGTCAGTGTGACTCCACAGTTTTGACAAACTTACTCTTGCAGCAAGTACCTGTGTAATTACTTACCGATATAACTTTTGTCAGAATTAATGAGCTTGTTATAGCGTATGTGGTCAACTGTGTCGATACAGCTCGTATGCGTAAGACTACCGACATGTCATATTGACCCTATCATGTTTCTTAAATATTATGGCAGTGTTGAGCATGGCACAATGGATTTTAAAGTGTATTTTTTGTACTTTAGCCTGATTAGTTCAATGAAATCTCCTGAAACTTCGTACGTTAAGTCTCCATCACCCTCAGAGGAGAACATACCTCATTTTTATCAATTAGGAACTATGTATGTCCTAGCAGGTGCCGTCGAAATTTAAAGATGGTATTGCCAGCTGCATTTTGTTGCATGTTTTCTCGCTTGCCTTGCGTCTTCAAGCGGCAAGCGTGGAGATTTCGATTGAGGGTACCTTACCAGACAGAAAGATCAGTTTGCTATTTAGTGCCCCAAGGGCCCAGTGTACAGCTACACCCAGTGCTGCGTTACTCATTATAGCGAGAGAAAATCACAGTGCTGTATTGCACCGTTAGTGTTGCTCCAGACATTGATGCCTAAACACTGTTTTCAGCTTACAAAATTTTCAACACCACCAGCACAGCCGTCTTCAACTTCTCAGGAAGAAAAGAGAGTGATCTTCGCGTTGTCAAAAAACAAAGCACAAGGTGAGTGTCTGTTGGCATCATAGCGCATTTTAGGGCCATTAGATAGCCCTAAGGTCCAAAGTTCATGAAGAGGTAGCTGTGCAATTGTGTGAACTAAAGGACCGAACATGCTGCTGCAAGAATTTTACAAGTTAGTGCTGCTGCAACAGGGAAGTTATGGGGGTACGAAATAGCCCTTCCTTGCCCACTTCGACTTGTTTGGGTTGCTTGGACCTTACTCTTCTCTGATGCAGCTTGTCATCGTGATTACATCCACTTTGGAATGTTGCACATCATTGACTTTCGTCACTGGCGTGAACATAATCGCCTTCTCGGTTACAACATCATGATCTAATAAGACCATCAGAAATGATGTCAAAGCTGGCTGCATTGAAACCATCATATTTAATCATACAGGCTTGAGTGATTAAACTATCTTCCTTTGACTACCAAAGTGTGCATGCGAGTACAAAACTGTATAGAACAAACCCCTGCCTTGTTTCAGGCTTTTGCAGTACAAAACTAGTTGCTTCCAGTATATACATAATTATTGTCCTTCATAGATCGCATGTTCTCGAAGGCTGACTCCTGCAGTGTGTAGCGAAGATGGGGAGTGACAGCCATGCTGTTTCGACAAAGATAATGCACGTGAAAGCGCTTGGGATTGCACGAGACAGACATTTATGTTAGTGGTTTCGCCAGCTATAGATGGATCCGGTACTTAATGAAGTGAAAGAACCTTTCCATTGCTGCACGAAAGCGTGCTAACACTTGCTTCAAAACGAAAGAAGAAACGTATAGGGACACCAAAACCACCCAAGTGTCCTGTCCGTAGATGAACAGTGTGTACAACATTCTGATAGACCAGTGGTTGGTGTTACTCACGTTACTGAACTCCGAGGACCAGCTTCAGCTGGCAGACAGGTATCGGGCATTGTTTGGCTGCAAGCCATGACGACCTGATAAAGGGAATTCACTAACTTTTGGGTGTAGAGAATGCATGCTTGGTCATACAAGAAAGTCATACACGAAAAAGTATATACGAAAAATAAATGTTGTCGCTCTCTTCGTGTGATGATTACAGCCACAGCTTCCGCACCGAATTTCTGAAAGTGGCTTAAGGCCATTGCAGAAGTATATAGGGTAATCTGCCTTGGTGGTGCAGTATCACTTCGTCATGTCACCATACTATATGTGGTTTAACTGCATTGTAAAAAAGTTTAAATCAAATATACATTTCTGCCACGCTGATGTGTTCAAATTTCGCTAGGTGTGTGTGGGGCACGTACAGCTTTGCATGTAGTGCCTTGTTCAACTTCAGGAAGTTTGGTGCCGTGGCCCCTGAAATGAATTAGAGTGCTAATGCATCTCATTGCTAAGCCTACGAACCCGTGATCACGTTGCCTCTGTACCAAGCATGGAACTTTCTCATTCCTGCATTGCATTTATAATGAATTCTTGTGATCCCGCAGATCCAAGGGAGTACTTTGAGACATTGAAGAACAGCCCAGAGATTCCATTTGACGCATCCAAGAAGCCAGCTCAAAGTGTTCTGAAGGCACGGCTATCGCTGCCGTCCAGTACACCTGTTCAGTCTGCAAAAAAGCGCGGGAGGGCATCCGATTTCTTTCAGTCAAATGTCAGTGGTTTGTTTTGTAAGAAGCGTTCCAACGCGTCAGATTTCTTCTAGGATGTGACAAGACACTCAGCCGGTCAATTTGTTCCATACATCATGCTTCATTGCTGGCACAAAATAAATATTCTGTATATTGACACACTACGTGACCTCTTGCTTGTGGGGCTGGACATTGAGTTTCCTACACATACACTAGAGCGAACTCTCATGCTAGTGTCTATGGGAGGTGCAATGCAGGGTTTTTCAGTAAAATTGGGAATGCACGCAGATTTGTCTAAACTTTGTTCTTTTAGCTACGTTTGTCTTCATGTGGCCTGGGGCCGCTTTGTCGCGGGACGAAAATCAGCGATGTTCTGTGGTTCTGTTTGGCAACAGTAACCCTTTAGGCTTATCGATTCAAACCGAATCGCGAAGTTCACAGTGAGCGATTCCTTTATCCAAAACAAGTGCTAAAACACAACAATAAGCAAATGCACAAGTGTGTGCAATGGAGTAAGCACAAAGATTAGGCAAATGCGTGTGCTACCCTTCATTCCGGTGGCGGCTGAAGGAGTGCTATGCTAGAGTTCTCTTCAGTTAATGTCGAGAAACATTATGGGGCTGTAGGGTGCGTCCACAATGAGCCGTGGAGTGATGGTTGCGCAAGAATGCACTCGTTACATTTTAGACCCCGAAAGTAAACAATACGCCAGTTACTTGGCACAAAACTTGGCTACATGCAGTACATAAATATGTGGTCATGATTTCAGAACATACTATGACTGAGCATGTTGCTTATTCGTATCACTATTTTAGGAAAAATAACTGGATGAAAACGAACTAGAAGACACGATGCATGCTCTGTGCAGAGTTTGCACATTCTTTCTTGTCTTCTCTTATGCACTAAAAAAACGAAATAGGCACTACCAAGCTTATAACAGACACTACCGTGCCTAAAATAAAAATTTAGGTAGTACATCTCATGCATTTCGTACCCACGTTTTGAATGCGCAAAAATCCATTCATGGTGGTATAATCATGTGGCGTCATGTTTACAAAGCACAGACGCAGCTTCCTAGATTGCGGTGCATATAAACAAATCAAAATAAATACATTGGTAAAAATTAAAAGACATTACATATGTATAGCACCGGCCTTGCAATATTAAACCGCAAGCTTGATATTCTGCAATGTTGCCATTAGTTTTCTAAAAGCCACGTTACTTTTTTCTGAAGTGAGACGTGCAATAAGGTACACCTAATTAAGTTTAGAACGCCCGTAATATTGTAAAGATTCAAATGGTGGATCTTGTTGACATGACGGACATCAGCAACTGGTGTCCCTCAGCACTGACTTGGTCGTTTTAGCATTACTCGTAAAAACAGACTTAGGCCAGTTTGCAAGGATCCGCATAGTTAATTTTCAGAAACCGGCCTGGTTTTATTGTAGACAAAAAGGCGTAAGCTACGGTGAAACTTGTGCACGAAAACAAGCAAACAAATAAACTTGAATTTGAAGCAAGCACTCGTCTTGCTTATATTCAGCAACAACTTGTCCTGATGGTACTGTGGAAGCTATGGAGCCAAAGCACATGCCTGCTATAGTACCAGAAAAGGGTACCTAAAGGGGCCCTGAAACACTTCAAGTAAGGAAGGAATGAAGTCACTAAAAGACCTTATTGTCTCATGAATTCAATGTTACAAAAATTTTTAAGAATCCGTCCAGTACGAGCAGTGTTACAAAGAATTGTCGTTCACTGCAATCGCGTTCTCTCTTCTCTTGTCCCGGTGAAAGCACTGGAGGCTAAACAAGGAGGGATGGCAGGAGCAAAGAATATACATCATGCGCACCTTGTGACCTTGAGCACTTTTTCCCCTTTGAATACGCATATTTTTCCGTGTGATTGTGCACACACGCGTGGACAAGTTTGAACGACAGAGCGCGCCATTTTCAAATCAGTCAATGGCCGATAGATGGACTTCTACGTGCGATTTTCGAGCTTCTATCATTTCTTGAGAGAAAGCAATTTTTAGCTGACCTTGATAATTGATTGTGAATTCCAGGCCATGTGCTCGCTCATGTTTTACTCGCTCATGCTTTACAGTTGTCATTCTTTATTCCATGGTTGAAAAAGAAAGCATGGAAACCCACTAGAGATACTGGTTTATTTAAAAGTTAACGGTGTCCACACATGAACAACTTCTGAGAAGAAAAGGTTAATGTTCTTGAACATTTTCTTTTTTCATTGAGCGCAGTTGTGAGAGAGACCATTACTTATAAATGGAGCTGTGCAGAGACTCAGTTTTTTCTTTTTTTCTCCGCTCCACAATTTTCAATGTCTGTACATGGTAAAATAGAATAAAAATTAACTTTATAAAGAAAGGTCATTTTAAAGGGTGGCAACATGCCTTAAAGGCACCATGCAACACGTTCAGAAGTAGCCATACAATGAATTCAGTGAAGGGGCTTATTTGCTCACGAATTTACCGCCACAAACAATTTTAGAGTCTGTCCAGCACTAGCGGAGTGGCAAAGATTTGTCGCACGCTGCAATTGCTTTCTCTCTTCTCTCATGCTGTCTAATGCAGTAGAAGCTAAGTATGGAGGGATGGTACGGGGGAAGAAGATACGTCACATGCTCCTGGTGACCTTGAGCACTTTTCTTTTTCTTCAAGCACACTGCTTTTCAGTGCAATTGTACACGGGGACAGGTCACGGCCTCCCGCTGCTGCCCCTGTTACTCCCAAATGCACCAAGCTAAAATGAGTCAATGGTGTGACACTTGGGCCTGTGATGCTATATTTATGAGTATGCAGCATCTGTTTGTCGAGAGAAGAGAAAGCAGGTTTTACAGCTGACTCTGAGAATTTGTTTTATTTCCAGGCTTTGTGCTGTGCTATAATATTTGGCTCTCATGTTCTCAGGAAGCTCAATTACCAATTGGTAGCGTTTTCTGACCATGCTCAAAAAGTGTTGCAGGGCCCCTTTAATGAAATACAACATGGAATTCTATTTCAATAAAACATAATAATTACAAATTATAGTTCTGCTACACAAATTGTCTGGTGTTACAAAGAGATGAAAAAAAGGCTTCTACAACTTCCATCTTTGAGGATTTGCACGCAGTGTGGTCGTAAGAGTATAAAAATAAAGCACAAACTCAGTACTTCACAAACACATTCAGTAACAAACAACATTTTGCAGAAGGCAGGAACAAATGCACAGGATAAAATGAAAATGTGCGAGTACCTAGTATGCAGTAGGCATTTTGGATGTGCAGACGAAGGTGATATGTTAACAGCAAAGTAACAGGAACGTCAGCACAGACTAGCCCTTGGTGATACGTAATTGGTATATATACATTATTAGGGCAAGCGCAGCTTTTGGCTAGTGGCATTGATGGACTATGCAAAAGCAGACACTCATATCTCAAGAGGTCTTATATTACACAAATGTACAGTATACAACACTCATCACAGTATAACAAAATCTCATTGCTTTCTTAATTGGAAGTTTTCTTCAATGGCATCTACGATGCTGTCATGTGTGTCCCTGATGGTGTCCATCATCTCTTTGTAAGTGGCCTGGAATATCAGAAAACATGTTGCAATGCAAGCTCGTAACTGCATAATGGCATTAAATCAGGGCTGGACATGCCAGAAAAAAAGACTTATCTTTTCCAGTAGGGGTTTCTATATATGAAAGTCGTTAATATAAATGCAAATATGTTTATTTCAGAAAACAATCTGTGAATACTGAATTAAAGGCTGAATATTGGAAAAAACAAATTTAATGAACTCGTGCCATCTGGCAACATGATGTAGCGCTCTGTGAATAAATGCAGGGGAAACCAACGTATCGTTCTGGAACAGCGGAGCAAAGTATAAAACACCAAACATGAGAAAAAGGTGCATACAAGCGCTCATTCTCACCTCTGACCTTTTTTCACACAGTTTCATGGTGAATCATTGCCAAACTCTCTCAGCCTGTCGCGAATGTCACTCAAACAACAATTGTGAACTTTGCTTCCAAGACGTAGTCGCAAATGCTGGCGCATGCGATAGCTCAGCAGCTTTCGGAGGGTGGCTTGAATACACTTCGATATGCTGTGCTCTAATCTCGAAGAGATCGTACGAAAAGTGTTGCTCTTCCTGGAGTGGCCGTATTTTCTACAACGTTATGCGAGATCGCATCCAGAAGAGTTAGCTGCAAGCTATTTTTTGTATAAACAACATTACAATTTGTTGCTATTACACTCGAAAGTCAACCACCTAGTCGATAGCGCTGCATAACGAATCATAACGGCGAAATGAACGAGAATATTCGCATGCACTCAGTGAACAGTCTTGTCTGTGTCTTCGTTAGGCTGTTCTGGGAACCCTTGCTTCTTTTGAGCACCATTACAGTCATCCTTTTTTTTTTTCTCAACGCTGTTATCAAGTTGTAAAAAAATCAGTTTCACCGCAACGGCGAAGCAATAAATGCGATAGCAACAAACTAATGTTATATAAAGTAAGGCTAGCAGCTATTAAATATGATATCGCATAACTGTAAAACACTGGTGTATAGACCTACGTGCCAAGTCTCCAGGATTTTCCGGGAGACTCTCAGATTTCGACCATTTCTAACTTTTGTACGGTTTCCATGAAAATCTTCTCTAATGTATGCGTTGTGCGCATAATCTCATTGGAAGGTTCTAAGATTACCTAGATTATTCCTTGTCATTTGGCCGCGGTTCGCACAAGGCGTAATGGTGTGATAGCAAAAATAGAAAGGAGCGCATGTGGCATTAGCCTTACAAATTCTTGCTATTGCAGTCATCGCTTCGCCGTTGAAACTGACTTTTAGTTGTTTTTTTTTTTTTTCAGTTTATATGATTCGGCTAACAGCTTTGCTGTTCAAACATATATAGAGTCGCATAATGAGGTATGCACACAAACGCCACCTTAATAAGATTCATGCATGAACCGAAATACAGTGATACTAGTGAAACAGAACCAATAGACGTGACCGAATTAATTTGATATGGACGCGGTTGCGTGCTTAGTGCAGCACACGCGTGTTGCTCGGTTGATGATAAAAACTTGACTAAATTTGGTGTTGCACACGCATAATGCCATTTAGGCGCAGCAGGTCAAATTGGCGCAAAATGGTGCAGCACTTCAACCCCTGATCTCAGTGATTCTAAACTGGCAGATAAGAATTCGTGAAATTTCCTAGCCTAATTTCACTGTCTTTGCGACAGAAATTCGAATGTTCCAAACACTTTTCCTAATCGCGGTGGGTGACATGAACTTGAGTACTGAAACTGTCGAACAAAAGCCGAGAGCAGCGAGCTCTAAGCGTCCGAAGTATGTCGTTAGCCACAACCACTGTAGATGAACCTGCGGTTGTTGCTATTGGCACGATCATGTATGGTGACTATGTAGCTGACATAACTGCGAAAGTGTGTGTGCGTCCAATACTCGAGAAGTAGAAACGACGCTGCTTTTCGAAAACGCTGCAGACAAAACCGTGGCACATGTGATCATAGCAAAAAAAAAACGATTTAGTTTTGAAGGCACGTGCGCAGCCAGTGCATGTGGTTTGGAAACTAAGCTACTTTTGCCGCAACCGCCGCGCACGCAACCGGGGTCGCGGCAACGCAACAGGGATCTACGAGCTCCGAGAACACGCGGCTAATGCAGCAGTAGATTAAAGGAAATAAAGACGAAAAAAGGTTGCTAGCGTTTTGCTCTTTCTGTTCAAAGAACTCAGTACCATAGCAAAGCTTTGACCCACGCTTTCGCGGCAGCCAGCTGCGCCATCTCATCCATTCACGTGTGTTTCAGAAAGACGTACTTGATATTTTTGACAGAAATAGATTTTGCTAGTCGTTTTTTTAATGCGAAATTTCAAACAATAGTTGAAAAACCCTACCCTCATGTGTTCGGCCACTCCAAGACCGCAATGCCGATGTTTACGCCTGCGAGACTGTTTGGACTGCCCGCCCCTTGTCTTTGTTTTTCTCGATGTTTTGTCATTTGGTGCAAAAACAAAAAAGGAAGCAAATAATTTGGTGCGGCCCCTCCTCCTTATCCCCCCATTACGGTAATCTCGTGGATTCAGAATCCTTGAACTTTGCAGGTATAAATAGAAAATGGCTGCGCCAAAGACAGATGGCCCCTTTCGCGCAGTCTCTGCGTTGAAAGCGCAGCACATAGAAGGGTTTACGAGCCATTCGCATCAATGCCTGCCGAGAGAGTGTGCTTGGAATCACAGTTCGCAGTTGCTGCTCGAGCAATCACAGGCTTCAGGATACCGAAATTACATATAACCATTTCAATGGAACCGAAAACGTGATGTTTCAGCAGTTTTCGGGCACGGGGCTGGATGGCTGTTGCATCGTGCGACTAAATTTGGGTTCCGTGGTGCATTACAGTGATGATGTAAGAGTTTGGCACAACAGAGATTGTTGGCACGGGATGGCGCAGGTAAACAGGTTTGGCACACAATGGCTTTGATGGCGGAGCTGCTCCACCTCTGTGTGGTGGCTTAGTTTGTGTTGGTAAAGTCTTGGATGAGGGTTCTATTCCCAGCCACTGTGACTGCATTTGATTTGGGGAGGTATGGAAACAACATCTGAATTAGTTGCACATTAATAGCCCCATGTGTTAACTGTTGCATTGCGATTTATATACATAGAACACCAGGATTTATTATATAATTTAAACGCTAAAGAGCCAGACGTGTGTTATCTTCAGCACTTGGGCTAAATAAATGCCGCAGGTACGACTGGCTAGGCACAGCATTTGGTAAAACTGTGTCCTGTTTTCTTTGTTGTCTATCCTTTGCAATATGTCCCTACTATGACATCGCCAAGCCAACACGAACTGGCCCTTTTCGTCGCATTACTCACAGCAACAAATAGAACTGCACCGAACTGATTACATTATCACGGCCGAGCACTTTGTAACTGCAGACGTGGATGCACATCGGCATGTTACTTACAGTTGCAGCATCCGTGCATTGTTGTAAGGCAGCATCGCTGGCTGCAATGGTTTCGTTCTGCCGAGCGATAGTGTCGGCTAGTTGCTTCTGGAGGTTCGCCAGGCTTGATGTTTAGCGTGCACATGGAGAAATGGACGAGCGTTACATGTCATTTTCATAGCCGGAATAATTGACCACTTGTCAGCATGCCCGTATAATCGAAGTTTAATTTAGAGGCTCACGAATGATGCATGACAACTAAGACACCATCCTGCAATGCATAGAGCATGAGTGATAATTTTGAAAGGGCATACTAAAGGAAAGAGTTGTACAATGTAGATGTTCAGATCTATAGCTACCTAGTGATGCTACCAAATGCTTGTGTTTAGCAGCAAATTTTGAAGCAACGAAATCTGCTCTTCAAAGCAGTAGTTAACCTCGAACGCTGGAGGGCCTTGGATTAGGCATTACATAAGAGGGGAAGGGTGAGATGTAGATACAAGGTCCTCAGTCAATTGCTCAACACAAATTGCAGGGCAAAACACTTTCAAGAGTGCTCAACATGCGCTTGCCATTGTGCAGCGCTTATGCTCCGTAACTGTCTGCAATGGAATAAAAAGATATTGCATTTAATGTTACATAGTTGTCAGTCCAGGCGTATTTGATCTCGTGTGAAACCTTTTCAAGATAGTTCTGACAGTGCCGCAGCATTTAGTTCGTTCCTCCAAGCATAGTAATGTTCTTGACAAGACCAGCATCTGCTTTAACCGAAAACACTTCTGCCGATTTCATCGACAACTGGTCCGCCACAACACAGTGTTGATAAAACCAAGTGAAAAAAAAAAAGAAAAAGCCAGTAGTGCATGTGAGACTCGGAGCGGAAAGAGTGGCTCAAATGTTAGCTCTTTGTACACGCTGCATGCACATAAAGAGAAAGTCGCTGTTTCGCCTATTAGGTTAAACAGTAACAATGCATTAGACAACTGTGCGAACAGAGGTACGACTTTTATCTGCCACTGATTGCATAGAAAACGTTTGGACAGTGATTTAAGTTAACAATGTAGTATGTGCGCACGACAAAAAAAAAAAAAAAAAAAATCGCAATAATCGTCAACACTTGCCCATCATAACACAGGCATGACAAACACTGCCTGACAGAGATTAAAAAGGCATCTGATTTGATTAATGCTTAGAGAGATTCCAGACAACAGGAGGGACCTACCGTTTTTCAGCCTCCTGAGCGGCCTTAATGTCTGGATCGTGGATTTGTAGCTGCTGAAGGTCAGAGGTTGCCTTGCAGATATCGGCATACTCTTTGTCCAGATCATGAGCATTCTTGCGAGTGTCCTGAAATAAAGCAATAACGCATTATTTATTCTTGAAGCCAGTCAAGAACGCTACTAGAATGTGTGACAGTTTCCTTATACTGAGACTAGAAGTCGCATACAACCTTGCCGATATACGTGTTCAGTGGATGTGCAACGCCTGGCGAAAAAACGTTTTTTTCACTTGCTTATCACAGCAAATGACATATTATGAAAATGTAGCCCACTTGTGAAGTGTTATTGTCACAAGGTGGTGTACAACATGTTGAGCATGAGAGCTGTTCTCTATGAGCCCACCTTATGGACTGTCCATTCTGGCCACCTCAGATTGGCTGGAGCTTGTGGCAGGCAGCCCCCCCCCCCCCCCCCAGTTTGGTTCCTGTTCAGCAACGTCATCTTGACGTCACGTAACGGTCACAACTCTCGACACTTTATGAGCTCTGAATATGCTTCACCATAACAAATGCAGCCCCGAGAGGCCGTGCATGAACTCTGATCAAGTTAACCCTCGAATTAGGTTTAATTTGGCTGCTTGTCGAACTATCGCGGAGCTTAAGTCTCCTGTAACTGTACATTTTGTCTGATTTTTTTTTTTTTGTTGTTGTGTTGGCAACGTGCTGGCAGCTTCAGCACGTTAACGCAGTCAGGTCACAGTGGCTTCACGGCTTGCCGATTTTTAGAGCAACTGAATGCGCTCTGCCAAAGTGGAAACGTCCACAAGGTGGACTCATTGAGAATACTTCACCATCAGTGCCACACGGAAAGGCAGGCACGTATGTAGATGGGACAGTCCGAACTCAACACTTTGCGAATAAGTCCAAGTTTGCCTTTCCACGCAAGCAGCCCGTCTTTGTCAATATTCTGAACCACCTCACACATGTGAAAGATACCAGCAGTAGCCGGAATATATGACAAGCACCGTCACCAGAACACTGCCAGCTCTGAAAAAAACTCGGCCTGTTGATGGTACGAGGGCAGAGTCTTCAGACATCGCAAAGGAGTGAAAACAATCAACAGTTCAGTGATGTTACGCAAGGCACAGCTAGGCAATTTACATGTGCCTTAAGGAGTGTGCACCACACCTTCTACAGTAAAAACCCTTTATAAGAGACAAATGTGTATAAGGGACACCAGTGTGCCTACAGTAAAATACTGCTTGATAAGAAAGTGCATACAAGGTACCCTGCTTATCAGAGAAATATCATGTAAAAGACGAGAATTGTTGCCAGGAGCATGCCTCTTGTAAGGGGTTTAACCGTAGCACGCTTTAGCGTAGTGTGATGGGAGATGTATCATCGTAAGACAAGCTTACCTAAGTGGCTGCCGCTGCATGTGCAAACAATCCATAATTGTAATCGTTGCTCATGGTGTTAGAAACTCAGCAGTGCTCAACAACAAGACTTGTAGGTGTTGACCATCACAATGCATTTGACAACACTGGCATACTTATGGTCATTGCTAGACAATAGCATGCTTCAGTAGTGTTTAGATGTACGTGCTTTGCATTGGCCAACTCCATTTTATACCTCAGAATTTCCAAATCTTATCACAGTGCCATACTGTGCCTTCCTTGCCTTCGCATCCCCTTTGTGACTTTAATAAATCGAACAGTGGCTATCTGCTCTATACTTTACATCACCTGTTCCAGTTCACACCTTTCACTTAATCTTAGCTAGATGCACCCAGGCTTATTTTCAGGCACCATCCTCCCGTTCTGTTGTCTCTCTAATATTGCATAAATATTATCAGTCATTTTTTTGCAGTGTGATCCACTGACAGTTAACAGTAATCGTCACATCACATGCGTTGTGAAGGAGCATGAATGTTGAAGGATGAATGAATGAAAGGAAGCATGAATGAGCACACAGTCTAAATTTACACTTTTCTCTCAAAAACAGTGTGTTATCTGCATCACCATTAGCCAGAGTCACACTTAAAAGTTTAAAGTGATCACCAGTCCAAATTCACGAGGTGAATGAAATAAAGGCCTAAAGAGGCACTTACGGCTGTTTGCTCTGCCCAGTATGACTTGCGCTTGGCAATGAGCTCTTGCTTCAACTGCAGCTCTCTCTCCAGGTCCTCCACTTTGAATGTATACTGCACAGTGCAAAGAGGAAACAGTACTGTACCACATGCAAGCCTCCCTTTAGCAACTTGCTGTATTTCGATCCACAGGGTGTGCTTACTGGTCTTTCATTTTTAAATTTTAAATACACAGCCTTTCTTAGCGAACTACAGGCACTTGAAGCTACAGTAAAACCTCATTAATTCAAGCTCGGTTATTTCGAAGTCCCGCTTAATTCGAAGGATTTTCCAATGTAAGTTTGAGTGGATAATTTGAAGCGGCGGCCGTCACCAGTCCGGTTAATTCGAAAACATTGGGTGCCATGTGCCAGTTCCACATCCCGATTTCGCCGCGAATCCGTGGAAACGACGGCCATTAATTGCCACAAGGCAACGCAACGTATCGATACTAATGAGTGGCAGCTGAAGCACCCCAGTCTTGCTACTTATAGCAAAAAATAAAAAAAAGAAACGGTCTCGTGGTCAGCTAAAATGTGCGCCTGCGGAGAACGAGCCGTGCTTCACTGCAACACAGTGGTGACCCGCGGGCAGCTTATCACATGTTTCTCGCAACGTCAGCGGGTCATGGTTTACCCATTCTTTCTGGGATTGTAAAGAAATTAATAAACAGCTTAGCGGAAGTCGCAACGTATGCGAACCTCCGACTGCCGGTTGCTTCACCTATTCGTGTCTTTGCACTGCTGGCGGAGTTCTTGCCAGCAACACCTACTTCGAAAACCAAGTTCAAAAGTTTCAAAGATCATTTTTTTCCAGCCAAAACACATCTTGAGCTTCGTCATACTGGCCATCATTAAATTCATAATTATAATAAAAAGAATGTGCGAATGGTCGCATCATGACGTGCTGACGCAGCGAGTAGCACGCGACATGCTGCCCGCGTGTCACTACTGTGTTGCAGTGAAGATGTCTTTTCTGCAGACGCACATTTCAGCCGATCACGACCGCGTTTTTTTTTTTTCCCCGGTGGCAGCAGCGAGGCCTACCGTTCCTTCATGTTCGCACAAAATAAAGACCAGGTACTGCTGAAAAACATAACCTTTGGAGCCGCAAGCTAGCTGGCACAGCAAACGATGATTACCGATTATTTTGAAGTTCCTCGCGTCCCAATTTTTCATGTTCTGTTAATTCGAAAACCCACTTAATTCGAAGCTTCCTTGCAATCCCAGTGACTTCGAATTAACGAGGTTTTACTGTATTTGCGTACTAGCCGCCTAGATCTGGGCGCTCTCATGATCGCATTAGTAAGTTGGGGTAGACCAAAAATATTATGTGAGAGTAAGAAGAGCTTGACGAATGTCTCTGGCTTGTCATGACATGAATAACGTGAAAATCTCGACACATATGTCGTCAAACACTTCTCCATACATGTGTGACACATGGGCCGTAATATGTGGATATGAGCCGCAGGTGATGGACAGTTTAAATGCCAGAGCATTACGAAAAAATTTAAATGCAGAAGCATTACGATTAACTGACTTCCGCAGTGTTCACGTGACAAATACAGAGACTAAAAATGTCGGAAGAGTGGACGATGCGGCTTTATAATACATGCAGTTCAATATGTAGCTGCCCATTTACCATGGCTCTTGCCTAATCTGGTGGAGTGAAAAAAGGTGGGGAATGCTGGTGATTTCACTTGCTTCCTACTTTTTCTTGTATTAGTAAATGTTGGTACTGTATACAATTCTTTGTCCATGTATTTCTGGTACTGGTTAAACCGCCAGCCAATAGCTGGCAATTTGTTGTAGTTTTTCAGTAGTCCTTCGTCAGTGCAATATGTCTTCAATATGCGTTATTAAAATAGTGCTTGCCGTGGCGCATCTTCATGGGGTGTGCCTCATTAGCACTTACGTTCGTTGCCTAGTGTGTTATGCATACTTGAAAGTAACAAGATGCCCAAATAAAAAAAGATGTTCTCAAGAGAGGCTACAGGGCCAAGCGCATATACCTTGTACCTTTTTGTCCACACAACCTTTTCAGTGCACATTCTTTTTTTTTTTTTCTCTTAGTTCAACCTTTGATTGATTTGTGGGGTTTAACGTCCCAAAACCACCATATGATTATGAGAGACGCCGTAGTAGAGGGCTCCGGAGATTTCGACCACCTGGGGTTCTTTAACGTGCACCCAAATCTGAGTACATGGGCCTACAACATTTCCGCCTCCATCGGAAATGCAGCCGCCACAGTTGGGATTTGATCCCGCGACCTGCGGGTCAGCAGCCGAGTACCTTAGCCACTAGACCACCTTGGCGGGACTCTTAGTTCAACCTTTACAACCTAAAAACATTCACTGAGTACCTGCTCGCACAGATCGTGATTTTGCAGTATGCAGCCTTGCAGTTCCTTCTCCATACGGTCAAGCATGTCGGTTACTTTAGCGGCAGCCGCAGTGTTGGAGGCAACGTGCCTTTGCAGAGACCGGGCGTCCTCCACGGGTCGCATGTCGAAGTCGTCAAGCGCGTTTCTTGGAAGCACGCGGCGCAGGCAGGTGGTGGAGGACCTGAAGCTCGCCTGTAGTTTGGCGTGCTCGGAGCGAAGCTGCAACAGAGGAAGTTGTTTTTGTGGTTGACACGCATGCTATTGGCATTTTACCTGCAGTGGTATACAGTTGAACCTTTTTATAAGAGGCATGCTCTGGACAGCAATTCTAGTCTTTTATAACAGATATCTCGTATAAGCAGGGTACCACATATGCATTTTATTATCAAGCCGTATTTTACTGCAGGTGCGCTGGTGTCTCTTGTAACTATTTGTCTCTAATATCAGTGTCTCTTATAAAAGGGTTCCAATGTGTATATCCCAATTATGAAAGGTGTGCAGGTTTGTGCACCCAACTTGTGTTTTGCTGTTTCTGTCAACTTGCGAGCAAGAATGAAAGAACAGATGTTTTTGGCTTGTTGGTTCTTATCTATAAATGACATTATAGGGCTGGAAATAGGGACATGAAGGATAACAGGTGCAAGTCCCAATGTCTTTCCGGGAGCTGTGTTGCCATTTATAAGAAAAACGAGACTAATATTTAGACGAATTGAACACTATTTGATGCATCTACACACAATTTCATGGGGCTCGGTATTTCTGCAAAGTACAGCTGCGCTGAATGCAGGGACAGGTAATTTGACGAGACTATGAAGCATGCAGGCAGTGGCAAACTATGAAATCGCAGAGACTGAAAGTTCGGACATTTTTAGACAACACTGGTTTCATCAGAACTGCCGATTTTGTGTTATACCATTAGAGTGGCATAGAAACCACTTCTTGCTTTGCAAACAAGTTTTCTCTTTTTTTGCCATCATGTTCTGTCATATCCTTGACCATTTTTTTTGCAAAGAAAATCTAGTGTTGACTTACATAATGGCTGCACTATACTTTTATGATCTTAGCGAGGAGTGGAGTGTTCCTGAAAATGAAAACTTCGGCACAAACCAGGATGTACCAGAAAAAAGAGAAAGACAAGCACTGCTGCTATATGCTTGCCTCATCTATTTTTTATTGGTTCATCCTGTTTTGCACTGAAGTTTTTACTTTAGAAGTCATGTACTAACTAGGCCCAATAGGAGTTTTCTTGTAGTACATTAGTTCGAATCAGTTTCGCAATTTTTTTTTTGTTGGTCAAAGTACTGCTTCTTATTTTGGACAGCAGAGTTTGGCTGTGGCTCTTACACAAATCTAAGGCACATAGTATTTCTCAAAATCGCAAAACAAGTCTCAATATTCATAATTGCAAATGATATTTAGAGAGTTCGGAGGCAGTGCGTCGCCCGTTACCAACAAGCATTTTCACAAGTTGCGACCCATGTGTCGCCGTTTCAATCATGTGCATCAGCAGGGGGGCACAATGGAGCACTTGTGGGCTCCCATCTATGCCAGTACTTGTTCCTCACTCGAGCCTCACCGGCACTCTCCCACTTGGCTCAATGCAACACAGGTTTGCACCCCCCCCCCCCCCCTCACAAGACAGCATGATGCCTATCACCACGGTCGCAATGGATTGCATAAAAAAGAGCTGCACACCTTTTCGTCCGTGTTGTAGAACTTCAGACTAGAGAGTTCATGCTGTTGTCGAAGTGCCTCGAGTTGTGAGCGTGCAGCTGTGATGTCCTGCTGGAGTCGATGCTGTCGCTGCTTCATTGCGGGCACATCCTCGTGGCGCGCGTGTTGCTCTCGCAACGTTGCTTGCACGTTGGCCAGCTGCTCCTCCAACTTTGCTCGCTCGGCACCTGTGGTGGCATGTCATCGGTCACTTACAGAAAGTCACCCGAATTGGGGTGAATTGTGATGCTACAGTCGCTGACAACTGAAGAAAAAAAAAAAGAAAGTCCCACTCCACTGATTCCGAAATCTTCAGGAACAATGGTGCTGCAGTTCTCCCATGTTTTCCTCGTGATTTCTTATGATGGATCTTGTGTAGATGTTGGCTATTACGTTACTTGTCCAGTAGAGAAGCATGAGATAGGGCCTGTGACGCCCCCTGCCACACCACCCCTGCTACAGCGGTTTCAAGTTCCCCATTTCTTGTTGTACTGTGCGGCTATTGCTTCGTCCATGACTGAGGCAATTTATGATATCTATGGGTGCATCTCAGAACAGGAACGTGACAACACAGATACCCATCTGTTGTCAGGCCCAGCTCTACATTAGCTCCGCTGTTAAAACGTAAGCTCTGTCCGCAGCCATTGCTGTACCTCTCACACAGAATTGGCACAATGCTTCATCCAACAGCACTTGCTTATTTTCGTCACATTGAGCACTTCTTGGGCACTTTAGAAAGTTGGCTTTTCTATACAGGCTCACATTTGCATCACTGCTAGTTATAGGTAGGAAACAAACTTTCTAGTAAATTTAATCGGGGATTCTGACTACAACACTTAGCCAAGCATAATTCTTTAAGTAGTTACGACAAATCCTGAACTATTTATACACGTAGTACTTATATAAAACCAGAAAAAGCACTTGTGGTTCAAGCAAAAACCAAATAACACAACTAAATTTTACACGTGAATGGCAGGCATGCCTTGGTCCTGTGGGCAGAGCCTACACTTTTTCTTAGGTTCTAACTGAGCACACCACATTAATGGTGTCTTGGTGCGATGGCGATACCAACTACAGGCACAATCAGAGATATTTGTCTGGAGCAGAACCAATTTGCTGGCTGTGATGATGCAAGGTGGGTTCTGGTAATGTTCGAGAACCAGAGATTGAGAGAGAGCAGTCAACTTGCAAGCAGTGAATTCGACAGAACCTAAGAACATTGATATAATATTTGCGGTTTTATGTCCCAGAACCACAACATGATAATGAGGGACACGGTGGTGGAGGGCTTTTGAAATTTTGACCTCCTGGTGTTCTTAACCATTGCGGGTATCACCCTGAGTTAGGTGCAGCGCACGAGCTAATGCGTGCACGGGGAAACGGCTGCCTGTGCAGTCGGGCTTGGACCTGCGGCCAGTAAAAGTCATGTTCCTTTTGCTACCTCTGTCTGCTTTCCGAGGGCTTGAGCCGACCCTTAGCCCTGAGCTCACATTTGACGCCCAACGTGGGGCCCCAACCCACGACCCTGAGATTAACGAGTCATATGCTCTACCAACTGAGCTAGCCGGTAAATCTAAAGCTCGCGTTATTGTCAAAGCATTGCATGCCAGCTTCTTTAAGCAATGCCCCGCGCGCTTCCCAGATGCATCGTAATAGGCGCCAGCTACTTTCACCGACCTCCTCCAGACGGTCCTACTTGCGATCAGCCTCCTGGGATCGATCTTCCTCTGTTCGAGACCCTTCTTGTCACCCACAACCATGAAGCTGTGACCGCACGGTGGCCACATGGACCGTCTTAGATTCCGCGGACCATCCCGTGGCCTGGTCATCACGCCTCCCATGAAAACTGCAGACTTCCCCTTCCCTTGGCGACCCACCCCTTGAGGCTCCGGAGCCGTTTCCCGGACTCCTCCTTTCGGACCGCCACCCGACCGAGTGTCCTCAGCACTACACGGCCGAAGAATCACGGATTCTCTGTCATAACTGTCGCGCACCAGGAATCTCTTGCCGCGCTTACCAAGATGGCTTCCCTCCACTGCAGCTGTGTCGTTGCTGTCACTATTCGGGATGCCATCCCATGACCATTGGGACGCCATCCCACAATCATCACGACCACCGCCACCTCCAACAACGGTGGAGGCCCCTGTCCCTCTTCTTCAATCGGCCCACTGAGACCCCCTGGCACAGGTTGCCCTGTCCATGCCACCCCCAACCCGCCACACCCACCAGTCGACGACCTCCTCAACTTTGAAGAATGAGTCACCACTCATCGAGGGGGAGGGGGTAGTGGGTGTATCGCCCTGGGTTTTGGTGCTCGAGCGTACGAGCAGACGCGCGCACGGGGAAACGGCTGCCTGGGCAGGCAGTCAAGCTTGGGCCTGTGGTCAGTAAAGGTCATGTTCCTTATGCTGCCTCTGTCTGTTTTCAGCCGACCCTTAGCCCTGAGCCTACAACGTGCACTGAAATCACACAGTATGCAGGCTTCTACCATTTTGTGCCCACCGAAGTGCTACTGCCATAGCCCGGATAGAACTTGTGACCTTCGGTTCTATGGAAGTTGACGTGCTTGGCTTGTTTGCTTGAGGATATTATGTACTACAAAGCAAGATGGTTTTCACCTTCGACCGTGTTAAAAATTTCACTTGAAAAACACATCTTTCCTTCCTCTCAAGCTTGAATACCTTCCCAAGCAGCAATACATCTTTACTACAATTTATTACCACAAATATAATTTTTTAGCAGGGTTGCCAGGCGGTATTTGATGCCGGTAATGCAGTGAGCGTATCATCACGTGGTCGTGACGTGGACGAATGGAGCATACGGCGAGTCGATTAATAACCGATTGTTCATTTGGGCGTAGCTGTGCCCAGTAAACGGAAAGTCGCATTACAGTAGCAGTCTTGGATTGATAGCGGCGAAAGGAGCGTCGGCCGTCGATCGACTGACATGCGGCGGAGCGTGTCGGCATTTATACCCTTGCAATCGAATATTCAGCGTTACCGCTAGCGGCGACGTAGGTTCCCGAATTATCTGTGACACTCCCGAAGTGGGCGTAATCTTTACAAAACGATATTACCAAAGCCTTGAAGCTTCTCGAACATCGTAGGCGCGGTTTGCGCCGAACGTAGTGCAACGGGGTGATAAAAAAAACTTGAGGAAAGGAACGTGGCAGTACGCATGCTCGAACGAAACACTTCCTGTTGCGCTGTGCTTCTAATGGATGACGTGTTCGGCGTTAAATTAATTGACAAAAGCTTGTGTTGGCATCGACTCAAGTGGATGAACTACTTTTTGCTGTGCTGCAATATTGCTCCAAAGCGTTGAACATATAACAACGTGTTCTTGACACACTGACAAAAAGGAACATTCCATAACATACCAAGGGCAGCAAGCTCTTCTTCGTTGTTTTGCACTTCCATCCTCTTATTTTCGAAGTGTGCAGCCATGTCTTTAAAGTATTTCTCGAAGTTCTGGATCTTTAGTTTGTCTACCTGCAGCTCCTTCTTGCGCGCCTCCTTCTCTTCCTGCAACGATGACAGTGAAAACATTAGCGACGAACTGAATCTGTCCGATCTGCAAAGTGTTTAGAAAAATTGGGGGACCCTTCAAGGGGCCCGCAACACTTTTTGAGCACGGTCGGAAAACGCTGCCTATCGGTAGTAGAGACTACGGACAACACGCGAGCCAAATATTATAGCACAGCTCGCGACCTGGAATTCACAATAAATTAACAAAGTCAGCTGAAAATTGCTTTCTCTTCTCTCGACAAATGGCGGAATAAGCCCAAAAATCACACCTGAATTACACATCTATCAGCCATTGGCTGATTTGAACATGGCGCGCTTGCTCGTTACAGAGATCGCCGCGAGAGGCCGCGACTTGTCCACGCGTGCACGCGTTATGACACCGAAAAGCGGCGCATTCGAAGAAAAAAAAAAGTGCTCAAGGCCACGAGGTGCCTGTCACGCTTTTCTGTAGCCCTGCCGTCCCTCCCTCCTCAGCTTTCAGCGCTTTCGCCGGGACAAGAGAATAGAGAATATAATTGCAGGATGCGACAAGCTCCACTCGTACTGGACGTATTCTTAAAATTTTTGTGGCATTGAATTCATGAGGCAATTAGCTTTTCCATTGAATTCATTCTGTGGTTACTTGAAAAAGCGTTTCAGGGCCCCTTTAAGCTTCACCTCTAGCAGTTCAATACAGTAGCGATATCCTGTCCCTAGTGCGTACTTCAAACACCTAAAAAATAAAATCTTTCCGAACTTGCTATGGACCCACTACGTGGCTTTAAAAGAATAGGCGCGGTAATGTGAGTGCCTTTTGTAGTGGGTGACCGGCTTTAAACTACAAAGTCGTTGACAATGTACCCTTGTACCGCTGCAATATTTCATGTTGTGCTGTGAAGCATGTATACAGGGCCCGTGTGTTCGCAAAGCATGAAAGTTACTTTCACTGCATTCTCAAGCAGAGGAAGTTATTTTTACTGTATTCACAAGCGGATGGGTGGCTGTGTAGTAGAACACCTGCTTGCCATGCAAACGTCCCGGGTTCGATGCCTACTCGGACCCAGAGTATTTTATAAGTTATTTTATTTGCATCTTTATTTTTTAGTCACACAGAAGAAGATTTTTCGCTCACATCTAACAGTGCTGACACCGATGCCGACCCCTGAATTGCTGCAAAACGAGCTCTTTAACATATCACGTTAAAAGTTGGTCAGTAGTATGATTGACAATCCGAGAGAAACACGTCATAACTAAGCCAATCAACCCACTTGAACTGATCACAGATGCATAGATTAACTGTCTGCTTCAAACGGTTGAAGTACTGTCTTTACATGCATAATGGACCCACCCCCCACCTTGGCCTTGAAAAAAAAAAAACAAAAAAACTTTTTTGTAATGTATCTGTTCATTTTATTTTGGTATGATAGCCAGTGCTGTTGGCAATGAAAACAACGTTAAATCAAGCCATAATATCACAAAATAACAACGAAAAAAAAAAAAGTCAAAACATAGTTTTGCAACCATGCTAAACAGTTGGGAGCAGCGTGAACGCGTATGTCGTCAATCAAAATTTGAGAGTCGCGCCTTTTACGACAAAGAGCCATCTGTCGAATGCAAGAGAAAACTCCTTACTGATAGCACCACACAAGCACAGCGGCACAAAAACAAAGCACGTGGCCTTCAAACTTGCACGTGCACGGTGTAGAAACATGCCGCGCACTCGCCATCTCCAAAGCCATGCAAAGCACAACGGTACCCACCACGCCGACGAGGCACTGAGCACTCCCAACGCTCGTACGCCGCCATCTGACGCTGAGTTTTTGTTGTCGGGTTTGTCATTGTGACCTTAATTGGGACACCTGCTCCGCAGGGCGCATTTGGCCAGTACGCTATCTACACGGTTAGTTACAAACGGCATGCGCTGGAGCATTGGAACCGAGCGGCTGGACGACACTTCGGCGTCGATCCATGCGCTTTCATAGTTGGAGGAAACAAAGAGCCTCCGGCTACAAAAAAAGATTTGTGGCCCATTTCACGGGCCCGAACAAGCAATGCCGTCACGGGAAATTTTCACTGTCATAACTCTTATGACTTTTTTCTCCCGTGTAATAAACCCTCCCCTCAAATTGGCATGAACTTTTTTGAAAAAATAAAAAAAGGTGGGTTCATTACGTGAGTGAACACAGTAATACCTAAATAAATAATCCTCACTGCGGTGTTGAGATTCATACTGAACACAAGGCACACACATGGCTGCACGGAACTAAACCATCACTTTACACAGAGAGAATCAACCATAAGGGTGTTTGAGATAGAGCGTCTTAGAATCTATTTCTGTGATGGCTCTGGAATATGCTGCAAACCTCTTCCCAAACATTACAACCAAATCGAACCAATTTGTACATAAGGTACACCGGCACTGCAAAGAAAGCTCAGCCACAGTGAAAGCTGGAAGAGTGGCTTTTCTAGTGCCTTTTTCAAGCGCTATTGGGGCAACTACTACAAGCACACTTGCATGGTATGCAGCCTGCCATAAATAATCATAATTCATGTGTACAGGAGAAGCGTCTAGTTTGCCATTATTCGTCATTCTTTGGGAAAAGGTGGCACGCGTTGGACACTTGTAAGGCACTATGTGCACATTATTGATGCTATGGCTTACGATGATGAACATGCAACTAGCAACAACAACAAAAAGGAACATACTTTTACTGTAAAATAAGAGGTTATTGGATAAATCCAAATTGTAAAAGGCTTCATCAGCAAATGTTTATCAGATTTTTTTTTTCCGGATTTATGAGAAAACACGGAGCCCCAGAGAACACAATGAAAATAAAAACTTCCTGAAAAAATTGTTATGAACAGGCTTTTGTTCTATATAAAGTTTCAGCACAAAAATAAAACAAAGAAACTCACAAATTATACAAAAGGAGAACTTAAGGCATTGCTGACCCAGAACATTTTTTTAGCAGCGAAAGATTGTGTTAATTTGCTTTATTGCTTGTTTGTGAGGAGAGGCAATAATACCGAACGTTCATAGGACATTAATCAACAAAGTCCAGTTTAAAGACTTTCGCAACTGAAGTGTAGTGCTGCTAATGCAAGAAAATTTGAAGTTTTAAGATTACATGGTGGTTTAAATATATCTTTTCTTCAACTGAAAAACAATTTCAGTTGCTAGTGGTGGGTTGTCCATGTCCTTCATGTGCTGCATTTTTTCATCCCTTAGTTCTTAATGAATTAAAACCAACTCGCTCAACACTTTACTTTATCGTTTTAAGAAGGTTTGTGTGGTTAGCACGGCGGCACCCGCAAGCAGTCGGGTCTGAAGGAGGGAAGGGGGTAGAATACGCTGGCTAGAATGGCACAGGCCAGCCTGCTTGCCTTGCACACGCCTGCATGCACAAACGAGCGCTTGCCCTCGCCTCGCAATCGCCGGTGGTTCACCCGCATGCCGCCGCTTCGTGCTCTATCCTCGGCAACGAAATCGAGAAGATGCATGCTGCTCATGCCAGAACGATACAATTCAGAGGAAAATCTCTCGGCTGTTGATAGCAAAATTCGTTATACCAAATGTGTCTCCCACTGTTACATATTTATATAGCAGTCACAAATACACGTGCTACTATGAAGTAATGGCAGAGGAATAGAAAAACTTCGTATTATCGGAGAATTCCTTGTATGGAGGTTCAGAATCATTATTGGCAGGTTTAGCAGGACAACTATTTTGTGAACCCCTTCAGATTTAGAATATTTGAGCTCAACTGCATTATGCAAATGTATTTTCTGCATTATATTTTTACTTTGTGGGGCACTACTATTACAAATGGAATATTGATGTGCACTTTCCGCTTTTTTTAAAGCTCCTATAGCTTAGGCATCAACACACATTACCATCTGCTGCACAGGTTTTAAAGTAATGAAAACTGCGGTCAAGCATGGGAGTGATTGTTTCAAGTGAAAAAGAAAAGTAATAATAATAATAATGGGGCAGAATCAGGAAGGTGTCATACTTACCACAAGAGCTGTCAGTCTTTGCACCTCTTGGTGTTGATGTGCCAGCTCCTCCTCAATCTCCTCAACAGGTTGTACGGGGCCAACAGCTTCAAGAACTGCATAGTTAACGGAGAATTGACCCCAGATCAAACTCTTCCATGCAGTAGCATTTGAAGTCAAACAAAAAGCACTGCTGACTGTAAGACAGAAACATTTCAATAGAAATTAACAAGATGTGAAATGGTCTGTCTCGACTAACTAACATCTGGAAGTGGTTACAATAAACGTCCTGCTAAACACCAGAGAATAATTCTAGGCTTTTCTAAAAAAGCCTAAAAATAGTCGAAGTATTCAATGCACCCTAGTCATTACTTGTGCCTCAAGGTATTGCACACAGTATGAATGTTTGGGCACGTAGCCAGTTACAGGCAAGAACCAGTGTTCTTAACTGTGATCGAGTTTGTTAAAAAGCCACTTAGTACATATGCTAAGTGCCCAAGCATGACTGCAAGGTCACCGGTTGAACTCGCTCGCTGGATTTCGTGCTGACCGGTTGTGCCCTCACGATCTCCAACGACAGCGCACCTCTGGCGGACTGGCTCGCCCTACGCCGTCTCCTGACGTCGACAAGAGCTCTCACCAAGTGGTGCCCCGTCCTCGGACTTGTGCGACCGTTGTCCATCTTTCTTATCTTCTCCTTACTTTCGTATGTGGCTGTCCCTGCGCCATGCTCTCTCCTTTTTGCTCTCTCTATCTCTATACCTTTATTCCTATTCTTTTAATCCCACCTTACCCCCATTCCTCGTTAGCTACTGTTGATTTGTCGTACTGTGATGCAGACTGTTATGGGGCTCACTTTTTTCTTTTAAGAATCACATAAGGTCACTGGTGCAGCATGACTTGCCGACAGAAGGGTCAAACTTCAGCATTGTAGACTCACATCAACATGTGTCATGGTCATCATCAACATCATCATCCACATGTATCATGATCATCAAGTGTCATCAATCATCCTAGTTTGTACAGAACTTGCATATTGCACTTTCAAAAGATTGTAGTAGTGGCAGCAGAAAGTGAAAGCCGCAAGCACATGCTTGGCTAACATAATTCTATAGCTACTGCATAATTTTAAAATGTAGAAAATATAATGACAGGGCACTTGTGTGAAAAATAAATTTTACCTGAAGTAACAGATATAAATTGATAAGAACAGCGATGCTATTCTGGAGCGACGAAAATGTACAATTTCATCAGCCATATAATTAAACATTGGCTTACCAATCAACTGAACAAACATTGTTTGAAGTGCGTACGGGTCAACATGAACAAATCTGCTTCAGCAGCCAAAAGAGATTACAAGATGAAGATTCAAGTAGAAACAAAGGGATGCTTTCGTGCTGTCTCTTGCTTCAATGCTGCCCTTAAATTTAAACTTGCACTACCTTTACCACCAAGCTCACAAGAATACAGTGCACACAAATCCACCAGCCACTTTTGTTTACTTTTGACTTTGCACCTGTGCCACATGAACTCTAAGATAAGGTACAAGTTTTTTAGTGGATATCCAGCACAGGCAGCACAGTTACATCCGAGCATGGGATTTGCACTGCAGGCTTACTGAGTAGTTGCAGAGAGAAGCTTTTGTTTCTTCAGTGTACAACAGCAGATTGGCCATTATAGATAGTATCAGTTTGGCAGCCCCCGACACAAAACACCAGTGTCTCGGGGAGATTGATTGATTTGTGGGATTTAACTCGCAAAACCACGATATGATTATGAGAGATGCCGTAGTGGAGGGCTCCGGAAATTTCGACCACTTGGGGTTCTTTAACGTGCACCCAAATCTGAGCATCCGGGCCTACAACATTTCCGCCTCCATTGGAAATGCAGCCACCATAGCCGGGATTCGATCATGCAACCTGCGGGTCAGCAGCCAAGTACCTTAGCCACTAGACAACCGCAGCGGGGCATATCTTGGGGAGCGATGTTGCAATGTTGCCACAGCATTCAAAACAGGCATGAAACAGTTTTGTACCCAAGCTGTCGAGGAAAGCGTCTTCGTCGAAGCTGGTGTCGTCATGCCCTCTTTGCAGGCAGTGTTTCAGCAGCAAACCCGAGGTGCTGTTCCCTTCGACCTGCTGGGGCCCAGGAGTTCCAATTGGTGTGTCTTCCTGTAAAAACCAAAAGGAAAGAAGGCAAATTGAAAAAAAATAAGTAAAAATAAACACAGACAAAGCTTCTTTTTTTTTGCCCACTTATTATAGCATGTCTACTAATGCCAAGTGTGATCTTACATTAAGGGAAGTCTAATGACCACCGCGGCTTGATGGACAAACTTTTCACAAACAGAAGACAGAGCTGCAAGCACCTTTGTGAAATTTCGCAGTTGTGTGCAATGCAGGGAGTTCACAAGCAGAGCCAAGGTTGAAAAACCCCTTTTTTAAAAATGAGCGGTGAACTGGCCACTAGTGGCTGCATTCAGAAATCATTCAGCAGATCCCCTTAGGAAGCTCCAATAGGTAAGTGGGAATTTGTATTTAAAGAAATATGCTTATATCAGTATGCACATACTTAATGTTACTGTGTGTTTGTTAATTGGTTCTATAATCTAAAGAAGCTGACGCAGCCACACATCTATGTTTTTAATTTTGATCAGAACAAGACATTTCTGAGACACAGCAAGTGCTATCGCCTCATGCTAGAACAAACCCACCCACAGAAATAAAATGCTGCGATGGTCGTTCATAGCAAAGTTGAAGGCAAACGGTGAACAGAATATAATTTAGTATCCTCGTTTGTACTCGATAAGTCCTAGAAAATTTAAATAATCTTTCAGAAATATATTTCTGGGAAGCACTTTACTCCCTCCAAGGCATTTGTGAAACTTCGGAAACAAAGGTGGTTCAGGGCCTTTTCTTTAACTGACCTGACTGCAGACCTGCCACATTTAGAATTTGAAAAAATGCTAGACATCAAGCAAAAATGCACTAGAAAACTGCCTGTACTTGGTAAACAGGTATGGTATCGTCTGAACCACGAAGAAGCAGAAGTTCTTGTGAAGTTTATTATTTAAACAGTGGCATAATGGAAGTTGATGTATCTCTGCAGCTGTTGTGCATTTGCTCAATAAGCTAGAACCACAACTGCACCAGCAGGTCCGTACAGTAAACTCTCAGTATACCGAAATATCTCAAATAGAATTGGAGAATGTACGTCTGCGCTTGGCATCAGTGCGTCAAAGACAAAGTGTAGGTGGCAAAACTACATCGCTCCAAAATCTTAGTGACATGAAAACTACGTGCATGAGCCATGGCCTACGAAATGGTGGGCGCGCTCCATGTTCTTCTCCAACTGTCCCAATCGTCGCGCTCCCCTGCAATACCAATGACTATCTCCTCGCGCGCTAGGCTACCTCAAGAGAGTGCATTGGGTGAGGATTCCGGTGGCGGCTGAGACCACGGCATACAGCAGAGTGGACAAGATACCAGTGTGTGCATGGTTTTTTTTTTACCTACGAGCAAGAATCACCGCCAGGATCTTCTGACAGAACTGAAGGAAGGTATCTTTTTTTCTGTTACTGGATTTATTTTGGTCTAATTCGCAAAGAAAAGCCGGGCAACTGCTGCATTTTCTAATAGGTAATTGTAAGAAGGTATCAATTCGTCTCTGGCTGTTATACTTTTTTTCCATTACGTTCTGTAAACTCTGAATGCGTGTTGCATACCTGTTGAACAAGCAAAACATTTTGAAGTTCGTTTTTACATTGTCCAACGTGTCCACTGAACACCATAAAATTCACAGTGTGAATGGGCAGCCATAAGTGACCAAAACAAGCCTTGATTGATTGATTAATTTGTGGGGTTTAACGTCCCAAAACCACCATATAATTATGAGAGATGCCGTAGTAGAGGGCTCCGGAAATTTTGACCGCCTGTGATTCTTTGACGTGCACCCAAATCTGAGCACACAGGCCTACAACATTTCCGCCTCCATCGGAAATACAGCCGCCACAGCCGGGATTTGATCCCGCGATTCGCGGGTCAGCAGCCGAGTACCTTAGCCACTAGACCACCGTGGTGGGGCACTAAAACAAGCCTGTAACCAGCCCGTGGTCGTGGCAGAACCAGCGACGTTCAGTCTCTACATTATCTAGATGCATGGTGACCACCTGTACCCTTCTCCCTGTGTCCTGCTTCTGCGGCTTGACAAGAGGACTCTTAAAACAGTGCTACAATGAAAAGCAGTATTAGTTCCATGAAAGGAAAGAAAAAACAACTGTTTTAATCGAGTGTAACCTATGAGCATAGAACGCAGCACTCTTCTGAGTTCGCTTGTTGATCGGGCTGTCATTTTTTTCTTTGCCAGTGCCTTTCATACTATACAGCATTCAAACTTCGAAGTACCACAAGTTCTCAGAACATCCGGATCTCTTGCAGAGGCATCACAATATAGGTGCTCAAATATGAGTGGCGCGAATCTGCAGCAAAAAGTGTTCATATGAGAATACTATATATATATATTACATATAAGGGAAAGACGTGTATACCGAAGGGCTCGTTTTTCCATGTTTTGACACAATATTAATGAGATCTGTTAAATTAGTGCTCATCCTGCCCACTCTTTCTTTCCGGTCCTTGTTTTTTTCAGTGCTTCAAAGTTGGTTTCCAATGTCTAACAAACTCACCTTTAAGCTTCCGTGCTTCTAACATGTATAATCAACATGACCTATGAGTTGGATAACGAAACACTTTTGCTCAGTGAACATACTTACGACACAATCCCTGTTTTTCGGTATCTTGAGAGGCTAGACACAAACGACATGCAGAAGAAAAGGTTGCATGAATGCAAAAACCGTAACACAAGCCCCAAAAGCTGCAATGCTCCATGCTGTGGCACGAAAGATTACCACATCCAACTGTTTCTGTCCTTCTATCATCCAATTCTCTCTGTTAAAACAGCTTCTGCCAGCTGTTACCTTCAACAGCAACAGTGTAATTTGATAGATTCCAAGAGCTAAGCAGAAAATGGAAGCAAAGAACCATCACATTTCGAACATAACATAGCTACTGCAAATACTGCCACATTTGGTGTTCAGAAGTCACTGCAAGCAAATATTCGAAATATCCACTATTTTTCGAACAATGTTTGTTACTCCATTTAATTCGCACTGTAATTTTATTATTCGAACTCTCCAAAGACAAATAGTGTCAACGTTAGATTGGCAGCGACCCTGTCAGATTTTTTAATATGCTTCATCCCCATCACACTGTCGTGAAGTGACAAAGCCGCCTTTCAGGCTCTGCTATGGTCACAATTGTGTTCGACTCGAAAAAAAACTGGAGAACACTCGTGATTCACCTTCAAGGGTAGACCGCGATAGCGTAATTCGGTCTCATGTGCATTGCCTTCTGAACTGCTAGCCTGCTTCAGTTCTCGGTGCATGCCTCAACTGTGCCGTATGAGAACGAACGATTGTGCACCTAACATTGGCATATGTTCGACTTAACACAGCTTAACACAACAAAATATATCAAAAACTACACAGATGTTTCACCACCTATGCGGGTGCATCCTGAGTATGCACTGGCAACAAATTAGTGGAGATCACCCAATCCACTGCTAGTCTTTTATGTCTTTGTATACATACAGTAGGGGGCCGCATTTCTTGCTGCACGCCGACTTGTCACGACATATGCACAGGATGAACGAATAAGTCGAAGCGCATATTTTAAATCACGGACTCACCTGGTTTTCGGAACATTTTTACATTACTTAATGTCTATTGCGAGCGCAGTTGTTAAGTACCCCCTACGCCATTGTTTTATTTTTTTGGTGAATCGGCAAAGGGCCCACTGTGTGTCCGTATGCCAACACACGAGCCTACGCAGATGTTCACATAATTGATGGTTCAGCTGCCGATGGCCAATATGTCTGAGTGCCTTGTAATGGGTGGGCCTTTAAAACACCCACTCATTGCTTAATTCACTTGATTGATTGATTGATATGTGGGGCTTAACGTCCCAAAACCACCATATGATTATGAGAGACGCGGTAGTGGAGGACTCCGGAAATTTCGACCACCTGGGGTTCTTTAACGCGCACCCAAATCTGAGCACACGGGCCTACAACATTTCCGCCTGCATCGGAAATGCAGCCGCCACAGCCGCGATTTGAACCCGCGACTTGCGGGTCAGCAGCCGAGTACCTTAGCCACTAGACCACCGTGGCGGGGCCATTGCTTGATTCACATCTTTTGAAGCCTGGCCTGGCGCGATTCTATAGGCTTCTGCCATGCAATATATGATGCTTTAAGGTAAGAAGACTCCTTCCTGTACTGAAAATTCATGTAGTGTTTTTTTTCAAAGCAGTTTAACAAATACGGCTCTGTGGTACGCCTGCTTGCTATGCACATGACCTGGGTTCGATCCTCACTCGGACTCTGATATATTTTATTATTTAATTCATTTGCATCTTTCTCGTTTTTCTTTAATTTAATTTATTTGCATCTTTCTCGAACAATACGATGATATTTCACTCACAACAATTGACACTATCGCTGAAATTTCTGTGTAACGAACTCTTTAGTGCTATCGTGTTAAAACGCTGGTTTCAACACCGAGACGACAGATGTGGGGACTGACAGATGACAGATCTAGAGATGGAATAGGTGGGCACGCAATGCTGTTTTGAACCTGAGATTTGGGCAAGAAGTTAAAAAATCGAATGCCGAAAATTCTTAGCATACAAAATTTCCTATGTTCTTATATATTGACACTATGAGGCAAATTCGGAACTCCCAAATCGAAGCGAGCACACCCTTGTCCACCACATCAGTTGAGCTTCCAGAGAAGTTAAAAGAAAAGGAGGAGAGGCTGAGGAAACAGCATCTTTGCCTTCGTGTTAAGCGTTGTCGGCAACACCTTGGTCGCGCCAAATCATGTACGTAAAAACAATTTGGTTTCTGCATTTCCTTATTTTTCACAAGACAACTATAAAACACTGCCCCACCAGCGCTTCATCAACTTCGCCTAAATAAATGCTTTCATGCTGCTATCTCACAAAAATTTGTGTAAAAATTCTGTTCAACTTTTTTTCTGCAACTTTGTTTTCAAGTACGTATTAATTCCAAGAATATTTTAGAAATATTCAAATAATATAATTAAATTTGCACTCACACTTGAATATATCAATTTGCTTTGCACACAAGATTTTCCTATTTCCACATCTCTATTGAGAAGTAAAACCTTCACAGTTTGGAGGGAATGACACTTTTGTTTAGCAACAGTTTTCAAGTGCGCAGTAAAGCATGTGACCACGTTTTTACCAAGAAACACCTCGCTAAGCCAAAACTTGTGCGTCTCGTAGATTCTACACAACCAAACCAAATGAAATGACAGTATGATCATAGCGTGAAGGTGCTGTACACAAAAACAGCAGGCAACTTCTTGCTTCAGTTCCTTTGAAATAAAGCAAGTAGTCGCTTGGTGTTGTGTTTGTGCAACTGCAATTTTTTATAACTAGTCTTGATGAAGCAGCAAAAGGCTATGGAAAGACTTTAAAATCCTGAAATAATGCTACAAAAAAATATAAGCCAGTGACTTACTCCGGTGAAGAAGTCCTCCAACGGATTTACAGAATCGAAGTACTGCAAAGAAAACAAGACAACGAAACAATAACCAAGAAAGCATATATATATATATCTTGGTAGTACGCGTTGAGTCCGCGACGCGTTTATTAAAAAAAACGAACACAGGTCAAGCGCTCAGCGATCCGAATCGGAGCTATCACGAGCACGAACTACGGTCCTCTTCCTCGTCTTTTGCAGGCACTGCTAATTGCCCCCTATCCATTCTACAATATATATGTATATGTATATATATATGTATGTGTGTATATAATATATATATATATATATATATATATATATATATATATATATATATGTATGTATGTATTCAAATTCACCTTGATTCAATTAATAGAAATTTTGAAGTATTCATTCGAAATAAACAAATAAATGTATTAGTCCGCATGTAGAGGCATTAGTCCTTGTAGAGGTGGTCTCACTGCAGTAAAGAAGTGCTAAGCCGTGAAAGCACTTATTTAGGTACACACACACACACACACACACACACACACACACACACACACACACACACACACACACACACACACACACACACACACACACACACACACACCACACACACACACACACACACACACACACACACACACACACACACACACACACACACACACACACACACACACACACACACACACACACACACACACACACACACACACACACACACACACACACACACACACACACACACACACACACACACACACACACACACACACACACACACACACACACACACACACACACACACACACACACACACACACACACACACACACACACACACACACACACACACACACACACACACACACACACACACACACACACACACACACACACACACACACACACACACACACACACACACACACACACACACACACACACACACACACACACACACACACACACACACACACACACACACACACACACACACACACACACACACACACACACACACACATATATATATATATATATATATATATATATATATAATTTGCATGTTACTCCCCTGTAAAAATGTTTTCACCGCAAGAAAGTAGTGATATGACATGAAAAAACCCATCCACTCCCCCTTCTCCCCCCAAGAAAATCACATTGTTGCGAAGCATCAATTTTAAGTTAAATGGACACATTACCCTCGCATTGATTCATTTTTTAAAGTATAAGAGCTTGCTATACCAGCTTATATGTTCTAAGTAAATTTTAAAATGTAACACATTCTACAGGTTATCACTTTCATTCTACCGAAGTCAAATCCCTTACTATTCAAATTTCTTTCCAGTTCCTTTGAACTGAAAAAAAAAAAAAAATAGCACTTGCACAGGCCTCTTTCAATGCATAAAAAATATTGAGCAGGTTAATTTAGTCATGACAAATGTGCCCATTTTTCTTTAAAACATGTGCTACATACTGTTTGAATTTGATTCAAAATTACTATACCAAAATCACTATTCAGTTCGAATCCACTTTGAGCCCGAAATTCACTATTCGCACAAGCCTACAAATAATGAAGTTAGAATATTCTGCACTAATAATCCTTTTTACTGTTGCTTAGGTTAAACACTACACTAGAGGGAAAAAGTCACCAGACAGCCTACCACCCTTGCTTGCTCAGTCCTGCAAGGCCAAAGAAATCATAAGCCGAACATGCCATTGTAGTACCACTACATGTTGTACCCATACAGCTTTTACGACATACAAACTGGCCACACGCAAGAATAAAAGAGCTGAGCTTGTTGGTAAGTATTCATTGCAAAACATTGAATGTGAAAACACGAACACAAGAGTGAAGTTGGCACTTGCGATGTCTTGACCGTGTTTGCACGGTCCTTGCGTTTGTTTTTGCAAGCCCAGTCTTTGAAGAATGCAATACCGTTATTCTTATAGAGCAGCCCAAGTGGCAGATCTGCAAGGACTTAACGCAGGGCTTCAGCAAGAAAAGCTGCCGGCACGTTCCACTTGTTGACTAGAGCCCAGGTGACATTGCAGTACATGTTTAAGAATTCAAAAAACATCCGTCTCCGACAGTTGGTGACAACCTTGAGCTCGGAGGCTTACCTTGGCGTAATCCGCCACCCAAGTGATGATGGCCAGGGCCTTGTGTGGCTGGGAACCGATTCCCATGAGCATGCTCTTGTGCAGTGGGTAGGGATAGCCCAGCCGGCGCAGCTGTTCAAGCACCGCATCTTCCATTCGCACCCCGCCACCCAGCTTGAAGGTGGGCTCGAAGAACTGTATCAGGAACTGCGCAAACATTAAAACGGCACTTCTAGCCTAAATTGTTTGCGCACTTTGCAGCAATCCTGGCGATTATGACCAAATCTCCAACCAAGTTGAACGCTGAGAAAACTCGGATAATTGTCGGGATTTAACGTTTCAAAACCACCGTGAGATGATGAGATGCTGTAGTGTAGGGCTCTGGACGTTTCGACCACCTGTACTTCTTCGACGTGCATCTAAATCTAAGCACACAGGCCTCATTTTCGTCTCCATCGATAGTGCGGTTGCCAAGGCTAGGATTCGATCCCGCGACATGCCACAGAGAAAGCTCTCCAGTCTTGGCCTTAATTGTTTGTTTAGCATCGGCAATCGCGATGTATGCATTGTGTATGTCAATGACAATGGGTGGAAAGATAGAAGTGTGGGACAGGGCTGCGGCTTACCAACAGAGGCAGCTTAGAAGCCATAGTGCCATGCTACAAAGGATATCAATGGGGAATAAAAGCAACATCAGCCATGTCCTTCGATTTAGGTCAAATAAAGAAAAAAAACTGGCCAGTCAAAATCAGTCCAAATTCAACACTAAAATGTTTTTTTTAATAAAATTGCTTTAGTACTGACATGAAAAACACCCCAAAAAATTTTGCGTTATGAGGTTGTAAATAATTGCAACTCTCCAATACTAAGCTGATGACTGTGCTTAACAGGTATCTAGGATGCACAGTGGGCTACAAGAAAATCATCAAAGATATTTACACCTAAATGTAAATACGCAGTTGTAAACATCCAAATGTAACTTCAAGTTACTAAAACTGGAACACAGCTACCCTGGAAAGGATGTCAAACCTGTAGTTTTTGTACATTGTGGCACGATACTGCAAAATGCCATTGTTGCCGGACTGCTATTTAAGCCGGACAAGGCAAGTAAGCACCGATGAGAACTGTGTTACCGAGAAACATGCAGTGCTATGTGCGGCAAGACTGGGTACAAACAAGTCAAGCTTCTGCAAGAAACTTCTCCACCCCTTTTTTCAATTACTGTTTGCACGACCGAATTTCAAGACACCTGCACGTATAGGACGGATGGTCGCTTTTCAATTAACAGTAGACTTCTATGCATGTCCAGTGTCGTAATTTATGCATAAAAAACATGCAGCATATCTTCAACCTACAGGTCACAGAGATTAAGGGTATGCTAAAAGTACGGGCACACACTTGTGACATGAGAACAAACTACTGAAATTGCTTACTACCGATGATTTGGAGTCGCATGCCGAAAGCTACCATCTTTGAAGCTCTTGTGCAGTGCCAAACCTTTTCGTCGATGCTTATAAGCAGCAGATATGCAGTTTGGAAATGATTTTGGTGATATACTACTAGAGGACATCACTTTTGAACACTTTTTACTTCCTAATGGAAAACCCAGTGTGGAATAAAACATTAGCGTTCAATGTACTGTAGATACATTCATTACTGCAAGCAACAATCTCTAGAGCACCTTTTCCTGATCAAGTGTATCAAACACTTACTGTCATAACGTTTTCAAATTCCTTTGCAGACATTCGGCTCAAGGCTTGGGGGGTGGTGTAGTTGGGATACGCCTTCTCCTTCAGAAACTGCCGGAATGAAATGAGTACAAATGGCAAGGTCAAGCTCCTATCAAGAAAATGTGCCCCCATTTACAAGCAAAGAGCATAAAACACATTCAGGAAAAAAAAAACTGAATCATTTCAGTTTCAAAACACATTTACAAAGAAAGCTTCTCCCCTGCTCTGCTCTGTTTCTGTGCGTGCAATAATTTCGCACGAAGTCATGAATTACCAAAGAAGCGGCCACACCACTATCAATGAAAGTTAGGTTAATCTAGACATGGGTGCATTTCCGGTTGCACAAGTAATAGCCAATTACGCCAACAAAAATGTTTGAGGCAGGGCTGCAGTGGCTGTGGAATCGAAGAAGTGTCCATTTTAAAATGGTAAATGACAGGGTACATTAGCACCTACTCATGTAAAATGAAATCTGTAAACAACTATTCCGAGTTGGTGTGTAATAATAATATGTGCAAGATACATGTAGAAAGCAGCACTCACTTCATACAGCTTATCCACACATTGGGCAACGTAAGCCTTGTCATTGAACGGCCTCTGGTCTTTGAGATTCGCTCCTCTTGGTGCACCTTGGCTCAACCGGTCCATTTGAGACATGCTTGAAGAGCTGAATCCCAAACAGAACAAAAGATAAAGTGAAATTCATCAAACGAATGCAATCTTTTTGTGAACACGTAATATGTGGCAAGACTAAATTATTTATGTAAACCGTACATTCTTGCACTGGCAATGAACGCAATTATTACAAGCATTGTTTTTATGCATTGACAGGATGTTCTCTACAAAAAAGTCATGCCACCCACCAACACAAATACATTGGTGCCATGCACAAAACGGCTTAATTTAATTCTAAAATCAGTGGTTTGGTTGAAAGTAAAAATTTCCAGGACAAGCAGTGCATAATGCAATTCACAAAGACGCACGTTCTGCTTTGGAGATATATGTTGGGGCTCCAGCTAGGTACGATCAGAAAAATTTCAGCACCACCCTGTTACACTTTCTCTTGCACTTTCTGCATCTCATAAGATGCTTAGGCCATTTCTTCACACTGCTTTACATGATTCTTCCATGAGCTCTTAGTGTTAATCTACCTTTGCATTTTTGTTCTACTTCCAGTACTATTTGTAACCTTAAAGGGGCCCTGCAACATTTTTTTGGGCATAGACAGAAAATGCTGCCGATCAGTAGTTGAGGCTTTTGAGAACACGTGAGCCAGATATTACAGTGCAGCAAGCTCCCCCCCCCCCCCCCTCACCCAAGCCTGGAATTCCCAATGCATTCTAAAAGACAGCTGAAACCATTCTATCAGGCATTGGCTAACTTGGACATGGCACACTCGGTCATTACAGAGACCGCTGCGGGAGGTTGGGACTTGTCCACGTGTGCCTGCGCTATTGCACTGAAAAATCCATGTATTCGAAGAAAAAAAAAAACGAAAAAGTGCTCAATATCACGAGGCATGGGTGACTTACTTTTTTTGCCCATGTAATCCCTTTCTGCTTAGCTTCAAGGGCTTTTGTCGGGACAAGAGAAGAGACAATGCGATATCAGCATGCGACAAATGTTGTAACTCCGCTCGTACCGGACAAATTCTAAAAATATTTGTGGCGGTGAATTCGTAAGGCAATAAGCTCTTTTAGTGAATCCATCTTATTAATACTTAAAGAAAGTGTTGCAGGGTCCCTTTAAAGTGCCTTTGTGAATGCGAAATCCAGTTACACTGCACCTTTCCACAGTCCCCTGAGTCCCCATACCACCATGATACGTGCTTCACCAGAGCTGTGCTACCTTTGCCCTCAGGTTTACACGCAATGTTCTCTCATGTCAAGTCACAAGTGTGAGCTCTGTAAAATGCAGCCATAATGCTTTCACGCAGGGCTTGAGGCTACTGACACTACCGCAGTAATGTTTGTTATACTTTATTCAATGATTGTTTTCTCACCTTGCCAGTGCAGTGCCATTTTTAGTTGCTGGTACAACTTATGGTGGCTAGCACTAGTGCGGTTAGAGCAGTGCAAACAGTTTACATCATCTGGCTACTCTTTCTCGGCATTCCAATTTATCAAGAAGCGGCAGCTCTATGACATTAAAAGACAGACAAATTGCACGCAAGCCACTGATACTGAACACTAACGCAACAGAGCAGCACAAATGATTAACCAAGGGACGCATGCAAATAGGACGGTGCTTTTCCTCTCCATATGTATCTTTTCTTTGATATTACACCCTGCTACGAAGTGCAAGTATTTGAGTTTCGGACTATCCAGTATTTCTTTACAATTACTCTGTAGTCGGATAAACTTAAGAAGTTGGGGGAGGCCCCGCCTAGAGGACAGAAGCGCGACAGCTGATCACCTACGCAGTAACAAAATAATTTTGCGCCACGCTCTTGGCAATGTTTTCTGACTGCTGTACGACTCATGACGAGACTCTGGAGTGCGCGCCTATAAGTGTAGGCTTGTACGCATCCGCCTTTGAAGAGGGAAACGCCGCTGACTTCTGAAGCTGTGTCCGACTATAGTCAGCACAACGAAACTAGAGTCAGCGAAGTGTGCGAAATTTACTCCTCCCAAGCATATGCACACATGCCTGAGCCAATGGGCGCATACTCCAGACTGACCTCACGCGCTGCGCAGCTGGTGAATCACCTTCAAAGTGAGTTCTCAAGTGCCTGGAAGCTGTCAGCTGTTACAGAACGGTCATCTGGTCTGGGCAGAGCGTCTCTGGACTTAAGTTATATCGCACTATAGTGGGCAATAATGGGTGTGAGACAGTGGCCGCATTTCGCCTCTATCGAAATGCGACTGTTGTGGTCGTGATCAAACGTGCAACCTTCAGGTCAACAGTCTGACACCATAACCCCTGCTCCAACAAGGTGGGCAGAAATAGATGATAAAATGATAAAAAGAGAAGTTGTAACGAAGGCATACTGATGCTATCTAAGTGACAGAAACACTAGTATTCTTCCCTAGGATGACATTTCTTTTATATGCCTAGTGCCCAACATTTTGTGGTTTATTCCGTTACCTGCAATGCAGCCCTACTGTCTTCAATCTGCTCTTTTCATGATGCTACGGTGCACGCGCTCTCCCTAGCATAAAGGTTGCAGAATGTCTTCTGGTCTCGGAGGCTTTCGTCCTTGCAACACTGGTTTTTTTCAGACCCAACCGAAACGGCAGAGGGCAGCACCAAAAAATTGGAAAGACATTGATTACGAGTCCATGCACTCTGATTCCCACAGAAGTGGATTTTACGAAACAACTTAGTTCGTCTTTGTGACTTTATCGGCTGACCAGCTGTGGTAGCTTTAGCAAGCGCCACGCTACAAGCACAAAGGTGCATGTTCCATTCATGACTGTAGTGGCCACATTGCATTGGGCGTGACATGGAAGGATACCTGAGCACTTATACTTAGGTACACATTAAAGAACTCCAGGTAGTGAAACTAAACTGGAGCCCCCCTATGCTGTGCCTCATAATAACATAGTGGTCTAGGAATGTAAAACCTCACAATCTACCTATAACTTTATCAGCTCTGAAAGTTTAGCATCCAATTGACATTCATATACTATGGGAAAGACACTGAAGTTTTGCACAACTGAACAATGCAGTCCACGCAACTTGAGCAGTGTCGGAACACTTCTTTGCTTGTGAAATGGCTCGACAGTTGCAGCTGAAAAGCACTGCACATCACCTAAACATGAGTAAATTTGACCTTGCTGTTATCGCACTACTCTGTCAACTACAACTCAATAAGCACATGAAAGGCTTTTAAAAACTGCGACACACTCTACCTAGGTGTGATGACTAATTTTTTCGCTAAAAAATCTCACGCCGACATAGATGAACTACTGATTTTTGTTGAGCAAGGAACTGACATATGAATTGCCACAAAGAAAATCAATGTCCAAAAAGCAACAGAACAAAAAAAAAGTTGTGCTTACACTGTCACCATTGAGTGCCACTACAATATAATTCTGCTAAGTCGCCAGCTCGCTGGGATTTGCCATCGTTTATGTTATGGTGCAATCACAACTTGACAGAATTTTCTAGTTCAGCTTGACGTAGCACTGTTACACAGAGCACTTTCGATTGCGGCCGAATTCCGATGTTACTATTGGCTCATTTGTGCGATCCGCTCAGAAGAGTTAACCAGCAGCTCGAGAAAGCAGGCGGTTTTAGAAAAGGATACGCAAAGATAGCGTTCGTGGCGCTAGCAGGCTACCTATGCGAACCCCATTCTACAGCAATTCAATGAGAAATTCGATTCGGTTCGGGCGCGGTAGCGATCGGAAAAAAATGAACGTGCGACACCGCGCGCTGTGGACTCGTCTGGCTTCACGCTCGCTGTCTACGCACGCACTGACTATCAGACTACAACAAAGACGCCTGGTGATACGGGAGGTCGCCTACCGTCTGTTTGGTCCACCGGACATAGCGGGGGTCCAGGTAGAACGGCTGCTACGACCCGTCATCCCACCCGCAGAGCAGCGCGCATCGACCGAAGAGCTTCGTCGAGGAATCAATGTCCTCGGCGTGACCAGGCTCTTCTTACACGAACGTGCTGACCTGGGTTCCATGACTGGACGCCTACACCAAAAGAGAGAAAGCAAATTCAACCTTCATACAGATCGTGTTCCAGAGACTGCCAGCATGCAAAAACGCAAGCACGCACCCTTTCGTGTATTCCTCGAGTCCCTGACTGCAGCCCTAGGGTACTTTGGTCGGAAAGCGAGAGGTACGGCTGCCCGTCGAACATGCAACGCGAAAAAAATAGCGAGAAGGCACAGTTGCACGAGCCAGTGCACGGGCCGATCGCGAATATCGGTTCCCGCGTAAAATCATGCGAAGTCGTTGGCCTGCGTTGGCCCTTGGTTGGCATTTGTGCGTGGTCACGTGACCCAAAGGAGCTGCTGCGTATGACCATTGGTAATCCACCACACTCTGTGATAATTTGAAACTAGCTTTAATGTTTTGAATTAAAAACATTTCAAATCTGTCAATATTAGGGTTTATTGTTTTAAAATAACAATAATAGTCTTTTTATTTACTTATTAATGTCGTCTCTTTTGTTACTGGCAGCGACCGTAGATCGGCAGCGTCTCCTGCGACTTTAACCGCGCAATTTAAATACTGAAATCTTAAAGCTTGCCGGCTGAATTACGTTTTACAAGTTAAAAGAGGTAGCGAGAAACTAGGGTGCAGGAAGTTGTGCTTAGGAGGCTGCGGGCAGGGGTAGCCCTTACACCGGCCGTTATATCATCATGGAACTGGTTGCATTTACCATTTGGTGATACGTGTCCGTATTGTACGACTCCAGTGATGCAAGCAGAGGCATACAACGTTATGTGAACATGCCAAGGGTTGCAGCCAGAACGCTCCCGTCACCTGCTTCAAGCCGGCCTTCGCTACACCGACACAACCAGTTACGACCGGTGTATACATGACAGCACATTCCACAAGACGCTACTTCAGTTTATACACAGCACTGGCCTAACGGCACACATTTAATACACATGCACGCAAAAATATTATGCCTTAATGGCAAGTCTTAGTCGCAATAATAATTAAAAAAAGACTTTGTCACCGGTTTGCGCACCAACCAAAGATGGTGCGACACGCAACTACGCCAATGATGTTAGTCCTAGCGCTCTGGCACTCAATACACGTAAGCTTTCCAATGCACCCGTAAATTGTTTTTTTTTTTTACGTTCTATCCTTCTTTTGGCTCCCAGTAACAGATGTATTATGCGAGCCCGCTCTTCTAAGCACCTTTTCATCGTTGAGTTGACTGTAACTAAGAAATATAAAGAATTTATGTATTCAAAGTGGCGTGTTGTTTCCTCAATAAGCCATTGCAGCCTGCGTCGTAAGTAACTTCAGTTCAACCTGGGGCACTTGCTCGGAACTACGAAGGTACTACTTTTGGTGCATTTTACGCACGAATAGAAGCGGCTCAAGATACGCATGCGCATGTTATCTGAATAAAAATGGCGGCGTGTATGCGTGACTATTGTTAGCAGTTCTGGGCAGCACGTAGAAAGTCGCGGAAACCTTTAAATTACTGCTTTTTACACTTCCAAAGAAAATTCGACGTGTCTGAGAAGTCAAACTGTACTAAATCACAGTGTCCGGGTAGTCGACAGGAATGTGCGCTCACCTTTAATTCTTCGGCAGGGGAGTAGCCGAAATATTTTCGACCTTCCAGCGCAAACTTTAGTGTATGTGATATCGTTTCTGAGGTATCTGGCCATAGCATATTATTAACTGGTGATATTAATTTACCCTATCTAAAACAAAACAAAAATTGAATCATGTAAGCTGTTGCATGCCAGCCGTAGTAATCTAGAAATGAAAAATAATAATTGATTGGTTTGGGTTGGTACAGTACGTTTTGGGATCCACAAGCCCTAATCATACGCCCGTTCTTCTCTTTTGTAACTCGCCTAACGGGGTAAGTAATGTCGATATTATTCCAGCTATTAGATACCATCAGGTTGTTGTAGCATAAATTACAATAAAAATTCAGCGAGTTAGAAAGTGTAGTTGTAGAAAAGTGTTTTTTTTACATATATACAAAGGGCATTATGCGTCAATTTCCGCAAAACTTCTCGATTATTTGGCTCTATTTGAATCCTTGGCGGAGGAACACAATGTAAAATACTTGTAGAACACATATAAAAATAAGGTATACTTAAATTTTGGGAGCAGTTCATACCGAGTATTGGCACGGCTAGGCTTAAGAAGAGTAAAGAAAAAAAAAACATGGGTGACTTAGAGCATTCTGAGACTAATCAAGAACAGGCATTTAAATTTAAAATGTACAAAAAAACCTGGAGTGTAAAGCTCATTACGAAAGCTACGGGAACTGACAAGCGATAATAAAGATGGGCCAAGGTGCAAAAAAAAAAACAGTTCTTCAAACGACTAAACGTAAGTATGAAAACGAATCCTAAATACTTCTAGAAGTATTTAAAAGGATGTGGTTCTAATCCTGTTGGAATACATGAAATTATTTTGGGGGCACTCTTTCTGAGAATATGAAAAAATCCACGTGCGTAAATAATTACTTCAAACCAGATCATTTTGTCCAAGTCTACATTGAGTTCACTTTTGCCTAGTAGTCGTGTTCGTTATATATGCAACCACTCGAAATTAGTGTTAGCGGTATTGAGGCCTTGCTCGTATACCTCGACGAAAGTATACAAGCTGCCGGTCTGGACGGCGTTTCTCCGAGATTTACAAAAAAAAGTGCGCTCATCTTATTTCGCTTTAGTTTTATCTAATCTTTAAAAAGTCGCTATGTACTGGTCAGCTGCCACAAGATTGGAGAGTAGCAAATGGAGCCCCAATTCACATAGAGGTTCCTAGAAAGACGTCGCGAATTATAGACCTATTTCGCTTACATTGATATCGTGTAAAGGTATTGAACACATAATGTACCAGGCTATAACGCAGTATTTATTAGATTACGAATAATCAACAAAGACACAAGGCGGTTTTCGTAATATACAACCCACATTCTCGAGTTCTTCTAACGGGTATCTGTAATTGACTTACGTGGGCAAACAGACTGAAACTTCCACGATTACAGCAAAGCCTCGGACACTGTTTCCCATCATTTGCTTCTTGGAAAATTAGGAGCACTAAATATGAACGAAAAAAAAATCTTAACTGGATCGAAAATTACCTGTTACAACGCCGCCAGTGTGTTCTTTTGAATGTCATGAAGTCAGATTTTCTTGAGGTCACATCTGGCGTCCCACTGTAGTCAGTGATGGGACCTCTGCCGTTTATTATTTTTATTAACGACATTAATATAGGCATAAGCTCAAATATACGGATATATGCTGATGATTGCGTTATCTAGCGAAAAATTCAAAATGCACATGATATCGTTGAATTACGGGCTGCTCTTGAGCGTATTCATCAATGGTGTCTTAAAAGGCAAATGAATTTAAACACTACCAAGTGCGTCCGTGTTTGTGCCACACACACACACACACACACACACACACACACACACACACACACACACACACACACACACACACACACACACACACACACACACACACACACACACACACACACACACACACACACACACACACACAAATAATGCAAACCATTAAATAATGGGAAACGTTTGAGATAAAAAATGTAGGTACAAATATTTGGGTGTGTTACTCTCGTACGATTGTTCCTGGTATGCACATATGGATTATGTGGTTGCCAAAGCTACGGTAGCATTGAACTATATCCAAAAGAATTGGAGATGCGCAGATTTTCACTTTAGATGCCCGTCTTATCTCGCTTGTATTCATATGATTTCAGAATGTGTTTGTACTTTTTAGGACTCGTCACAAGTAGGTTTGATTAACAAATGAGAGAAAATTCAAAACAGAGTAGCCAGGTTTGTCTTGGATAGATATGGAAAAAAAACACAGTTGTACCAAAATGAAAAAAAATAAAATAGTAAAACTGGGGCCGGGGTTACTTCCATCCCGACGTAAAAAATTGCGTTTGAAGCTGTCGACATAGCACTCGCAATAAAAGAGGGATAGACGTGAAACGCTCCATTAACAATCATTACAGATTCGCAAAAGCTTGCAGAAACTAGCTAAAGAGCGAAATTTGATCACAGGCGCTGCGGATATTGGTTGGGACAGGATGGGAGCCCACAGTAAAATACGTACAGACCGTGACTTGGGCATTGGGGCACGAAGACGTGACAGGGAACGTGCAAGCGGACGAGGCGGCTCGAGGCTTTACAAATCACCGAGCCACTCAAGACAGTGCAATAGATGACCCTATACCCCCGGATCCTTGTTTCACAACGATTCTAAAGTACTAGAGGGAAAATAAACCCACGTCCTCATAGCGAGCTCAGCGCTGCGGAGGCAACAGCGCTAAGAAGAATACATACTAACACTTACATAAATCTGCACACTCTACCCCAAGGCGTACAGAGATATATGCCCGTGGTGTGGAGCCACCCCAACACTCTTTCACATCACGCGGGAGTGTGCAGAGCATGACGGAGAACACTATTCCAATGGAACATGAGAGGAATGGGAGGCGCTGCTGTCTAGCCCAGCCCTGGTGGATCAGCTTTGACTGATCCACAGAGCCTAACGGATGGCTCGCGCCAGTAAGGTCCTGGAATAGGGGCACCACCCTGCCAGACAGACTTAACTCTTCACCCAGTATATTCCCCGGGGCACTGGAGTTCTAGCCTGTCTGGATTATGTACATAATGAAGTTTTGTGCTACTACAACAACTACAACTACTAAGCTGTTATATTAGATATGTTATGATAAAACGGGAATCGAAAAAGACATTTACCTAAAATAACCAGATTATAACGGTAGTATTACATGTACAAAAAAATGCCGGGCCATGACGCTCTACACAAATTTTGTTGAACCTCTATGCGAGTGGCCATGAAGATGTATTTTCTTTTTCACGTTTGTGACCCCCCTGCTGTAACGCCTCTGTATGAAGAAAGAATAAACTGCAGAGTCACTGACACAAGCGGGAAGGGGGGGAGGGGAGGGGTACCGGCTATACTTTGTTCTTAACCCTCCCGCACCTGCGGGACCACCGGCCAATCATTCACTGCACTGTCGCGATTGTAACACTAAAATTTGGTGAACGTGTGTGCGCAGACAAGAACGAAGAACGGCGTCTTATGATAAAAGCAGATACGGACATATGTGGAAGTGAAATCAGCTTTCGGTGAATCGCGATAACGGCGCATGAAGGAAAAACGTCTACAAGCGCTGAAACGCACGGATGAGCAGCCGTAATGTATATATATATATATATAAAAGGCCGCTGGCAACCC